TGAGGAAGGGTCGAACCATTTCCACACTTTTGCTGACGGTGGCGTCCTCGGTCATCAGAGACTGATTCGATTCACTGGTGGCGGTGGAAGGTGTGATGGGTGTCTTTACGATCGTTGGATTGAAGGTCATCGTTGTATGCTTGATGCCCTTCGTTACCTTTGCCCATGATGCGTCAACAACGGTATTTGTAGCCTTGGAGGTGCTACTTTCGGTCGTTGAACCTGTTTTCTGTTTTTTAGCGGGAAGAGCCATGTCATGAGGTACCCCTCATGGTTTGGAGCCGTTTTTCGACGATCCCAAAAAAGTTGAGCAAAGGTGTCAGGAAGTAAGTGGTAGCTTGAAACAATCGTTTGACACAATTTTGGTGGTCTAAAACGGTTTTTATCACGAGAAATTGTGGGGTAAATGTCATCATCTTTCATTGTGTTTTGCATACTTCCAAGTAGTAAGCAATAGTATAAGAATGCTGTCCGCCTGACGATGAATTTTTTCCATGAGGATAGACGTAGATCATCGCAAAAGAGGTAGATTCACGGTGACGGATGAGTTATAGAGGGTTCTCAGGTGATTTTGGACCGCTGAAAGGCGAAATTTTACTATAAATTCATAAATAGACGAGCTGTGAAGATATAGCAGCCTTTCAGCTTATCATAAATCAAGAGCCAGATAATATACTGTTCTCTGAAAAGTTTTAATTTCGTGTTATTTATTAGTAAAATCAATCACTACGCTATTTAAAGGTTGTATGGCTTTATTTTGCTCTGTTCTACTTGAGTAAATTTCCTAAATTAATGTATGTATTTCCGCCAGCTCTTACACACGACGTGCAATGTCGATTATTATACGAACTAGAACTATTCATTATGTGGTTTCAGCTAAATACGATGTAATCTAAAGACATCCAATTCATTTGCGTGCACATCACACAGGGTAAAGACTAACAATGGCTGCATAATTGAGTTTGTCAGGACGCTGACTCTACAGGCAAGACAGGTTGACCTGTGATCGAACGCAAACATCAGTAGGAACAAAAATTCATTTCATATAAGCTGTTAACTTGAACTGTAATGCCCTCACATTAAAGGACAAGTTGCTCGTCATTATTATATTACCAGGTGTTTTAGCTGAAATTTGGTAAAACAAATGTACCGGATGTCCGTTACGCCATCAGTTGAGGCAAGACGTTATTGAGCGTTCATCAATAGTACTTGTGGGTTACATGGAGCTATGACTAATAAACAGATCTAGTAAGTTACAGGATCATTATTCTATATGTGGTTTCAAATCTCGCTTGAGTGAGTCTTGCACTCTAAAGCAGAGTTCTCCTGCATGCAACTAGACGTAAACTTTGAAACGCTTATCAGATGTGATAGGTCGTATTATTCAAAACTGTAATAGTACAATACTTATCAGGTACTGACAGTGCAATCTCAATCATTATCATTGAATGAGTAAATAGGTGCATGCATTCTTGACCGAGTTCGAATCAAATTAGCTTGATACTTGGCTATTGAAATTCACTACACTCAAATTAATTAATAATGAAGAATGTAGTTTCCTCATTACACTGATAAAGCTCAATCTGTGTTAATGTTACGAGCTTGATATCCTTGCGCTTGTAGTGTGTAGTGATCAAGGTTGAGGCGAGATCTTTGCGTGTAATTCAACCACAACACAACACAACTAGCTACAAGTGCCAAATGAACTACTATTTTTATTAATGTACTACACAAAGGTTTTCAAGAGCGTCACATAATCAATTAGCAATACATTCTCGTGAAGATAAACAATGAATGGAGGGCTTAAACTAAATTAGCAATATGAATTAAAGTATACGAGTGTTTATGCTTCGGATGGCTCTCTATCTTCGCTTCGCTTCGGTGAAAACTAACCTGCGCATCGGCAGCTCGTGCTACTGATTGCTCTTGCGTATCTTATCAAAATACTACTACTTTCATTTTGACCCTCCACTTACACATAAAGATCCTTTATATTATCTGTAGATCTGATTCTTATGTGATGCTCTACATCTATATACACGTAGCTACTTCATATACAAACAAGCAGCATACTGGTATTGCCACTTTTTGGTCCTTAGTGTCCCTAATACAGCAGAATCTGAGCGCATTTGAGCCGCATTTTCTCGCGCTCAAGGCCGTTTTAGATTGTCAGAGTAGCACCAAACAGTTGCTCTCATCTGGCAGTTACTTCCTGACCCCTTTTCTCAACTTTTTGGGGACCAAAAAAACATGGCTAAAATTCAACCAAAAAGCATGAGGTACCCCTCATGGTTTTCATCGAAAATCAAACGATCGCGTTTTTGACCTTGATAATGAAGACTTTTACTATGGTATATCATGAATCAAAACGTTTCTATCGATCCAAAGCAACCTCTGAAATCATCTTTGTGGGACTTTGATAGGTAAAATTTCGGCATTTTGCCAGAAACCTCTTTTCATATTTTCATAAATCATTCGATAAGTTTATTCAAAACATCTATATTACTTAGTACCATTGGATGCGCCTTGAAAAATACTCCAGGAAAGCTTAAGGAAGCATGGGGTGATCATCATATTTTATATAGTCGAATCTGCAAAAATAGTTCGATCGAGTCCAAAATTATCAAGATTTGTCCAATCTAGAGCAGACAATAATTCTGGGTTTGAATTAATTTTGGCTTGTGAGGGGCCAGCTGGCAAACTCAATGCCCTTTTCATACTGCAATACAGTAGTAAATGCTCTTGAAGCGTATAAAAAGTAGGTGGTAGGTCTTAACAATATAGTTTATAATAATATTTATTGCATTCTATATCGTTCATAATGACATCGTCTTGCATTCTATATTTAATAACGTTAGTCTGAACATTGACGATTCATGGGCTGCGCAAGATGTCTGCAGTAAGTAGTGAAATCTCTGAGGCTCAAAGACGTCGTTCAAAGAAAAAATTGACAGCATTGAGCAGAGGAAAGAGGGTAGAACTAACAGTGGTTTTTGTTGATTGATTGTAAAACTATTATTCTCATATGAGCCAGGCCTGACAAATGCCTAGAAACTTAGTTTCCATATTAGGGTTATAAAAGTATCTAGGGACAATAAATTTATTATGTCATAAAATAATGCTCATTGTGGATCACGGAATGTAATCGATTGTTTTCTACAAGATTAAAACGGAAAAATTTAAACAGTCTGAGGTAGCTCAAGATCTGTACACTTAATCCCACTTTTCAGCAATATGTATTAGGTATTTACAATGATAATAGATCAGCTACCCCCGGCTGCCGTTATCGTTGGTTGTATATTTATAGATACTGCCAGGTACCATCGCTCAACATGTGCCCTTCTTTCAATATTTCGATCAAATATCAAGAAAACAAAAGTAATCCGCTTATATTCTATATCACTTGGCTTCGCAACTTCCCATTGTATCCACATTAGATTAAATTGATGATCTGATTCAAATCTAGCTAAAATAGTAACCATAGTCCTCCCTATACGGCTTGTGATAGAAGCATTCTTTTGCATACATGTGAGGCCTCAGTTAATGCATACGTAATTTGTATTAGCAATATTATCCTACCATTATCTTCAGTCAATGATAGCGATCATTCTAAGTGATTTTTTGCAGTACAGCGATTTCTAGCAGAGATTCCGTTGCCAATGTTTAATAAATTTAAAGTTTTTTTTATACAGAAATTCGTACAACCACTACATAAAGTCAGTACACCAATAAGGCAAATTGCAGCTTTTGAGAAAATATATAGCATATTCGCTTATTACATGATCCGGAAACCTAGAAGAAGGGTATAAATGAATTTCCATGATATCAGCTGGCTTACAAGCAAGCAAGCATCCCGCATTTATGAAAGGGCAAAAAGTGATGCTCATACATCGCATTATATCAGATTCACAGAGCATCATTGAGCAAGTTCGGAATTGCATAGCCTTGTTTTAAACAATGTAAAGCATAAGGAAATGAAGCTCAGGCACATTTCACATATTACTTCAAGGCTATTCAATCATTGATGGATACGAAATCAACCGAGAATTTCAAGATTATAAGCAACATGCCTATTGGGTAAATGCATCTATGCAATCTCCATTGAAACTAGGCACAAAAAAAAGCAAAGATACCGATCTGGTGGTATATTAGAAAAAAAAAGGGTCCCTTACTGTACAATTAGGCAACTCTTAAAATTTAATGTAAGCTGGATAGTTGGTCTTTCTGCTCGTATTGAACAAGCTGAGCAGGATGTAATTTCGCATACATTGAAGTCAACTAGATGCCTCGATAGTATTGCTTTGGAGTGATCCTTAAATCTACGAGCACTGATAAAATATATTATAATCTGATAAAAGGACAGGATCAGGCACTAAATACACCACTCATTTGCCATGTTGTATATACGCTGTGCCTCCACAGTGAGAATATACCCGCCCTTTAAAGGCAACAAATAAGATGTACAATATCGGAGTGACAGATAGATAATAGCAAGACATTTAATACTTTCCTTCTCAATACAATTTTCTGTTCATCCTCCTCAGGAGCATGTACGTGATATGATCCACTACCTTTATATTTCAAATAAATATTTAGGGTCGTGTGAGATTAATTGTGTTAAAGAGACGTTTCCCACGGCTAATGACAAACATCAAGCCATTTTTAGAAAAAGAAGAGACTTGTATGATGTCCAGCAGTTTTGCTAGAGAATGAAGGCAATTTCCGTATTCTTCCACTTGTAGGATTTGAAGAGGAATTAAGGCAAGATAGATATTCGAACTTCTAAATGTGGAGAAAAGAGAGGGGTCTCAATTAAAGGCACGCATAGGAACACACACACACGCACACATATACACACGGATGTGCTTTATTTGTGTGTCAAGATGTACATACTCCGTTTTATCCGCTACTCTCATTTCATATAAATACTTGGGTTCCTCTTTGCTTTTCTTTTGCTTTCTTCTTCTTTATTCAATTCCACTAAATCCAATATCTTCATAATGGCTTTCCTCTTGAGACGCTTACCGTAAGTCAATTTATTGGAATCCTTTAGATGTTTGCAATGTCCTCATTCATGTTTGCATCAATCCAGTGCTACTGCTCGTCCTTTGACCACTCCCAACACCCTCAACCGTGTTATTTTCCCTTCAGTTGCCAGATCATTGACTACTGGTAAGTGGCCTGATCCAAATCTTATATCAGCATCATATTCAATCCCATCAATCAATAGCTGCTACTCAAGCTGCCTGTAACAATGATGAGCCTTCTTTCTTGCAATCCGTTGAAAAGTACTACGATCATGCTGCCGGTCTCAGTGAAGTTCAGCCTCACACTCTTGCTCATCTTCGTGCTGTTGACAGTGTCCTTCGTGTCACTTTCCCCATTGAAGTCGAAAACGGCAAGTATGAAGTAATTGAAGGTAATTTTGAAATGCAGATATATTCCGTTAGTGCGTGTATTGATAGTTAAATGCTTAGGTTATCGTGCTCAACATTCCCGCCATCGTTTGCCTGTCAAGGGTGGTATTCGTTTCTCCGAGGAAGTCGATATGCAAGAAGTTGAAGGTAAATTGCACGCGTGTTGCCATGGCAATGGGAATCAGTCTGAGGCTAAAATCACTGTACAATAGCTTTGGCTTCTCTCATGACCTACAAGTGTGCTGTTGTCGATGTTCCTTGTAAGTAATTGAATAGCACAGTGCATTCAGAACCGCAGTTCTAACCAGTACATATAGTCGGTGGTGCCAAGGGTGGTATTAAGATTGACCCCAAGAAGTACTCTGTTGAGCAATTGGAAAGAATCACTCGTCGTTATACCATGGAATTGTGCCAAAAGAAGTTTATTGGTCCTGGTAAGTTCTAATGCTGTTGCTATTTGAATGTGGTTACCAACAGCAATGTGTAGGTGTCGATGTCCCTGCTCCTGATGTAGGAACTGGCCCCAGAGAAATGGCCTGGATCATGGATACTTACTCTCAATTCAACGTGGGTGATGTCAATGCTGCTGGTTGTGTCACTGGTAAGCCCTTGTCCTTAGGCGGTGTTCGCGGTCGTAACGAAGCTACCGGTTTGGGTGTCTACTACGGTATTCGTGAGTTCCTCAGCTACCCTGAAGTTCAAAAGAAGACTGGTGTCAGCGGTAACATGGCTGATAACACTGTCGTCGTTCAAGGTTTCGGTAATGTCGGTTACTTTGCCGCCAAGTTCTTTGAAGAGAACGGCGCCAAGATTGTCGGTGTCGGTGAGAGAGACTGTGCCATCTACGACCCCAACGGTTTGAACGTCGAAGATCTCCACAAGTACTATAAGGCCAACGGTTCCTTCAAGGGTTACTCCAACACTGCTCAAATCTTTGAGCAATCCACCAAGATCTTGGAAGCTGAATGTGATATCCTCATTCCTGCTGCTCTCGAACGTCAAATTGGTTTGCGCAATGTTGCCAACATCAAGGCCAAGATCATTGGTGAAGGTGCTAACGGTCCCGTTACTCCTGCTGCTCACGATATCCTCGAATCCTCTGGTAAGGTCGTTGTTCCCGATTTGCTTCTTAACGCTGGTGGTGTCACTGTCTCATACTTTGAATGGCTCAAGAACTTGTCCCACGTTAGATTTGGTCGTATGAACAAGAAGTGGGACGAACGTGCTCGCTCCAAGGTTGTTGCCCTTGTCGAGGAAAATGCCGGTCGTGCCTTGACTGAAGCTGAACGTAAGGCTATCGTTCACGGTGCTGAGGAAGCTGATTTGGTCTACTCTGGTCTTGAAGATACCATGATCCAAGCTTGTCAGGAAACCAGACAAACTGCTGAGCTCAAGAAGGTTGATTTCAGATCTGCTGCTTATATCAATGCTATCCAAAAGATTGCTGCTGTCTATGAAGGCTCTGGTATGCTCTTCATGCACTAAATTCCTAGATAGATGTCTAATTATTTCGCAATCAACTGTATTAATTACATCTCTTTTTTTGTATTATCCACTACCACCTATATATATAATAAAATCAATTTCTGTCTTAAACATGAATTTTGTGTCATTTGCGCAGAATTAGTAGAATAACTGGGCTTTGGAGACGGAAATCAAGCTGATTGATAGTTTTTAAAGTAGGAAACTTCTATCAAAGATGCAACACCAGACGATTCTATGATCTTGCGATTGAATCGGATTTCCGAATATCTGTTGGCATGAGTGATTTTTGCTATGCGTATGCGTCTATTGAAATGTCCCAATAATAGAGTTGATAGCAAGCAGTTAGACAGCACGTCCATGTCATGAACAGTACTAAGTATCTCAGTACAGAGAAATATAAGTTCATGCGACACTTGCCTCGCAACATATCTGATTTCACCCTTCAGCCAGTCAAATGCCTTCTTCATAAGCTTCCATTTTGACTCAAATGAGAGGACGATACAACATGGGCCATCCTTTTACCCACAGAGAGGGACCGGCTTCTCCCATATTTTACGTAGTTGCCTGCAGCTAGCATAAATATAGACGCACTGGGGGTTTCCGCCATTTTGACACTTGTTTACCTTCTATTCTACAATGCTATCACGTCTTGGCTTAGCCAATGCAAAGAAAACGGCTGCCAAATATGCTGTACGTAGTACAGTAGCTACTGCTATTCGCCCAAAGAATCACAGCAAAATGCGTCTCTATACTACAGAGAGCAACAAACCCGATCAGAACCATATACCAAAAGGATTCGAAGGTTTCTTTGGTAAATCAAAAGCAAAGCCTTCTAGCAACAGCAGCGCAAAGCCGAACGAAACCTCCAAGCCAAATTCTAGCAACAACCAAAAGCCACCCGAGATGCCAAATATCAATGTTATTGTAGGCACTTTGGCAGGTACTTACCTTCTTTACAAAGCAACCGCGCCATCAGAAAACGCTCGCGAGGTCACTTGGCAATCATTTCGCTCCAATCTACTCGACAAGGGTCTTGTAGATCGTTTAGAAGTGTTGAATCATAATAGAGTGCGAGTGTATCTGCGAAGCGAAGCCAACTCGCTCGGTGTATCACCTCAATCCTCGTTTTATTTCTCCATCGGATCTGTGGACGCATTTGAGCGCAACTTGGAGGACGCACAAAAGGAACTGGGCATTCCATCAAACGAAAGAGTACCTGTCGCCTATCGAGATGTCGTGAGCGTTGGCCAGACCTTACTCCACTTTGCCCCCACACTGTTGATCATTGGTGTGATCTACTACATGACCAAGAAGGGGCCTGGAGGTGCTCAAGGCGGTATCTTTGGTATTGGTAAAAGTAAAGCCAAGATGTTCAACCAAGAGAATCAAGTCAAGGTGACATTCAAGGATGTTGCTGGCGCAGATGAGGCCAAGCTCGAAATCATGGAATTTGTCAGCTTTTTGAAGAACCCTGCCATTTACGAGAAGCTGGGTGCCACCATTCCTAAGGGTGCTGTCTTGTCGGGTCCTCCTGGTACTGGTAAGACATTGTTGGCCAAGGCCACCGCTGGTGAAGCTGGTGTGCCCTTTTACAGTGTCTCTGGTTCTGAATTCGTCGAGATGTTTGTTGGTGTTGGTCCTTCCCGTGTGCGTGATCTGTTTGCCACTGCCAAGAAGAACGCTCCCTGTATCATCTTTGTGGATGAAATCGATGCCATTGGTAAAGCAAGAGGAAAAGGCGGTCAAATGGGTGGTAACGATGAGAGAGAAAGCACACTGAATCAATTGCTGGTTGAAATGGACGGTTTTGACTCCAATCAGCATGTTGTAGTCTTGGCCGGTACAAATCGTCCTGATGTTCTAGATCCTGCATTGCTTCGTCCTGGCCGCTTCGATAGACACATATCCATTGATCGTCCTGATATTAGTGGTCGTGCTCAAATCTTCGAGGTGCACTTGAAGCCTATCATCACCAAAGTGGACAAGAAGACACTGGCTCGTAAATTGGCTGCATTGACACCCGGCTTTGCTGGCGCTGATATCCACAATGTCTGTAATGAAGCCGCTTTGATTGCTGCGCGTCATGTCAAGGCAGAAGTCGAGGAAATCGATTTCGAAGATGCCATTGAACGTGTGATTGCTGGCCTCGAGAAAAAGTCAAAGGTGCTATCCCCTGAAGAGAAGAAGACGGTAGCCTACCATGAAGCTGGCCATGCTGTTGCTGGCTGGTACCTCCGGTATGCGGATCCTCTGTTGAAAGTGTCTATTATTCCCAGAAATTCAGCATTGGGCTATGCTCAGTATTTGCCCAAGGACCAATACCTGTATTCCAAGAAGCAGCTGTTTGATAGATCGTGTATGACATTGGGTGGTCGTGTCTCTGAGGAAATCTTTTTTGATACCATCACTACTGGCGCTCAAGATGATCTACAAAAGGTGACCAAGATGGCGTATGCTCAAGTTACCGCCTATGGTATGAACGATAAGGTGGGTCCCTTGTCATTTAGTGATCCTCAAAACGAGCAGCAATTCCAGAAGCCTTTCTCTGAGCAAACAGGGTCATTGATTGACAACGAGGCCAGAAAGATTATTGTTGATGCTTATCAACATACTCGCCAGCTGCTGACTGAAAAGAAGGCTGATATCGAGAAGGTCGCTCAATTGCTGCTGGAGAAGGAAGTGCTGAGCCGTGAAGATATGGAAAAGCTTTTGGGCAAGAGACCTTTCACTGAACTCACAGTGTACGATGAATACGTCAGAAGACCTAATAATCAGGTATGTATTAACTCATTTTGAATCAGTTTCGGATACTCATTCGGTATATTTTCGTAGACGGAAGGTGCTCCTCCTGATTTTCCAAAGGAGGATGGCGATGGTAGTGTGCAAATCAAGTAGTCTTGTTCTTTTAAAGTGTTGTACATGTATATAAAATACACTTGATAATTTAATCTGACCAAGTAATCTGTGATTGATTGGAAGCAGTGCCTAAAGAGCTGTGCAATTTGAAAACTCCATTAAAATCATCATTCACGCGCCATCTCACACTTTAAGCTCTATTTCATCCTGAGCCATGATGGGACCTGAAATCTGTACACACAAACGCAATCATACGTGAATGTAGCCAAGTGTCAAAATTATCTCAAAAGACAGATCAGAAATACACATCACAGGGGCTGGTGCAAATGTGGGATTTATTAGTCTTTTTCGATGGAGCAAGCTATACAACTACCAATTTTCATCTCCTTTGCTGTGTACAAGGTTCTATAGTAACTCGCCTGCTCTTAATCTCTTGCGCACCATGTTATATACAATACTTTTTTTTTTTCCTTTTTTTTTTTTTTTCTTGAGCCTAATTCACTTGCACGTTGTTTTGAGATATAAATTGATACAGTTGCTCACCCTCTGCGGTAGACTGTGGCTGCTCGTTTTGCTGCTGTGGTTGACTGGTGGTAGTGGCGTCTGTGGTCATATTGGCGTTTGCGGCACTGGAGGGATCCATGTTGTCAGTAGGAGCTGAGGCAGCAGCAGCAGCAGCAGCAGCAGCAGCATTGCGGGCAGATGCACAACTGGCTAAAGCGGGTTTGCTGCCTTGGGTGGTGGGTTGTAATGTTGTTTGAAAGGCTCCAGATAGATCAGCTGCTGGTAATGATGATGGAGGAGCTTTAACATACAAGAACTGCTGTGGTTTTTGCATTTGGTTACCTTTCTTTGATTTGTTATTGAAGTGTGCTTGTCGGATGTTTGCAATGTCCTTCTTGAGTACGTTATCGATACCTTTCAGTTGAAGATATTCCATGATGGTGGAGTTGGTGGATCCAGAGTTCATCAAATCAATGATTAATTGTTTTGTCTCTGTAGACAGCTTTCGATGTTGAGCATAGGCCTTGATGTCTGTAGCCATCTCATGGTTGTGCTCGTAATTCACCTTGTAGATGATCCAGCTGGATCCCATGGGCTTTGCTCGGATTTCAAATGGACACTGGATCTTTTGACTTAGCTTTTTGCGGGTGTTTTTCTTTGTGCTTGAAGTGCTAGCGGCCTCTTGTGTGGTTGTGGATGGATCAGCAGCGACAGTGGTAGTAGTAACTTCCGTAGATGCTTGCGCTTCGTTGGATGGCTCTTCAGGGGTGGCTAATTGAGAGTCGTTTGTAGCTGTCTTGGACTTTGTAGCACGATAGGCACCGGAATGCTTGCAGACAAGGACTAACTGCCTTGCCCCACTTCTCAGAGTTGATACAGCGAATTTATGTCTTCTTGCATAGCGAATAGCGGCTTGACGGATATCATTGATGCTATCGAAATTCTGTCTCACCTTGATCAACTCGTCTTCTTGTCTGTCGTTCTCCAGCATTTGTGTCAAAGAGTCGCGAATGAATGATAATTCTTCTGTCATTTTTGCTCTCAATGGGTGCAAGATGAAAGAAAAGCAAACAGAAAAAGAAAAACCTTTTATAATTCAACTGAAATACATCAACTTTTGCTTAGTGACGTCTCCTTGCCCGGATGGCTCTGCTTGTATGACTCTGTTTTAAGCATCTCTCTTCCTTTATTCAACTCTCTTTTTCTCCCTTCAAACGACTCTATTTCCTTCATCATGTCCGTGCCTTCACAGCAAGGAGAAACACCCTTTGACAGCTCAAGCAGGCTCAGCATGCCATCCAATGCCAATGTCAATCAGATATTGCAAACCTATTTTCAAAAGAAGGGCTTCAATCAAGCAGAGCTCGCGTTTATACAGCAACAGAATATCGCCTCTGAGCATAGTGTCCTTTCTCTAGAGCAATTGTCCAAGAAATTTAGCGCAGAGACGGAATCCATCAAGGAAAAGACATTGCCAGATCACATCAAGCTGCTGAAAGAGGATCCACATACCGGAGGAGGAGATTTAGAAGCACCTTGTCTAGAATATCGAAGCTTGAGAGAATGGACTTACAATGCTCTTGATCTGTACAAGGTAGACGGGGTAATGGCACATGGATATAATGCTTGACACTCAACGACTTGCACATGTAGAATGACCTCAGCACGCTATTGTATCCAGCATTTGTACACACATTCCTCCATATGATGTCCAAACAACTGGTGGATCATGGTAACGTTGGTTGTAGTTGGATATAGCAATGTGTGTGTGTGCTCACTGCATGAAAATAGCTGTCGATTTCTTCCAGGACTACAAAGACGATCACAATGAGAACCACAGCAAAGATTTAGACCAACTGCAGCAGATCAAATCAGTCAACGACATTCAGGACAGCACCATTGCCAAACTATATCTTAACAACAAGTACAATATCCGCATGCCATCCGTTCCCTTCGAGCTCTTTTTCCAATACATTCAAGACAACAAGTTTATCAACCTGATACGAATCGTAAATCAGTACTTGAATATACACATTGTTACCAGCAAACTGTCGCCGGTGTCTGCCAGTGGATCAGCCGCAGTGGATGAGGGTATTGCTGGCCATGCGAATAATCAATTGGACGACTTTCATCAAGCAACCACTGTGACAATAGACAGCCAGGTAAAATATGGCATTTGACAGGGGAATCAGAGTCATGCATGTACTCATATCTGTGCGGATAGGACAAGGCGGATGAAGACGAAATCGATCTAAACAAAGTAAAGGAAGAAGCTATTTTAGAGACAATGCAGCTGGATGATTTTGCTGCAGTGCCATAGTAAGGATAGATCTGCACTGACGTGAATGAGTAGCGCTGACCTGCTTGTTACATTAGCCGTAGCACAGACATCCAAGCAGAATTAGACTCGCTCAGTGATCTCAGAAAACGTGTGTCCCAAGGAAGCGCTGCATTACCGAGTGTCTGCATTTATACCTTTCACAATACACATGACAAGTAAGGTAGTTCTGATAGCAAATATGGATAATAGACTGACTTTCTTCGTTTCAAGGCTGAATTGTCTCACCATATCAGACGATGCAACACTGGTAGCGGGTGGGTTTTCAGAATCGTTCATCAAAGTCTGGAGCTTACAAGGCAAAAGGCTACTCAGCAAATCAGAAAGAGAGCAAGATCAGCCAGGCACAGCGTACAAGAAACTGATCGCTCATGCGGGGCCTGTGTATGGCGTCAGTTTCAGCCATGACAACCAATATCTTATCTCATGCTCAGAGGATCAGACAGGTAGGCATTTCAATGTACAATATGCAACGACACACTGTATTGATGGCCGAGACAATAGTGCGATTATGGAGCCTAGACACATTTACCAACTTGGTGTGCTATAAAAGCCATAATTATCCTATCTGGGATGTCAACTTTGGTCCTCATGGATTCTACTTTGCAACGGCGTCTCACGATAAAACGGCAAGATTGTGGAGTTGCGATCATGTAAATCCTCTGCGTATATTTGCTGGGCATTTATCCGATGTCAATGTGAGTGTGTGTGGTGTGTTTATGATGTGAATAGAGACTGATCACTTTGATAGACTGTCCGATTTCATCCAAACTCCAAATACGTGGTGACTGGTTCCAGCGACAACACAGCTAGATTATGGGATGTGCAGAGAGGAACTTGCGTGCGTGTGTTTACGGGACATACTGGACCAGTACATGCGGTCGCTGTGTCACCCAATGGACGACTCATGGCATCAGGAGGAGAGGATCACAGCATCATACTATGGGATCTAGGCAGCGGCAAAAAGCTAAAGAGTATGACAGGCCATACAGGCTTTATTTATACCGTGTGCTTTAATTATGAAAGCACTGTGCTCGTGTCGGGTGCTGCAGATGGTACAGTGCGCTCTTGGGATGTGAAAATGGGGACGCCGTATGAACACAACAGCGATTCCCCTGATCCAAAACGAAACAAACCCAATGGAAAGCAACAAAATGACAAAAAGGAGATGGAAAAGGCGAAATCCACAACGGATACGAGCAAAAGAAAGAAGGGATCCATAAAGAGGTTTGTTTCAAATGTTTGTTTTCTTGGCTTATATCCAACTCACCTCACACTGACATAGCAATGATCATCTCGCTGCATTTCATACAAAAAATACACCCATTTATACTGTACAATTTACACAACGTAATTTATGTCTTGCTGGTGGTGCTTTGAGTTCACCGTCTCTTGATTTGTAAAAAAAAAAGAAATATATACTCATCATACAATAAAACGTATTTGAGTGGGTTAAGGGTCCATCATTCAGTGGATATCTGGTCATTGTTTTTACTTGCGGGCTTATTTTTGTCAGTGTAGGCTTTATTTGTAGTGTAGGAAGTAATTGACATGTTTTTCAATCGCTACTTCAAGATAGCATTCATGCAATTCAAGATGCCTTGGTATATATTTCCTGAACAGGTCGATATCTATCATCAAAATGGTAGGACATGCACTAAAATGGTAGTTAGAGATCTCTGGTACACATTTTCGCCAAGATCTTGCCATTTAAATCCAAATATAAGCCTAGAAGTAAGCATTTGCTCATGCTTCAATGCCAAACGGCTCTTCAAATCATTGTAACTCATACATTCAGAAATTCTTGATACAATAAGGGCCATTTTGAGCCTTAAGCAAGAGCTCCAATTAGTATTTAGTGTCTTGTGAAGCAATTATTAACACTGGAAGACGCTCCTAGATACAGTGTAGCTGTTGAGTTTTGTCCGTTTTGAAAAATAAATAGCGATTTCCGAGTTTTCGAAATTTGTCACTTAGAAAAAAGGTTATACAGATAGAAGTGAAATGTTCAATTAAAGTGAGCAGCTAATTAATAGTTTGTTTTGCTATAGCGTTTGACAACTTGGCGCTTGGAGTGTCTACAGAATCCCAAGATATCAACAAGACGTACGTTGTGCTTGGGGTGACGCTACTCTTTTATGGAAATAAAGTGTGGGTGGGCTTTTCTTTCTAATGAGACATCGTCTTTTCCCGGTGATCCAATGTTGCTTGGTGCATGCTATTTCTTACTATGAGTTAGGCGTTTCGCACAATTGAAATCCGATGCTCGTGCTCGCACGTAACATCAAATTAGTAACTGTCAATTCATTTCGTCTTGCAAGGCAACCCGTTCCTGAAAAAAATCAGAAGAGCCATTTGTAGTTTTTGCGACCATCGACGCTGCCTTTATTCCGCTGGCTATTACACAAAATGACATTAAAAATAAAGAGCCTTCATCTTGACCTCGGGCCTTTTTTTTACGCATCTGTAATTCTTTGCGACAGATTTTCTTCATTCATCAACCTACGGCGCTTTATTTTTCCTTTCACAAGAGCCCAAAGCTGCTCAATAGGGTCAGCATTAATACACCACAATCTTCATTTTCTGATAGTAGAATTGCCACACTATTAGCTGCTGTTGATGCTCTTAAGATGCCCACATAAAGCTGGTCATGTGCAAATACAGGACTTGTATTAGATCTTCAGCGACTTTTTTTTAAGAGATTGTCATCACAAAAGACATGTTTATAGGGAAAAACCGCCAACAAAAACAAGAAAAAAAGTATTTAAGCTAAGCAATTGTCCTTTCAAATTCATGGCCCCAATTTAATCAGCATCGCAATCATTCTTGTCATCAACATTGTCATGATCAGAAAGGTATTTGGATCAGCCAGCAGCAGCAACGTCTGCCAAAATTGATTCAATCTCAGCTTATTTTTTTCTGCTCAAGATTGGTCAACTTTTGTCCTTTTTTCGACTTGATTGAACTATTTCATGATATTCGACTATATAAGCTGTAATGATCATCCAATGTTTCCTAGTACATTCTTGCAGTGCTTTTCAAGGCGCTTCCAATGGTGCTAATTGTAATAGGTATTTTGAATGAAATTGCTGAGCAATTTGGTAAGATATGAAATGAGGTTTTTAGCGAAAATGTCGAGATTTTGCATACAAAGGCTTCAAAAACAGAGTTCCAGGAGTTACTTTAGATTGAGAGAAACATTTTGATTCAATATATACCATAGTAAAAGACTTCATTTTCAAGGCGAAAAACGCGATCGTTTGAATTTCGATGAAAACCATGAGGGGGTACCTCATGGTTTTCGGTCAATTTTTGGCCATGTTTTTTTTGGGTCTTCAAAAAGTTGAGCAAAGGTGTCAGGAAGTTACTACTACTCGAGTACAATTGTTTGGCGTCATTCCAGCGGCTCAGAAAGGTCTCTATGTCAAGATATGAAGGCTTGAAACTGTCCAATTTGGTCATGTTTTTGCTTTATGGCTTATATTTACAAGGCATGAATCTCATCTTTGGTAGCTGAAATCTTCTGAAGGCCAGCTCTGCAGCCTGTGCACCTTCCAAATCGAATAGGAGGCAGATTGATTTTGGTAAAGCTAATTCATGCAAATTTTGATGCGTTATGTTCTTGTTAAGTTCATTGATAACAGAAATGAAAAGCCAAATTCTCTGCTTGTATGTTATATGATTAAAAGTAAAGCTTTCTAAGGCACGTTGTTATAAAAAGCCTGGGTATTACTATCTCGGTAAAAGCCTTATTTGTGCTTGCCATATAACGATTAAGAGTTTATTTAATTATGGTATTGCTTTAAAAAATGCAGGTGTATTTATTACTTATTTATAGAAAAAAAAAACTACCAACCCTACCCAACCATCCAACCAAAGGGTATGCTTAAGAGAAAGAGATAAAGAAAAAGTATAAGAAAAAAAGACTAATCATTGTCGCCTCCATCATCGTTATCCTCCTCGTCATTTTCATCATTAACGTCGTCCTCTTCATCATCGTCGTCCTCTTCATCATCGTCGTCCTCTTCATCATCGTCGTCCTCTTCATCATCGTCGTCATCTTCATCATCGTTGACCTCGTCTTCCAATTCATCCTCTTCTACATTGTCCCAGACAACCTTGCTGGTACCATTTTCTTTTTGTTTTACTGTGATATTACTTATACAATCGTCAATGCCTTTTCGTTTTTTTCCTCTACAAGCTTGCTTTTTTATCGCTTCACATATAGCCTACAAAAGCATTGTTAACAATATTATTATTATTGTTATTATTTTTTCCACTTACCACGAGATCCAAAAGACCTTTTGCGACTTCAGTTGATTCTTCAGCAAAGCTATTCAGGTTTGAGGGAAAGGTTATTGATTTAACCTTCTTGGTAATATAGAGGTTATTAGATTTTAAAAATACGACACATAAGTGCATTTCAAAACCCATAGCAATGAGGTAGGGAATGTAGACATCGTCTTTTTCTTGATTGATTGCGTTCTTGTTTATCACCGAGTTGAGCAAGGCTTTTGAAGCTACAACAGTCTTTCTTTTGTCTTTGAAGTATTTGGGTGTTGAACATTCTTTCGCAACTTCACCGTAGCCATGGTCTTGAAGTTTAGAGTTGCTGATTGCTATTAATCTGAGGTCCATCTTCATCTTTACCCCTAACGAAAGTAAAGATCCAGGGATCGTATCGCCCCTAAGATAAAGAGTTGTTGAATGAGAACACAGGGCACGTAAAATGCAACAAAGTAGTATATTACCAATGGGGGATGATGGAGGAATTTTTGAACGCTTTTTCAACCAATGGTCCCCAGAATTTGACAACATAATCACATTCAGAATAAGACTTGATCAGTGAGCTTTCGAAAAGGTAGGCTTCTTTTAGATGCTTTTTGATCCTATTCTCGTAATAAAGTCAGTACATACTTGCAGTCAGCCAAATCATTTAGATACTTACAGAAATTTAAGGATTGAGACACAAGTAGTAGTGTCTTTGTTCTTCTTTACAGTAGTTTCCAGCTGATTAAGAGATAATTGTAATCCCCTATTTGTTGTTTTATTGCTCTAAAAAAGGATGAGTTTTTTGAACAAACGGTTACTTTCAGATTATACCTCATCACGTGGTCAAGCTCTTTTTCGTCGAACTCAGGACCCTTAGAGAATTCAACAATAATATTTCTTAAGGTTGGTGACAACAGCATCAAGGGCGAGCCAGGGCTTGTATCTGATATGTCAAGTATATGATTTCTTGATAGTCTTCAAGTGTACGTGTTAGAATGAAATGTATTCTTCAAGAAAAAAAAAAAAACGATACGTTTTGTAGTATAGAGTCTTGTAGTTTCTAGGCTTTGTGCGACTTATTGAATTAAACATAGACTTCACATCGTTGAACTAAAGAGGCGTGTCAGTGAGGGCAGTTAGTGTTTAATCCGTCAGCACCTACTTGCTTTGGTTTCTTTTTCGTTTTCTTCTGCTTGCTCTTTAAAATATAGATGAGAAACTAGATTATCAGTTCAAAAAACTGTTAAAGGTTTACCATTAATGCTTTTCTCTATTTGAAGTCTGTCAATTAGTCTTTTATAATGACATATTAACGATGAATGATTATACCTGTTCTAAAATTGCCTTCTCTTGAGCCTCTGCATAAAGGAGTTCTCTGTTTTTCGCGTTCCTGAAAAGTTTTTTATTTAACTTATTGGTGTACATTTTTATTGAATAGTAAAGATAAAGGGATAATACTATGCGCTTCTGTACTCCCAAATATTTTCAGTATATTTTGGAGACTTGGCCAAATAGCAAATCATATCTTGGGCTTTCGATGACGTATGCTGACAAGAAACGTATGTTTCAAAATTTAAAAAAAGTTGATAATAATTCTGTTTTTCCTTGTTTTATATTTCATCTAATGCTCCAATATCAGACTGAACTTGTGGCAAGGAGAGCGACATCAACGCGTCTTGTTGCAAGCAGTAGGTCTAGCTGCTCGTGTTTGATATTGTTGTGTGTATAGGTGGTGTGGCCTGCAGTCAGTAGCAGATATTGGGTTGATGTACCGTGCTGCCAAACATCGCTAGAATTTGAAAGCTGTCTCTTTTGACTGGTTGATTGTAGGTTCACATCACAGTTCTCTTATCAGCATACAAAGGTAAGAAGATAGCAAGTTTATATTCAGATATATATATTGACTAGCTGCGTGCTGTCTTGAAAACGTTCTGTAGCGGGCATACGCATGAATCACCCACAGCAATATCAGGCTGAACTTGTGGCAAGGAGAGCGACATCAACGCGTCTTGTTGCAAGCAGTAGGTCTAGCTGCTCGTGTTTGATATTGCTGTGTGGATAGGTGGTGTGGCCTGCAGTCAGTAGTAGATATTGGGTTGATGTACCGTGCTGCCAAACATCGCTAGAATTTGAAAGCTGTCTCTTTTGACTGGTTGATTGTAGGTTCACATCACAGTTCTCTTATCAGCATACAAAGGTAAGAAGATAGCAAGTTTATATTCAGATATATATATTGACTAGCTTCGTGCTGTCTTGAAAACGTTCTGTAGCGGGCATACGCATGAATCACCCACAGCAATATCAGGCTGAACTTGTGGCAAGGAGAGCGACATCAACGCGTCTTGTTGCAAGCAGTAGGTCTAGCTGCTCGTGTTTGATATTGCTGTGTGGATAGGTGGTGTGGCCTGCAGTCAGTAGTAGATATTGGGTTGATGTACCGTGCTGCCAAACATCGCTAGAATTTGAAAGCTGTCTCTTTTGACTGGTTGATTGTAGGTTCACATCACAGTTCTCTTATCAGCATACAAAGGTAAGAAGATAGCAAGTTTATATTCAGATATATATATTGACTAGCTGCGTGCTGTCTTGAAAACGTTCTGTAGCGGGCATACGCGTGAATCACCCACAGCAATATCAGGCTGAACTTGTGGCAAGGAGAGCGACATCAACGCGTCTTGTTGCAAGCAGTAGGTCTAGCTGCTCGTGTTTGATATTGCTGTGTGGATAGGTGGTGTGGCCTGCAGTCAGTAGCAGATATTGGGTTGATGTACCGTGCTGCCAAACATCGCTAGAATTTGAAAGCTGTCTCTTTTGACGGGTTGGCTGCAAGTCCTCCACCCTAGTTGCTGTTACGAAACTGGTTGGCTAAACGTGGTGCTTTCAACGCGAATTGGCCTTACTAAAGAAGTGCTTTTTGAATAACTTGACTCGATGAGATCAAACATCAAGATACAATTTTGACCACAAACACTTCTTGATGGACTATCTTTTGGACAAATATACACTCATCCCGGTTCCCAATAGCTGCCTCACGGGCATTTTCTGCTAAAGTTTATCGACCTTGTAGGCTAACTTGCAAAAACTAAAAATAAACTGAACACTGATTGAGAATGGATGGGCCATACCTTTATGAACAACCAGAGGTCTTTTTTTTTTTCAAATAGGCGTGTCTGGCGACTTTTGCACATGAGATCATGGCTACTTGCGTATATCTGTGGTATCTAATGTTATACAGTATGCTGCATCTGACTTTTAGAAATTGTCATGCTTCTCGAAAAATTACTCTCAATTTGTCGATTTCTTCATCTGATTGCTTTTTAGGCACAAGTGAATGTCTATTAAAATAAGCAGTTAACCAGAATTGCTTTTTTTCTATAGCAATTAACGATTTGGCGTTCAGGTTGTCTACAAAATCTATGAACATCACTGAGGCGTACAATGTCACACGCATCCGCAAATCTTCGAGATAGTTTTTTGCTCAAAACTGCTCGAGGGAAGCACATTGCTCTATAGCCCTACGCTCAATCTCTGTTATCGTTAGATGCGACTCATTAATAGTGTAATTATTCGTTACAATAAGGCCTCCGTCCGTGTCCATGGTATCAAGAAGCTCATTCATGAATTTCACAGAATGGGGAGAAGCTGTGCCCTTTGCTACTGGCTTGTTGTTCTCGATGACAGTATTCTCCTCAACATCAACTTACTCCATAGTAATCATGTGCTTTATTTGATAATATTTACAACTTGTTATTGGTGATAGGATCAACCTTGGCGAGGAACTCCTTCAAGTATTGATTACACTCTTCAGGCTTCTCCCAGAGAATCCAATGACCAGATCCAGGAACAAGGTGCATCTCTACACCAGGGATGAATTCAGGCATCTTGGCAGCCATGGAGGGAGGCAAAGCTCTATCGAGTTCAGCAATGACCATCATGGAAGGTTTCTTAATAATGGGGTCCAAATCCTTGCATTGAACATAGTTGTTGTGTGTTTGCTTGTACCAATTCAAACCACCACGAGCACCTTGTTTGGTATACCACTCAATGTAATAATTCATCACCTTCTCGGGTATCTTTTCACTGCGAGGTCTGTCTTCACGACCTTCAGCCAATTTACCAGTCTTGGGGTCAATCAAGGGTTGAGAGATCATTTCATCGACAGGACGGAAGATGCGACGAAAGAATTTGCCCACATTTTCATTGATGTCCTTTTCAGCTTCAGGTGTGGCCAAGTACAGTTGGTATTTGAAGTTGGGAAGTACTTGGACAATTTGCTCTAAAGTGACATCTTGTTGAGCAGGAGCTGTGTAGGGAGTACAGAAACTAGCAAGAGCTCTGACTCTCTCGGGGTAGAATTGACCAAAACGCCATGTAACGGCTCCTCCCCAATCATGACCGATGACAGTGATTGTAGGAATCTTAAGATGATCTAAAAGACCAGCTAAATCCTTCGACACAGTGCCAAAGCCATATTCAGCAGGATCGGCAGGACCATCCTTGAATTTTCATGCAAAACGGGTAAATAAGGTTTACCTTCCAATCTGATTCTAATACTTACTGTTTCACCAAAACCACGGAGAGAAGGCACAATGACACGATAACCGAGCTCTACGAGGAAAGAGATTTGCTCTCTCCATCCAATCCAACTATAGACAACATGAACATGTTGGTTTGTATACAGTTGAATCAAGTACACGCTGAAATTACTTACAGATCAGGCCAACCATGGATAAGCAACAAGGCCTTTGAAGAAGACGAGTTTTCATCCACATAATGCATACGTATGCCATTGATTTGAGCGTATTGATGGTTGTAGGTAGAGGGATCGTATTTATCCAACATGTTTATTTGTGTGTGTGTGTGAAAACAAGAAATGCGAAAAAAAAAGAAAAGGATGGGTGTGCTTTTATATGCTAAAACGAAACATTCAATGAACGCGCACACTGCTATTTTGGGATTCTGCTTACTTGATGAGAAATAAAGGTTAAACAACAGAAATTGAAGGGTAAAAATGTTTAGCCCTTTCGATCACTTGTTACTGCCAAAGAGTCTATTCCAAAAAGAGCTCTTCTCCTCTCTGCTTTCCTCTGTTCGGCCATCGGCATAACGTATCTGCTTGATCGTTTCTGTCACACCGTTGGATTTCTTGGTAATGGTCGTTTCCTGGGTCCCATCCGGTTGATATATAGTTCGAGAAGTTGTGGATGTGAATGACCAACCACCATTCTAATGCAAAGGAGTTTAGAATCAAATGGATTAAATCAAGCAAATTCCAGCTTACCTTATCTTCAGAGGGTGGTGCATCCTTACTGTTAGTATGCGTTACAGGAAGTGCATCTCTGTTTATGTTGAATATCTCGGCGGGTGGTTGCTGGAAAAGTAAATTGAATATCAATCCTGCTGGTGAGGGTGTCGTTGCTGTTGAAGATGATGGCACCATGTCTCTTGATGCTGCTGCCACTGGGGTTTCTTCTGTAGTAGAGATACCTCTACTTTCTTTGGATTTTCTGGCTAATCGCTTGAAATCGCTTCCACCATAGCCATCTTCCTCTACTACAGTGGATGCAGGCACCATACTATCCAAGTTTCTACCATTAAACACGGTGGTAATTGTATCGCCAATCTGCTTCGCTCCAGGAAATCCACTCTTTTCTTCATCTTCAAATATGCTCGAGTCAATCAGCTGTCTAAACATGGTTGAGAATGCCCCTTGCATAATGTTGTTCATGGCATTTTCAATGGCCTCTAAATCAGCGTCAAATTGGCTGGCATGGTTGTTGTTTGTTGGTGGTTGCTTTGACATTCCCGTGCGTAGTAAACTAGAGAATCTTGAAATGAAAGTGGAGTGTATTTGTAAGCTACTAGCAGGTTGTTTTTCAAAGTGACCGCAATTCGTTTATCAGGGTTGCATTGATGAGGATTGTTTCGTTTCTGGTAGTGTCTACTTGCACCATTTTGAGTGGTATATTAGGCTTTTCGAGTAACGAATGGTTTAATGAGGCTATATCATTTTCAAGAGGTTACCAAGGCTCTAGCCATGGATCTGGAGATATCGTTAGTAGTACCATTGCCTGATCAACTCGCTCCAAATAAACACTGAACTCTTTCAAATGAATCTTGCTCATTATTACTGAGGATGCCGCTAAATATGAATGGTATTTCCTACTCTACTTCATTTGTTGCATATTCTCTTTAGCGCGATATAGCTGCGCTACTGATAGGTACAATTAGATGGCGTAGTAAAGCCTTGCTAAGCATGTATTTGTAAGCCAAATACTGTTAAAGTGACCGTAATTTGAATTTAGTGTTGCATAAGATTTGTCATTGAAAAGCAAAGATAAATTTTCCATACTCCTTTCTCTCTCTCTCTCTTTATATCCAACAATGTCTACTATTCTCAGTGAATTCAATCCTTCTTTCAAGACGCATCAATCCAAGCCAAATGAACCCAAAAGTACCATGTTTACATGCCTTTCATGTCAGGTAGCTTTCCCCAACTCTGAAAAGCAAAGAAATCATTATCGTACCGAGTAAGTGTAGTATACTATAGATGAACACCTCTTCATATGACTAACATGATGATAGCTGGCACAAGTACAATCTGAAGCGTAAGATTGCTAATTTGTCCTCTGTTAATGCTGAGCAATTTGCACAAAAGGTGCTTGGTAAGTGGATCCAAAGCAGGAGCATGGCGAAGAGTTACTGACATGGACCGTCTATAACAGCCCAGCAGCAGCAAGGTAGGGAGGAACAGGAAAAACAAGGGCTGATTTATGAATGCCCTCTTTGCAAGTAAGTCGCTATACTTGATCTGATATACATGGGATGCTGATGAGCATTTGATCAGGAAATCCTACTACTCTGAAAATGGCTACAACAATCACATTCAATCGAAAAAGCACCTGGAATTAGAACAAAAAGCTGACGAGGAAGCGGAAAGAGACGATCTAGAGGATACTGTAATGATGGATGATACCACTTCACCTACTAGACAAGCAAAACCGACTGATCCTCTTACTGACTGTTTGTTCTGTAACCAAAGCAACCAAGACATCAACACCAACCTCCAACACATGTCCAAGGCTCATGGCTTCTTTTTACCCGATATCGAATATCTTAAGGATAGCCAAGGACTGATCAAGTATTTGTCCAACAAGATCCAGCTGGAAAAGTTATGCTTATATTGTAATGGTCGTGGAAAGGAATGGCAATCTGCAGCAGCAGCTCGTGCTCACATGTTGGATCGAGGACATTGTAAAATGGCATACGATGAAAGTGAGGATCCAGAGCAATTACTTAAATTCTACGATTTTGGCATAGAGGATGAGGCAGAGCCTATGGATGTGGATGAGGATAAAGTCAATTCAGACGAACTCGTGCTGGAGAATGGAATGAAGCTGGGTCATCGTAAATTTCTCAAATATTACAAGAGAAACCAAGCTAGAAAGGTAAGCATATAGACGAGATAATAAACGGTTTAGCTGTGTATTCACACACACGGGTAGACACTTGTTTCTGAAGCCGATGAAGCACAGCAGCAACAACAAGACCAACCAGAGACACTTCGTAGAAAGGAAAAACGCCATCTGGCTATCACAGATGGAAAGGAACAAGAGATCCAGAGAACTGCAGAGGGAATCAAGGAGACAGCCAAGAAGCAAGATTTTGCTAGACAACTTGCTTTCAAACAAAACAACAACCAATTACTTCGTGCTCGTATCCAGAATCCCATTTAGACACTCTTTTTATGTTGCATTATATATCGAATTACTAATAAAAGTGCATTTTTGATCTTGTATGAGTGTTTCCTTCAAGAATTTGCTCCAACCCTTATATTTTACATTATGGTATGTCGTATGAGACAGTGTATGTCTTGGAATCGGGTGCGATGTCCAAGATCTAATCAACGTAAAAACGTATGCTTCAAAGAAACATACTAAAGACACAATACCGTAAAGAAAGAAAGAAAGATATTATGTATGATAATTCACTTGAGGACTATTAATCAAAGAAAGCAAGTATATCATGGATACACCATTAAGCAATAAGAGCACCAGACATTACGGTTAAAGCACATTACAGCAATAATGCAGCAGGAATACAAGTATACAATGCATCATATTGGCAACATTACAAAAATGAGGTATCAACCTGCATTTACACTAGAATTTTATATGATACACACTCCACGGAACTTTTCAGATCAAGGTACACGAAGCAAATTGGATCAAATACGATGCTCCCCATATACAACAATACACACGGCTCATTTCTAATCTTACAATACACCAAGGCTGTGCCTTTACATACGGTAATATACCCAAACGCTGCAACATTTGGCTATATTGAAGTGTTAATTGCTCGAGTTACAGGCTGTTTTAGACAACCAGGGTAGTGCCAAACAGTGTTTCTCGACTTGTAGCTACTTGCTGATGCTTAATCTCAAATTTTTTTGGGTCACGTCAGATTGATGAAAATCCTCAATTTTTCATGAGTATTAGCAAGGCAAAATCCTTAAAATTCAATTGATCGCATTTTTCACCCCCCAAAACGTCGTTTTGTCCTATGATGTATATTAGATCAAAATGGTTCTAGAAACCCAATGCAACACCCTAAGCTGTTTAATCAAGGCTTTCATAAACGAAACATTGACTTTTTTGCCAAAATCTTATATTCACATTTTTGATGATTACATGGTACTTTTGGTGAAAAAGTTTGATGTATATAGCACCGTTAGATGCTTCTTCAAAAATGCTTCAAAAAAGTATAGGACGAAGAGTACGGCAAATACGACTAATGTAGTCAAATTTGCTCTGCAAGCTCAAAGAGGTCGAAAATTAAATATCTGAAAAGGAAATAAACCTACCTTGCGGAATTTGAAATACTCACTGTCAGCTTAAATGCTCATTACAAATGTATGAAGCAATCGATGCTTACTGTAGCTACCTCAAGGAAGTGTATTACGTGCTATAGTAATTGCCTACATTTTAGAGAATAAAATACACTTATATGAGCCTTTGCGCCTCTTAAAAGAGCTAAACGGTTGCGAAAAGCTGTCCGAAATGCAGCGAGTTATTTGAGGATGTGCAAACTTGGAGCAGCAGTGATATTACATTTCATCTTGTGTCTAGATACGTTTTAAATAAAACTTTAACAGGCAATACCTCAAAAGATAAAATACTATAAATACACCTTTGCTACTATAATCTGGCAGAAGCTCACTGCTTGTCTTTTTGAGATCAAATATGCTCACTGTCGTAACTTGAATTGAATATGGGTGGGTCCATTCATATTGAGCCAGCGCGATGAGCAAGCAAGCGAGAGAGAGAGAGAGAGAGGACCTTCGCGTCACTCTACAAACTAAATTAACAAGTACCTTTTCTTTCTCTATTAGAAATTAGCATATAAAATACCATGGTAAACACATTTTGGCTTTTCTCAATGTCAAGCCAAGCATCTAAATCTTTGTAAATTAGGTTGTATTAGCCGCTGCCGTTGTCACCAAGAGTGGAAAAGGTATTTATTTACACTCTTTTGTTCGAAACAAGTAGAGAAAGCTAACCCTTCTTCAAAGCTGTTATCTCTCGTCAGTTCCATGAGATGCAACGTTCTCGTATTGAAGGTCTTTTGGCCTCTTTTCCCAAATTAACCAGTACTGGCCAGCAACATACAACAGTTGAAACTGAACATGTTCGTTTTGTCTATCAACCTTTGGATGAATTGTTTATGGTTTTGATTACCAACCGTCAGGTAAGCTATACTGGCAGTAACTATATCCAACAGAAGAGCCTGACGACTATATAGTCCAACATTCTGCAAGATATCGAATCTCTTCATCTGTTTGCTCGTGTTGTTACTGATCTCTGCCGCTCCTGTGATGAAATGAGTATTCTTCGTAACGCTTTCGAGTTATTATGCGCCTTTGATGAAATCATCTCGGTTGGTTACAGAGAGAATGTCAACTTGTCTCAAGTAAAGAGTTCCATTGAAATGGAGAGTCATGAAGAAAGAATTCAGGAAATTATTGCCAAGGTAGGTGGACATTGAGTATTACACCTTATGGCGATTGACACACATACGCACTTCGAAATAGAACAAGGAGCAAGAGGCCAAGGAAGAGCTCAAGAGAAGAGCTAAACAATTCGAGATGCAAAGAAAGGAAGCTCAAAAGCGTGGACAAGGATTTATGCAGGGTAACTTCAACTCTAGCAACAGCAGCATGATGGGAGGTTACGGTGGTGGCGGAAGTGGATACTCTCCTTCATCAGAATCAATGCCATCTATGAGAGAATCACCATCGTCTTACAGCAGACCTTCCAGCAACGCACCATCTGCTACATCCAAAGCAAAGGGTATGCAATTGGGCCGTAAACCCAAGGCTGCTGATCTTTTCGAGGCTATCAAGCCTGATGTCGAGGAACCTTTATTGAACACCGCATCTTCTTATCATCAAAAGACTGCTCAAAGCAACCAAGAAAGGTGTGTTTGTATGATTTATGGAGAAATTGCAAATATTCATCACTTCTGCATAGTGTTCACATTGATATCGAGGAACGTGTGTCTGTTGCTGCCAACAAGGACGGTGGATTAGAACAAATGGAAGTGAGAGGTGTCTTGACACTGAAAATTGCTGATCCCTCTAGCGCACGTATCAGCCTTGCGCTCAGAGCCAGTGATGATGCTTCTATTCAATTCAAAACTCATCCCAACGTAGACAAGAACGCATGGAAAGACCAACATATTGTCCAAATGAGAGATTTATCGCGACCCTTTCCAGCTAATCAAAACTTGGAAGTTGTTAGATGGAAGCTATCTACAAGAGACGAAACAGCTGTTCCTTTGACTAGTAAGCATGCTTGAAAAGGCTAGCTATTAATGCAAGACTAATCGAGATTTTTTTCAGTTACATGTTGGCCATCCCCCGCTGGAAACGGTACATGTGATGTCAATGTAGAGTATGAATTGGAGAACGATGATTTAGAATTACGAGATGTGGTCATCTCTATTCCTTTACCGTAAGTAACCTGCTATACACTACTATTTACAAGCGACTAATAGCTTATAGTGCTGAACCCACTGCTGATGTGACTCAAGCAGATGGATCCTACTTTGTTGATCGTGCCAGAAGAGTACTTGAATGGCAACTTCCTGTCATCAACAGTTCCAACAAATCTGGTCTTTTGGAATGCAGTATTCCTGGTGATGATGCCAACAGTTTCTTCCCTGTTGTGGTTTCATTTATGAGTGAAAAGTTGATTTGCGGTGTCGATGTCTTGAGCATCTCCAATGTTGAGAATAACTCTGAAGCTCCCTACTCAAAGGAGATTCTAATGACTGCAGAGGATTACGTTATTGGATAAATTTACATGAAATAAACCGTTTAATCATATCGTATTATACTATTGTCTCGTATGCAATGGTTGGAAGCTCAGGCGACGTTTGCAGTGGGGCGTTTCAATAAAAATCAAATATGAAATGTCAAGAGTCGGTAAGGCGAGCTGACGATCATTTAAGTTGAGGTAAGCATCGTTCTAGTTGCTTGTAAATGAAAGTCCTTGGAGGCATTTTGGAATGAATGACGTCTTTTACATGTTCTCTACCTCATCTTCAAATGCAAGAGCCAAGAGAAAAGTGCACCATGTCTCCCCAGATGAAAAGTTTATACCCAATAGCGAATGCACTGGTAAGTTCGATGAGTATACCAAACAACTTAAAGGTTCTCACTATTTCGCTTAGCATAAAAGAGAGCCCGCTGGAAATCTGAATTTACCATCGAAGAAGAGCTGTATCACCAATTGCTTGTACAATCTATCCATGGAATTCATTAACAACTTTGCGAACCTCACTCTCAGTCAGACGTCATTATTACAGTAACTGTGAAGTATATAATTACTAGTCGATCTATCTCGCTACACTCAATGTCGGCGTTGCCCTGCGGGTTTTCGCCAAAGACATTTTGGTATATCAAGTAGATTTTAAATAATCAATTATTATTAAAAAAGGTTATATCAGATCCAGGAGAAGAAGGAGAGGAGGTATCTCCCTCAGCATCCTTTTTGCTTACATTGATACCAAACGAAGCCTATTATTGAGACGATATGAGAGAAAATTCAGCATTTGTATACCACAATTTCCATTTTCTGATAGTAGAATTGTAATGTCATTCGCTGTTGCTGATAATTTTAATAAGATGGCTGCATAAAGCTGATCATGCGAGAATACAGGACTTGTGTAAGATCTACAGCGACTTTTTTGAGATATTCTCATTGCAAAAGACTCCTTTATCAGGCAAAACTCCCCAGAATGTGTTCGTACTAATCAATTGTCCTTTCAAATTCATGGCCCCAATTTAATCAGCATCGCAATCATTCTTGTCATCAACATTGTCATGATCAGAAAGGTATTTGGATCAGCCAGCAGCAGCAACGTCCGCCAAAATTGATTCAAACTCAGCTTATTTTTTTCTGCTCAAGATTGGTCAACTTTTGTCCTTTTTTCGACTTGATTGAAATATTTCATGATATTCGACTATATAAACTGTAATGATCATCCAATGTTTCCTAGTACGTCCCTGGTGGTAGGGCGAAGTGGTAGAACTCCCGTATGCCAACGGGAGGATCCCGGTTCAAATCCTGGTGAACGCAAGTTGTTTGATTTTTTGAAGTAGTACTGATGTCCTCGTTTGGTGTTTTGTACTCTATCCATTATCTATATTTTGACGATTTCCGCAAGACTGTTTTGGCTCTAGGTGTCGCACCTTATTAGTAGTAGATTTCTTTCCCAACTTAATTCAAAAATATCTTATTCCCCTTCTTTGCAGACATTGGGTCCACCAGCAGTCTTTTCTTTCCCTCAGTATGACATTTTAAGGACTTTAAATAAAACCTGGAGCTCGACTCCCCTACAAAAAAAAAAAAAAAATGTTTCCTAGTACATTCTTGCAGTGCTTTTCAAGGCGCTTCCAATGGTGCTAATTGTAATAGGTATTTTGAATGAAATTGTTGAGCAATTTGGTAAGATATGAAATGAGGTTTTTAGCGAAAATGTCGAGATTTTGCATACAAAGGCTTCAAAAACAGAGTTCCAGGAGTTACTTTAGATTGAGAGAAACATTTTGATTCAATATATACCATAGTAAAAGACTTCATTTTCAAGGCGAAAAACGCGATCGTTTGAATTTCGATGAAAACCATGAGGGGGTACCTCATGGTTTTCGGTCAATTTTTGGCCATGTTTTTTTTGGGTCTTCAAAAAGTTGAGCAAAGGTGTCAGGAAGTTACTACTACTCGAGTACAATTGTTTGGCGTCATTCCAGCGGCTCAGAAAGGTCTCTATGTCAAGATATGAAGGCTTGAAACTGTCCAATTTGGTCATGTTTTTGCTTTATGGCTTATATTTACAAGGCATGAATCTCATCTTTGGTAGCTGAAATCTTCTGAAGGCCAGCTCTGCAGCCTGTGCACCTTCCAAATCGAATAGGAGGCAGATTGATTTTGGTAAAGCTAATTCATGCGTTATGTTGTGGGTAAACTTATTAATAATGAATATAAGAAACCAAATTTGCTGCTTGAATACTGTGGTTTTGCGCCTTCGCTTCGCTACGGTAACGACTTCATATAGATTAATGTTATCAAATGTTGAAATAGATGCTTAGTTACCATGGTTTCGCACTTTTGTTTTGCTACGGTAAACCCCTTCTATAGGTCAATGTTACCAAATGTTGAATTAGATGCGTTATGTCTTTGATAGGGGGGCCAAGCCCTTCCCCAAACCCCCTTCCCATTGCCAGCTTCGCCAGTAGTCTATTCGTCTTGTCCAGCACACCCAATTCTTTGAATTTTCGAAAAGAAAACAAAGTGTGTAAATCATATCAATATATTATATGATTATTGCATTAGTTTCATTGGACATTCCCATGCAATGTGCGCAAATGATTGCATAGTCATTCTCACCAGGAAGGATTTTATTTCCTTTTTATATGTTCTTTACTTTCAAAGAAATTTGCGTATGGTAATGTATTAACGTTGTCAGGTATTGCATGGTATTGTATTCGAAATTGGAAGACCGAGGCTTGGCTGAAAAGCGACAAAGTTTCTTTCTTGCTGAGGGATCAAAAAGACACGAAACAAACAGCCCAGCTCAGTGTTGTTAGACTTGGAGGCTATTCCTGCCTCGACAAAATGGCTCATCTTGCGGTGGTAATGATACTTGCAATCATATCGTTTCCTGACGGCCCTAGTCATCATGCTGATATTACCTTCATTTATTTTTGTGGGAAATGCTCTTTTATCCCATCACTACTAAATTCTTCATGTAGGACCGATTAATAGGTATTTGTACAATATTGAAGTAAATTTATTGGCAACTCCCATAGGATTGCTTCGTTAGCCTAGTGGCAACGTATGTCTACGAAACAAATCGCTTTGCAATCCGTTCCTTAACCCAGTATTAGCAAGGCTGTCAATTATGGTGCTCCACGAACCAACAGAAAATGGCCATCTGGGTAGTGAAACTGCCAGCCGCACGATGCAATTGCCTCCTCATTTCAACGCAATATTAGGAGCCTGCGGAATACCGTTCAACAAATAGATCCTTGCCGTCATATACTATAAATATTATATTAATACACATCGTTAAGATTTCAACGCAAAGAATAGTGCAGTAGCAAGCAGAATCGTTCATGGGATATTAAGATAGCCAAAATATCTCTTTAAGTAGACTCTGGAAGCTGTTATCTTGTGAGGTTCATGCGCAGATATTCCTATTATAAAATGTTGCTCATCTTCTAGCACACATGAACTTTGACACGCACTATGTCAATTTGAACGGCGCCAAATGTTGCACATACAAGAGTTGTGTGTATTCTTCATAAAGTGCGCTTTTCTTCTCTTTCTTTTCTCTCGAACAACACACTATAGTAACATGTCTGACGGTATAAGACAAGCACTTATCTCAAGCTTGTTTCCTCCAAGTAAGTTGGAAAGATACACATCTAAAACATCCGCTCATCTCACCCACATGTAGGCTCTCAGGAAAAGCTAATAGTTCACGTTAAAACATACAAGGATATCCAATCTTCAGAGACGAGCAAAGACATCAAGGGAACCCCTCGTTATCTATGCTTAACCCGTAATTATACAATGTTCTTGATCAGGTATAATACTGTTGCTAATTTGAGTATGTATTTTGATAGAAAAAAAGAGCGCTATACGACTCTTGAAGGTCAAGAGAAACCAAAATGGCACCTTCAGCATCAGCAAAGCATGGTCTCTGGATGATATCAAGCAAATTCAGATTGTGGATGTAAGCTTCATATCATATATATATATATATACCAGCTGCTTGACATCTTACGCTTCCTGTAGGCTCATCAATTTTCTATTACACTCAACAAGACCTACTTGTGGGCCGTTGAGCGAGGCAGAGATAAGATGATATTTTTAGCCTTCTTGATCGACGTAAGAGCACCTATACAGACTGATTGACTTTGACTCACACCATTCACAGTCTTGTAGACGTTCAGCAGCTCGCATGCCAAAGTTGGTCAACATTGATGAAGCTCGTATCATTCGCTGTAAGTGTCTCATGTTGAATGTTTCCCGACCATTGTATTGAATGACTCGCTTAGTCCTGGCTGATCCATCTGCACCCTCCATGGGATCCACCAACACAATAACCACCAACATTTCTGACAGCAATGTGGACAACCATCTAATGACTCAATCTCCTGTTGCGCATGACAATTCGTATCCTCCATCGCCTTCCACAAGCACTGGATACAATTATCACAACAATAGTCTGCCAATGTCTGCTCGATCCGTCAGTGCCATGTCTGAGAATCAACGTCCAACTTCCCCTAAAGCTGCATTTGCCCCATCTCAACCTCCTGCTCAGTCAACACCCCCGCCTCCTCAGCAACAGCGTCAACATGAGCAGCCTATGCCTTCTTCTCCACAGCCATCCAGTTACGCACAATCTCCCGTCAAGACCAGCATGCCCAAGCAACAGCCCGCTGTAAGAGCTTCCCCGCCACCCCAAACTGCAATTCAGTCAGGTAATGTTATAATTTGTGATGTGTGCCTAAGTATCATCTAACTTCCAACTCAAAGCATCTCGTGAAGATACTCATAACAGGTACAATGCCTCTGAACAGCAGCAGCAGCAGCGCAATGATCGTAAAGAAAGAGATCGTGTCCGAGAAGCCAAGCGAGAGCGTGATAGAATGGAGAGACGAGCTCAAGAGGAAAAGCAGCGTCAAAAGAAGGCCGAGGAGATTCAAGAAAAGATGGCAGAGCAGGCTTCTTTGATGAATGTAGAAGAGTTGTTGACAGACTTCAATTGGAAGGCAAGCGGTAATGCAGCAGCATTGGAAAAAAGACTACTGGGTGAATTACACGCATTGGAAGCAGTAAGTGGGAACACAACGTGGGACTCGAGAGTCAGCTATTGACATGACCTTTGTATAGGCCAATGTGCATGCCATGATCCAATCAGACGAACGAGTTCGCTCCATTGTAGAACACATTGATAAGTCGTTAGAGGAGCTCGATAGTATGGAAAGTTGGTTGTCGCTTTATGGCGCAGAGCTCAACGTAAGTGATCAGAAAGCAAAAAGTGCTTAAGCTTCTTCTTCCCCTCCTCTCCCTCCTCCCCCACACATTCATGCATTGTTACATATGTTCATCCTTTAGGCATTTTTTTTTCTTTTCTTTCAATGTATAATTAAACGCATCCTTTTCTCTCTCTTTTGTATACTGTTCTAGAGTATGGGTGATGATATTCGTGAAATTGAGACACAAAACAAAGCGCTTCAAATATTGAATTCGAATCAGCATGCTTTGATTAATGAATTGGATGGTTTATTGGTAATATCTAACAAGTGTGTGATGCGGTAGTTTCTAATGCTTTCAAGTAGACAGCCATCTCTATACCCAGGCGTTGTCTTGACAGCCTTCAAAATGACCCCATGGACACAGTCGATGATGTGATTCGCATCCAAGAGTCTGCTGAAATGCTGCAAAAAGTCATCAAGACCAAACTAGGCGACGGACTGCAAGACATGGCTGCTGTTCAGCAACGATTAGAGACTTACAACATACACGGCAACAAGTTTAGCGAGAGAATCTTCAAGTTTTTGAAGGAACAGTTTGAATATCAAGCCAAACAGTACTTTGATTACAAAACGAGAGCTTCGCCGGTAGATACCAGGAAAGGAGGCACAGCAATCATCGCTCAGCCTCATGAACCTATTGAAGACAAGCTGATCAAATACCAAGGATTCAATCTATGGGAGAAGGAGATGGAGCCAAGAATGTATAATGAACTGCAAAGAGTAAAATTGCTACTTGTAATCTATGAATGATGTGAACGCTAATCAATCTGAATCTAGTGCTATGCGCAAGCCATGGCGCCTTTATATGACCGGGATGTTCGTGATTTGATTGAGAGTACTCGCGCTTATTATGCTACTCTGCGCAAAAGAGACGTTGATGAACTTGAATACAGTAAGTACATGTGTGTATTACCGATGCCACTTAGACTCAATGTGTGTGTGCGTGTGTGTGTGCTAGTCTTCAAGCCCGAAGAATCTCGTCCTGCAAGAGCTCTCGCTTATGCTCCCAACTTGAGAGGTGATGATTCCAAACCTCATCGATACAGACACATGCTTCGTGGTTCAGTAGAAGGTGTGATTGGAGGCAGTTTTAACAACGGTAGCGGACGTGCTAGTGTAGATGAGGATGAAAAGGCTGCTGACGATGTAAGTTTTCAAACGATACGCTACCTGGACACACCCTCTAACATCGATTCAATCCAGGCCTTTGCTCAAATGATCAGCCAAGCAGTAATGCTAGTTTGTAGAGAGCAAAATTACATGAGTGATTTGTTTGAACAGACATTAAACGGGTCAAGATCTTTCTTGGAGAGAGGTATGGTGTACTCACAAGTGCCCAACAAATCAGATCTGTACAGTCGAAGAGATAAAATCAGAGATGTCAAGGTCTCTAAAAAAATTCTGTAAGTACCACTTAGCCAGTGCTTTATGTGGTTTCATGTACTCATACCGTATGCGTAGCACATGGATGGAAATCATCTTTGAGACGCTAGAGCCAAATCTTGTGGGTCTGTTGGAATACGGTGTAAAGAGTGATCCTACGTAAGTACCTCAAATCAGCTAGCATGTTTTGAGTACCAACACATGGCGATATAATAGACAAGCTGTCAGCATGCTGGGAGCAGTAGAATTTCAGCAAGAAAAATGGGATGGCTCAGATCAGGAATTCACCTTGCGTCTGTGCAAATCTATATTACAGAGATTGACAAAGATGTTTGAGAGCTTCATTGTAAGTGGTCTCTGGGCCATTCGACAACGCACGTCTGACTGATAGTATGTAGGCGGATCAAGTGCGCATCATTGAAGAAACCAAAGTGAGTTCCAAGAAACGAAAAGGCATCTTATCCTTCTTCCGCACATTCCCTGTGTTTGCCATGCGTATGGAAATGGCAGCTGTCAATGTGCAGCCTGAATCAGAAACTCGTGTTACGGTTAGTGAAGCCTATGAAAAGATTATTCAAGCCATGATGGGAAGTTTAGACAGTATAGCTCGTGAAAGTGATCAAACTGGTGATGATAAAGAGCAACTGAATGCCACCATTATGTACATTGGTATGTAGTGTTTCTAAAAGCTGCTAGCAGATAACTGACTCCAACTTGATGACACAGAAAACATGCATCATATGTACCACACATTGCGCACAAACAAGCTCCATGTATTAGAAAAGTGGATCAAACATGCCAAAACGCAATACGACAACAGTCTGAATGCATACATCAAAGTCATCATTCGCCGTCCTTTGGGCAAACTACTCGAGTTTTTTGAGGGTGTTGAGCAAATGACACATACCAGCACACCTGAAGAAGTCTCCTTCCACATGAACTACAACAAGACTCAATTGCGTCGAGTCATTATGATGTATCCTCCCAAGGAAATCAAGAAATCACTGGAACAGCTGTACAAGCGTGTGGACAAGCATTTTTCAGAGGAAGAAGGTTTATTGCAGGTGGTATGGCGTGGTATCCAGGAAGAGTTTATTCGCCAGCATGAAAAGATGGAAGACTTGATCAACAAGTGCTATCCTGATGCCGGGGCTCATCTGGAATTCACCATTCAAGACCTGCTAGGCATGATGAGTGAACTTGCTCGCAAGGTCAATGTATAAGCTATTTATGAATAAAGACAATCAGCATTTTGACAGGTCTCAGTTACCAAAACTGTGAATCATAGGCATCCATTGGCTCAGGATGCCCCGGATATTCAATTGCATAACGCCTTTACATCCTTAGGAGCGACATGCTGCTGTTTTAAAAAGCTTAAGGAGATTCTGCTTAATACATTTTGTTTCTTTACAGCATACATCGATATCATGAGTGACTTACCAGCTCTTAGACAAAAGATTGACTCATTGGATACGACACTTGTAAATATCCTCAATGAGCGTGCTCGTGTTTCATTAGACATAGGTGCTGCAAAGAGAAAGGACACGTAAGTCATCCTGTCTGTCTTCATCTGTCATGTATTGATCCCTGTACAGTGGGGCTGACGAGACAGCCGAAGTCGATGTTCAAGTATTCAGACCTGGCCGTGAAAAGGAGATTTACAAAAAGGTAATTGATCTATCCAAAGGTGGAGTGTCATCCATTCACATTTCCTTAGCTGACCCGCCTAAATTCTGGTCCCTTGAACGATGATTCATTGCATGCCATCTTTAGAGAGGTAAGTGGACGGAGCGATCTGTCAGCCCATTTGGTTCAATATCTCACAGATAAATCAGATCATGTCTGCTTCAATTGCGCTTCAAAAAGACGTTTCCATCGCATACTTGGGTCCACCAGGCACCTTCTCACATCAAGCTGCATATAAACGGTTAGGCGACAGTGTTGCCTATGTTCCTCAAAAGCAAATTGATGGCAAGTTGTTCTGTATCAGAAGTGTAAAGTTGTATCTATGTTAATCCTTTTATTTAGATGTCTTTGATGCCGTTGAAAAGGGTCAAACAACATATGGCATTGTCCCCTTTGAAAATTCTACCTTTGGCTCAGTTGTAGAGACACTCGATTACTTTATTCACACCTCAGTCAGAGTGCGCGCAGAGACATATTTGACTGTACATCAATGCTTGCTCTCCAACAGTAAGCTAGACAAGATCACCAAAGTGTACAGCCATCCTCAGGGATTAGGACAAACGCAAAAATGGCTTTCAGCACATATCCCCAATACCAAACGCATCGCAGTGAAATCAACAGCTGAAGCAGCAGAAAAGGCAGCGCTAGAGACAGGCGCTGCTGCTGTTTGTAGTGAAATCTGTGCTGAATTGTACGGCTTGGAGATCGTTGAGGCCAACATTGAGGATCTCGCAGGTAAGTTCGAGGCTGCATTAACGATTATATCAGGCCAACTCATACAGCACATAGCCAACACCACTCGTTTCTTGCTCATCGGTGCTGCCAGTGATTCACCCACCAACGACGACCACACGCTCATCACGTTCACTGTAGATCACCGTCAACCAGGTGCATTGTGTGATGGACTCAAGGTGTTCAAGGATTACGGGCTGAATTTGTTCAAGATTGACTCACGTCCTAGTGGACAACGTCCATGGCATTATGTATTCTTTGTCGAATGTTCAGGCCATTTTGAGGGAGAAGACATCAAGAAGGCACTCAAGGATTTAGAAGAATTTTGTCTAGATATCGTGGTACTGGGCAGTTTCCCAAATCAAAGACCTGAATAAAAAGAGGTGGATTATATGTGAATTTATTAAAGTCTAGCTGTTCCCTTTTCAGAGGATATAACGTGGCGTCTCAAATAGTCATTCAGGAACATGCCTTGTGGGTCTAATTGTTGGCGCACACGCAAAAAGTCGTCAAATTTAGGATAAGAAGCTTCCAAATCTTGTCTTGTTTGACCATGAGCCTATATTCATAAACATTGTTGTGAGATCAAATGCCCATATCGTATCACCCATCCATCAACAAGCTTACCTTGGCCCAATGAGGGCGTCCATTGTATTCACGCATAATGTCTTCATAGCCCTTCCAGTATTTCTTATAGGGCACAGGCTTACCATAAGGTCTATACATGATCACGCCAATATAACACGTCTTGCGACCATACGCAGGGCTCAACCACACATCGTCCTCATCCACAAATCGAATTTCCACAGGAAAATGCACCTTCAGATCATTGTCGGTGATAAACTTATCCAACTTGCGCAAAGCATCAGGTGCATCCTTCCAGTCGATAGCCCATTCATTGACATACTGAGGAAACAGGCAATCAAAATTGAACACCTTGTTGGATACATCCACTACTTGCAGAGTTTGAGAGTGGAGGGTATTGAACATCAATTTAGTAAGATAGGGGATGAGGTAGGTGCTGTAGCGAGTGATGTTCAACATGGCTTGATAGGCATGGAAGCCGTAGCCCCTCTCCATCAAAAAGCTAGGACCAGATCGAGAGATCTCCTTTGTTGTACGATTTGCCTTCCAAACAACACAATCGTCTGTATGGGGATACCACCACACACGAGCATGCTGAGCAGAATGAATCACTGCATCCCAATCGTTCAAGATATCAGAAAACTTATATGGCCTTTGAATGGCTTCCAACTTGAAATCAGGTTCAGCTTGCAGTGTCATCCGGGTGATGATGCCTAGTGCTCCTAAACTACAGCGTGCTGCCTCGAATACATCCTTGTTCTCTGTGGGTGAGCAAAACAAAATGCTGCCATCGGCTGTGATCAAAGTTAAATCGACGATCTATAAACATTAAACCAATGAGAACCCTATTGTATCTTTTTCATTAAATATTACGAACCATGGTAGATAAGCAGCCGTATTCAGCACCAGTGCCATGAGTAGCAGTAGCCATGACACCTGCGATGGTTTGATCCGAAATAGAGCCCAAATTGCTGAGCGCCAGTCCGTTCTCTCTCAACACCTGATGTAACTTGTGAAGTGACATGCCTGCTTGTACAGTGGCTCGACAAGCCTTGGTATCCACAGCAAGCAAATTGTTCATCTTGTCGATATTTATCATGAATCCTGGAGAGCATGCTAGATCAGAGGGAGAATGGCCGCAACCAAATGCCTTGAGTGGTTTGTTGAGGCTTTTGGCCAACAAAATCACCTAGTGGTCATCTGTCAATTCTAGAGTGCTATCAAAGAGTTGACATGTAAAGAATTCTATACCTGGCGAACTTGCTCTTCCGTAGTAGGCTCAAATAATAATTCCGGTGTACATTTGAAGGTCTTGGCCCAGTTTTGAAATGTAAAGTTATCGCTGGCAATTGCTTGCAATTCAGGTGATAATTGATCGAAGCGATAAGGACCCATGTTTGTGAACGGAATGTTATGTAGAACAGTAGAACAATGGAATAAATGAGACAAGGACAGGTCTCGATGCTTAAAAATGAGGAAACTGGGTTTGAAGAGTGGAGCCCACCCCCAACTTCCCATCAATCACCTACAGCATCATCATCATCATCATCATCATCATGATGGATGGCTATCGAGATCGAACGTCAATCTATGGAAGCATTGTGCATAATTCATGCCAGGCACTAGTAATTGCGGATGAATGATTTCTTGATTGCCCTTTATTTGCGTACCTTTCAAGCACTACCTTCTATCACATCAAACAAGGATCTTGAATTTCAACCATGGCTGTTGAATTGCTATGGATGTGGTATCCAATGCTGAATCAGAACTGCCATGTGAAAAACATTTTAGTCGTAGGCTTCTCCAACGAAATGGCTTAAAATTCGATACAAAGCAAAACAACAACGAACAGAACAAAACGGACTCCTTTTTTGTGTACTATGGGGATAACTGCTAGTCGTTTGCCATTGCTAATGCTCAGCAAGACTCCTGATATATTCTGCAGTTTGATTGTTGACAAAGTGACTAAAGCAAAACGGCTCTATTTCGTTGCTAGTTATCGTATACAATACTACCATTGCTGCAATAAGCATTGCTCGCCTACATTTCACATTAAGCTTCGCATGCGGATAAGCAATTTCTAACGATAACTTTTTTTTTTTTTTTTTTTTATAAATACAACAATTTGCGGCATAGTCATACTAAAGTCGCTTAGGCTAAGCTAAATTACGTTTTATAATGCGCGATTCCCTTGTTACGAGGCTCCAGCAGCATCAATTACCTTCGCAATCAGCTTGGCATTGATCTTGCCAACCAAATAATCAACTGAATTTCCGCTTTACATTTTGTTCTGATTTGTTCATTTTCGATCTTTTTGGATTCGATTCGACCTATTTTGCAAGATTCGACTATATAAAGTGTGCTGATCATCCCATACTTCTTTAAGCTTTCTTGGAGTGCTTTTCAAGGCGCATCCAATGGTACCAAATAAAATATATGTTTTGAATAAACTTATTGAGCAATATATGAAAATATGAAAAGAGGTTTCTGACCAAAATGTCGAAATTTTACATATTAAAGTCCCAAAAAGATAGTTTCAGGAGTTACGTTAGAACGATAGGAACATTTTGATTCAATATATACCATAGTAAAAAGTCTTCATTATCAAGGTCAAAAACGCGATTGTTTGATTTTCGATGAAAACCATGAGGTATCCCTCATGCTTTTTGGTCGAATTTTGGCCATGTTTTTATTGGTCCCCAAAAAGTTGAGCAAACGTGTCAGAAAGTAACTGCCAGATGAGAGCAACTGTTTGGTGCTATTCTGGCGGTCTTAAACAACTTTTAGCACGAGAAACATTACTCAAATGTACTCAAATTTCGCTGTGATTTACCTATTCATGAGCAGCAGGAGGCATTACTAATACGTTCTTTATCTATATATGAACTTTTTTCATTGATACGCTCGAAGAGCATTGTAGGAGAGCCAGACCTACAGTTACATAAATTTATAAAGATTCTCACTTGACGATGGAATGTCAAAAAGTGAAATCTCAATAATGCATCGGTAAAATTGATATAGTTTTTGTGGAGATTGATTGCCCTTAAGAGAAGGGTACTTGGTTTAGAATAGATAGCATAAATTGCCAAGAATAGCTCAACAAGTTCTTTGCAAAAAACCTTCTCCTACATCTGGCTCGAAAAACTAGCACTTCATTGCATGGGATCTGGTTCAATACAGATCAAAAATCATCTTTGTTCAGGCACATTTTATTACTATTCTCGCTTGTGCGGATCGCGGGCCAATACATCTTTAATGTTGGTAGCTCTTGTGACGCCCCCTCTACTCGCCTTGTCATGCATTTTTTTTTTCGTACAATTTTGCAGAATTGTCCTGTCTTCTCTTTGTATTTTCTTGATGAATATGTTCCAATATGATCCCTTAGAAGACGACCATGGTCATAATTTTGAAACTATGCCATGGCATAGGCGGCATCATCAACAACAGCGGCAGAGTCCATTTCATGACGATAAATCTTTGGGTAAATAGGTTTCCACACTTTACTGAAGGAGCACAACAGTATTAACAAAGAAATAGAGTCAGATTGGATCCACCAGCAATTGCAGTTTCAACCGCTTTCCAATCGGCCATTCGACTTTCTGGACACGGATGCTTCCATTGGGAGTGCGATTACAGATGGCAATAGCACGGATACATCCATCTCACAGTACCAGCACCAACAGCAATCACAGGGTCAATCACACTTACAACTAGAGCATGAATACCAAGACATGAACGAAGAAGAGGACATTTGGACCGTGAATGCAACAACACATGCTCCCTTCAGATACAATACTCTATCCTGGGATACTCGAAATTCGCATTTTCCTTTGTATGAGCAAACGCAACTGGCAGATCGCAACATTGGGACGCCCTTCATCACCGAAGTTCCTCACAGCTTATTTGAGCCTTTGATTCGACGATTGCAGGACCCTTCCAACACTGTTGTCATCCACGAAGCCGAGCTAGTCAAGAGTTTGATACAAGCCATCACTGGATTACCCTCTATTTACTTTTACTGGGACCATCAGCAACATGTGTTTAAACAACGTTATACGCACTATCGCATTCTTGGCATCAGTGCATCTGCTATTCAGCCGGTATTGGATCAAGTGTTGTTGTTTGGTACTCGCATCAAAGGATTGGAGTTTGTGTCTCAGCAGTGCCAGTTACAGCCCAAGGTGTATGGACTTACAGGCGTGGCGTTTGGTTGTTGTTTGCAGGATCTGTTGATGCACATTCAGCAAACTACAATGTCTGTGTTCTCAACTGGCAACCATGAGTCCATGACAGTGTTGAAGCTGTATCACTCTATTCAGAGTCTAGCTACTGTCGTCGATAAGCTATATGGACTATGTCAAATGCAACAACAGCAGCAGCAATTTACAATACCCAAAGGCGCCTCATTGTTGAATTTACTGCAACGCGAAATCAGCGGGTTTGATTTGGCTTCAAACGGAGGAAATTCTGCCTTGTACCGAGATATCTGTCTGATTGCCTTGAGCTATACCAGTGTGCCGTATTCAAACATGCTGAGCAGGTGGCTACATTTCAGCAACACGGGCTCAGATGATCAAGTGAGTGGAGATCCTTACAATGAATTTTTCATTGGCGAGAAATCCACAACGAATAGACATGATTTGCTTCAAGGCTATAAAGTAAGGCGCAACATACAGACGTACTAAAGAAAGGTGTCACTTACTTGTGGATAGATCCGATCAGATATCGAGTTACCGTACTTTATAGATAAGGAGCTTGCACTTTACATACTTCGATCCGGTATTTCAGTTCGACTGCTGAAGCTATCAAGACCAGACCATCCTTTATTTGGCTTGACTGACTGGATTAGTCTTAAATTTTCAGTGAGCAACACGGATAACGAAGAGTAAGTGTTATGTTGCTCTATGCAAGCGATGCCGGATCTGACATGTTTGACATGCTAGGTACATGTTTAGACTGCGGCGGGTATGCGACGCTATTAGATCTTACAACACAACAGGCTCTATTGCTCCACATCAAACGGCAACTATTACTATTGATGATGATGACTACGACAGCAATCAGGATACTATGCAGCATGACATTCCTACGTTGCCCCCACTGGCAGACGACACCAAACAAAGCGGCTTTTCTATCAAACTGATGCAACTATTACAAGATGAAACCAGCCACTCTATACCCACATTTGATACCATCACTCTTCAAACCTACATTGTGCCTATCCAAACATGGTGTCCATTACTCAATGAATCCTTCATGATTTCCTTCTTAAACCAGTTCAAACTGCAATCGCATCTGTCATTATTATATCGCTATTTCCTGTTTGGCAATGGTACTTTTGTGAATGGTCTCAAAGCTACTTTCTTTGCCAAGATTGGATTAAACCACATGGGCGATTGCTGGCCGCCCAAGGTATTCAATCTGAATCTAGCATTGCAAAGCCTATTACTTGAGAATTCGCAGCATGAATACGATGATCTCATTACATTTTTTGTGAGAAAAACTACAGCAGACAGCCCTTGGTGCCATCCGCACGGTAAGGAATCACGATTTACACAGGAAGTGTTTGGCTCACACGTTTTATTTGTTTAGCCGTTGAAGCATTAAGCTTTTTGCAGCTCCATTATGATGCGACATACCCATTGAGTATGGTCATCACACCAGCTATCCTAGACAAATACAACCGAATATTTACATTCCTGATACAACTATTACGAGTGGCCACAGTCATCAAGCGATGCTTTGAACCACTGCGCAACATACGGTGGTACAAGGCATCTACGCGAGATGCTATTTGCAGATACAGATTTCAGATGGATCAGTTCACAAGTGCACTACAGAGTTACATTCACGATACCGCTATCGAAAGCACCTGGTCCTCGTTCATGCAACATGTACAGGCCATGCAATCGCAACAGACGTCCTCAAGCAGCAACAGCAGCAGTAGCAAAGACTATGTTTCGGTTATCATGGAGCCCCACAGTTTCCGAGATTATCATGAACACGTCCTTGACCGTATCTTGTTTCAATGCTTCTTGAAACAAAGCCAGACTCGTATCTTCAAAGTGCTTAGACCCGTACTGCAGGATATCGTATTTTTTAGCGTGATTCTGGAAGATTATGCAGTCAAAGATATGGAGAGTGAAGATAAGCTCAATATGAAATGTGCCCGTATCTTTGACCAATTCAAGAACCACGCGAGGGTGTTTGTGAGTGTGCTACAGTTACTGGAAACCAAGGGATCAGGTAGATTAACAAACGTGCTCAATAGCACACAACCCAGCATATTTAATGATCTATACGCAAGGCACGAGGCGAAAAACGGAATGGATGTATTTGTGAAGGATTTGCTGACTCGATTTACATTGAACGGATATTACAGCATCAGGCCTGGAACGGAGGCACCTTTTTCCTATTTTAATGAAAATTCCTCCTTTAATGAAAATAGAGGAAATGGCGATAGTGACACTAATTTCACACGATGAGCATGGGTAGCACCCGAGGAAGATTTGCCCTTTATCTCCCAGCAATATCGTTAGAAAGTTTATATCATAATAAAACCAGGGGTGCCCTTTTCTCTTTTAATAGTTCAAGATATACAGGAATCTCAAGAATTCTAGTATAATCTGTCAATTTTGATCTCCCGTTGAAATGGAAAAGGTGGATTTTATACAAATCTAAATCTATAGTAACTCAAACAAAATTTTGCGTTTTGTTTATTGTACACATGTGCTGTTTATAGAACTTTTTAGACATGCAAATCTGAACACAACATTATTGTAATCTACATATATATATATATAAATACACAGTGCTTTTTTGTATAATGAATATACGTCGACACATCTAACATACCCATTATTGCATTTGAGGCGGCGTTCATGATGTGTATATCGACATGATGGCGCTATATCGTGTATGTACAATATACATGTTGGCATAATGAAACAAGAAATCCATTATTAGAAACCTGTAGAACTTTATGATGGATATGATTTCATTCATGCTGTTAATTACATACTGTCAGTTGAATGGCTGAATGGATTGTCCAGACGAAATCCGCCCAATCAACATTTTGCCGTCTTTTGCAACAAAGAAAAAAAAAAAAAAAAGATTTTCGAGAAGAGTATTTGTTGTTCTCTCAATCGCGCATATACATCTTGTTTGTAATGAATGGCCCTCTTTTTGCGTTTTCGAGTTGTCATGGCAACCTCATGGCACACTAGTCCAAACATGTAATAAGATCAACTTTTCCTATGACTTTTTTTTTTTTTTTTTTTTTTTACTTACCTTTCGGTTTTCCCTGCAAAGCCTGTCAAACTAAACAAGGTTGGCACACCTGTTGTACATGCCATGATTGGTTCGAATGGTGGGAAATTACTAGATTTAGTGATTTTGTCCTACACTGTGGAGTAGCCATTTGGAGCTGAGATCTTCTTTAAAGTGATTTGGCCTTATCCCCACATTTTCAGGTAAAAAGATAAAGGGATTGGTTTAAACTCGTATATAGAAATTTCATCCAAAATGTTTATATAAAGGCCAACATTTTTCCTTGATTTTCGTCCTGATATTTTTTTAAAAAAAAGCTACAATAAATATCGACTTTATATCACCTACATTCAATGCACCGTATTGTTTCTCGCACTGCTATCGCTTCCCCACTCATCCGTCGAACACAGTTATTGAACAGAGCTAAATTACCGCAATTACCCATCAGATCCTTCGCTACACAACATCAACAACAACATCATGTAACTCGCTTACCGTTTAAGACTATCACTGCTAGTGTTCTTTTGACATCTTCCTTCTACATGTACACTCAAAGTGTAGCTCAAGCCGAAGCTCAAATGAAGGCTGCTACTCCTGCCTCTACCATTGATGAACTTCATGACAAAGAAAACCGTATTGCTGTTCACTCCAAGAGCACTGCAGAATTAGCAATGGCTTTGTTTGTTTACAGATTATGCGCTCTTCCATGGCTCGTGGATGCTGCTCCTCATCTCATTGCTATCTCTGAGAAATTCGGTCTCCAAGCTCCCGTCTACTGGTTTGTTAAGCAAACATTTTTCCGCCATTTTTGTGGTGGCGAGACTCCAGAGGAATGTATTTCTAGTATGGACAAGTTGGCACAATCTGGTATCAACTGTATTTTGGATTTATCCGTTGAGGCTGATTTGCATATGGATGCTAATGCTCCTGCTTCTACTGAAGGTGGTAAATATCATCGTGATGAACAACAAGCTGATGTTATCGCCAAGATGATCAAGACCTGCATGACCACTGCTGCTAGTAGCGTCAAGGATAATGCCATGGTTGCTGTCAAGGTCACTGCTTTCTCTCCTCCTGAACTGTTGCTTCGTTTGAATCAAGTCATTGCTGCTTTGGATCAATCCTTCTTGGAGAATCAATCCAATGGTTTCATTGATGCTCAAGGCATTCGTCAAGTCATGAACCGCGTTTTGCCAGCCCCCATCTCTGAAGACCAAGCCATGCAACGTGAATCTCTTGTCGCTCATTTGGAAAAGAACAAGGCTTCTTTAGATGTCATTGAATTCAGAAAGTTGTTCAACTTGCAAGGTCCTGCTCGTGATGTCTGGTGGAAGACTGACAGCCAAGATGCCTCGTCTGTCTTGTTGACTTTAGAAGATCTCGAGGCCTATGATCGTATGATTGCTCGTCTTGAAGATACCTGTAGTCTGGCTTATGATTTGAAAGTGGGCGTCATGGTAGATGCTGAGCAATCTTATTTCCAGGATGCTATTGATCACGTCGCTGTCAACTTACAACGCAAGTTCAATGCCAACAAGAACCAACAACCCACCATCTTCAACACTTACCAGATGTACACCAAATCTGCTCGAGGTAGACTTGAACTGGATGTCGCTCTCTCTGAACGTGAAAACTTTACTTTTGCTGCCAAGTTGGTTCGTGGTGCTTACATGGTCTCTGAACGCAAGCGTGCCGAGGAGATGGGCTACAGCTCTCCTATCTGTGATACTTTGGAGGATACCCATGCTTCTTACAATGGTGGCGTTCAGTTCTTATTGAACAAGATCAAGCAATATCAAGATGCCACTGGTGAATCTGTTACCAATACCACTTCTCCTATCGTTTTCATGGTTGCTAGTCATAACCGTGATAGTGTCATCTTGACTATTGAAGAGATGGAAAAGAACAACGTACACGCTCAATCTGGTGTAGTTCAATTTGGTCAATTGTTTGGCATGCAAGATCAATTATCTTATACTTTGGGTCGTAACGGTTATGCCATCTACAAATATTTACCGTATGGCATGATTGATGAAGTGATTCCTTATCTCTTGCGCCGTGCTCAAGAAAACTCATCCGTATTGGGTGGTGTTGCAGTAGAACGCCAATTGATGTGGGAAGAAGTCAAGGACCGCATCACTGGTAAGGCAACTAAGCCTGTTTCCCCCAGTCCCGATGTCACTATCACCACCACTACCTCTGTTTAATTAATGTTATTTGATTCCCTTTCACCTTTTGTATTATACTCTCTCTCTCCCTCTCTCTCCCTCTCTCTCTCCCTTTGTACTTTTATGCTATTTAAATTTGCATCATTTCCCTCCATAAAAAAAGATAGACAACCATCTCTAATAAATTATATATTCCATTCGAAACGAGTAAAAAATTCGAGATTATCAAGTGTAACAATGTCTGTTTCTGGTGTCCCCCGTTAGCGCGGGCAACTGGAGAGAGAATCATGAACAATAAGCAAAAAACGGGTGAATTTTAACGGCAAATGGTTTCCAATTTGTAGCACAACATGTAAAAATAAGTTCACCTAGAGTTAAGATTAGGTTTATATTTGATTTCTATGTGTGTAGGACAGAACTAGGCAAATTGTGATACAGATTCATTTCACCATGGATGTAGTCATTAAATGGTATCTTTTGGGTCACCATGTTCAAAGTTACCAGAAAATGAATATGTATAAAAAAATGGTGTAGCTGTTGCTTTTCAAATGTCTCATTATGCAAACATGCAATCCAAGAGTTAATGGTCGTCTATTATGCTGGTTGGCATACAGAATCACCTCGGAGCGGGACGGAACTGATTTCTATAGAAAATGGCAATGCATGTTGATTTATCGTTTGAAAGAGCATGCTTGTGATGAGTGTTTTAGTCTCGTTGAATGAAATTTTAGTCTGAATCAGACGTTAGGTGTAATTTCATAATCAAGATCAGAGAACTTTAGTGCCAGGTACCGAGTTTAAAGTCGATTCCTAGCTCGTTTATGGATTCTTTTAGATTTCTGCAAGTGCATGATGAATCATCAAAGCGACAGTTCTGTGCAATAGCATCGCAATTGCAAAAAGGCGGGGTACATGCAGTCATTTTAGCCGCAACTGAACTGTCATGGCGTGATAACTAGCTTCAATAACATGGCATACGAGTTCTTTACACTTGTATGATAGTTTTTGATGGTTTGATCAACCCTCATTTCCACCACTCATATTCATGCCTCTTCAATACACGACAAGCCGCTAAACCATGCTTTGATTCGCACTGTTGGAGCCTTTCCAAGCATCTGAAACTTCCAATCCAGGTTATTCAAATTCGAGCATCGAATAAATATGAGTTATAGAGACTCATTTCATGATTTGCAACCATATAAACTATGACGAGAAGCCTCATTATGGATGTGCAAGGTATGATCAGTCGTTTTTCACCTAGTCGGCTTGCTCGCACACGTATCAGAGGGTCCACATTCATTGCATCCCCAGCATTTACAATAGTGCTATGGAAATACAACATGTGTGATCCCAAGGGCCGCTTTAGAGCTCTTTAAAATGTCAGGAACACTATCAAAACTCTAGCTTGGAGTGATCTTGTTTGCATTTGTCTACAAAGAAGCACACTGTCGGTTATCATACTACTTGATTCCAAGCAAAAATGAATCCGCTGATCACTGCCCGCAAATAACAAATAATTGATCGACATCCATTAACATTTATTTGGCAAACTAGCCATTTACACTGCCTACATCAAAATTTCGTTATGGAAACATGATTTAAGTTCCTTGTGAGGCAAAACAATGCAATTACGAATAATTGTCTCATCCATGACAGATACATCTTTACCTATATAGTACAGCATGCATCAGTATTAAGATCACAACTACACAAATCAAGAACTACTGACCCAAAATGGTAATGCTTTGACTCTTGACGCCATTCTTCATCATAGAACTGTCTTCCTCGTGAACAGGACAGCCCTCCACACGAGCCCATGAACCAATACGACTATTCCAACCAATGATTGAATGAAGCACACAACTTGCTTTCTGTTGTATAACATGATGTTAATACTCTAATGTTGAATCTTGCACTTGAGCACTTACGCCAACGTGGACATTGTCCAAAAGGATGGTATCCTTGACACGAACACCTGCCATAATATTGACACGAGGTCCAATAGATACATTAGGGCCAATCTAAAAGATGCTCCACATCAGCAGCTATACTCAACATTCCGTCTTCAATATACACGTTACCTTGGCAGTGGGATCAACGTGAGCAGAAGGATGAATATACACAGCGCCAATAATCTCGGGTCCACCAGGAGTATTCTTTGCTAAACGCTCAGAGCCTTCATGGGCCTCAGCCTCAAGGTAGAGAGCATTGGCAGAGATAGCAGATCTACATCCCATTTATAAATAAACTCTTTTCTGCATGATCCCACACAAACAATGATTCTTACCCAGCTGTCTTGATTTGTCTCCAGAATTGCTTGGTGACATGAACGTAAAGGTTGTTGTTTTCAGTCAAAGGTCTCAAGATGTCTTGCTCCAAACGCAATTCATCACGAGAAGAAGTGACAAATTCACCTTGCTCCTGGCTCTCCTTCTTTTCCAAAGCCTTCTTCATCTCGGCAAATACAGCAATATCAAACAAAAAGACACCACAAGAAATCAAATCCGAAATGAAAGTATCTGGTTTCTCGACATAGTGGAGCACTTGGTTCGTCTCATTGTCTGCCACAAGACAACCGTACTTGGTGGCTTCACTAGGAGGCACCTAGTTTTCCACGATGAGATACATTACCTTCCCCTCGCTCCCATCACACAACTTACCTTTGTTCCCAACATGGTACAGATGCTACGATGACCTCTGTGAGCAGCCACCATCTCGTTCAAGGGAAATGAACAAGCAATATCGATGTGCATAACGAAGAACTGTTTTGTATGTCCACGCAAGATTTCATCGCGGAAATGGTAGATGCCACCAGCTGTACCTAAAGCTTGATATTCATGGAGATAGCTATACACAATGTCAATCACCAAGACGGCCGCTCGTGCGAGATGTGTGATTTACCGAATATTCAAATGAGGGAACTCCAGAGCAGCATTATCGATATAAGGAGCGAAAACCTTATCCTCAAATAAACCAATGATCAGAACTTCCTTCAACCCCTTCACCTTGGACAAAGCGTCCAGATGATGAGAGATCACAGGGCGGCCTGCTACGGGGAAAAGAGGCTTGGGAGAGTTGAGAGAAAGAGGTCTGAATCTGGTGCCTCTGGAGGGGCCACCAACAAGAATAACAGCTTTTGATTCTGACATGCTATATGGATGATAACAAAAGGGAAACACGTAAAAAATGGAACTCAACAAACCTTTAGTGTGGATCCATCTTATTGACCTCTGAGTTACAAACATCATCCTATACTATCCATCACATTTATGGCCTCATTAATGAGATTGGTATAATAAACCATCTCCAATGTCCATGCCTTCTTTTGCTTCTTTACCCTCCATTGATTAAAATGCCTGACATCAGCGCTCCATTTCTGCCTACGATCAAATGTACCGGCTGCCATCTCTATATTGACATTCGAACATTGGACAAACATGCTTGTGTTCCCATCATTAAAACCAGCTCGACACTGCCCTTGTCCGAATCCATTGACATCCAAGACAATCAAGCATTACCGCCTCCCAGCACGCAGAGACGGTCTAGAGAGAGATCGAATGCTCTAAACAATAGTGTCAGACGTATATTCCAGAAAATTAGGGGCAATGATCAGCAGTACAAGAGCACAGACAGCAGCATGCTATCACCCACTCTATCCATGTTCTCGTCCGCATCATCGCATCAAACCATCCCAACCCCAAGATCATCGGAAGACCATATCCAGCAGTACCTGTTGAAGCAAGGTACATGATACAAGCAATGCGCTTTGCTTTCAATTGACTCTTTGTATAAAGTAGATACGGATTCCATTATTTCTCGAGAGAGCAACAACAACAGTCTGATTCGTCTCGAGTCAAGAGATCGCAAAAGTAAGGTTTTGTATTAATTGAATATACAATTATCTAAATTTCCTTTTACAGAACCAGTTACCGAGACAGCAGTACTCGAACAATTAGTCACCAGCATGAACATCAAAGATGACCTTTGTCAAGCATGCTCCAAGTTCATCACTTTTTGCGATGATGAGGCTGTCAAAGACCCTATTACTCAATACAGCTATCACCAGGCATGCTATTGTTGCAGTCTTTGTCGAGTGTCATTATCCATCTCTAGCTCATTCAAATACCATGGCAGACTATATTGCGTTCGAGATTACCAAGTGATGAAATCAAGGTCAGTCAGGGGCCTAGTCCATCGTTCTGTGCTGTCATTCATTGCATTGTGAATCCAATAGATCGAAACCATCGCCCAGACAACAGAAAGCACCGCTACCTATTGCAACTAAAATGGTAATGCCAAAGTCCTGTTACCATTGCAAGATGACATTTGATGATGAAGACTTGAATTACAAGACATTCAGAAACCGCATATATTGCAACTCGGATTTTAGGCACCTCTTTCATCCTAAATGCCAATCCTGCCACAAACCAGTAGAGAAAGAAGCCATTTCTGCAACGGATGGTAAATTACAAGGGAAATGGCATATCGAGTGCTTTCATTGCCAGGTAAGTTCTGATGTATGCAATTAATTGAAAGCAGCTGGATTTATGATCTCGTATTAGATGTGTCATGCTCCGTTTCCAGACAATACGTTTTACGTTTTTGAGAACCAACCCTACTGCAAAACACATTATCACTATCTGAACAACTCACTTTGCAATCGCTGTCATCAAGGCATTGAAAATCTATGTGCTCATACAGCAGAAGGGTGGCGATTTCATCCCACATGCTTCACTTGCGAGGTGTGGATTGCATGCGTTTAATCAATTTTGAATCATGACATTGACATATCCATTGTAGGTGTGCCAGGAGAGATTGAATGACACGTACTATGTCTTTGAGAGTAGAATCTATTGCGAAACGCATATCAAACGACAACTTGCCAAGAGCCATAGCAACGAACACCATCATGAGCCCCCACTGGATAAACGACGCACACAAATTTATGACATAGTTTAGACAATCAACCCCTTTATATATATATATATATATATATATATATATATACATACATATCCATCCTGTAAATTTTAATTCACTAAACACCATTGCATCCTATGTAATTCACTGCATGCTATCAAAATAAACGTCTGAATCAGCCACCTCTACTTGCCAATTCACATGAAAGCGGTGATCAGCATCAAAATTGACATGACAAACACGAATCCACATACAATGATCATGGGTGTAAGGATACCAAACACTGACCAAAGTGAATAGTTGAACCCAAAGAATGACACCATCGTGCTGATACTGGCAATTTGGATGTATAGACGAGTTGTAGGGTCTTGCTGCCAATTCTTATACTCGGCACCTTGCACTTGCAATACAAGAAACACACCGCAAATAACCAGACCTGCCAACAGGGATATATAAAATGCGATGCCTCTACAGAAATTGCATATGAATACTCTCGTCATGTATGAATGGTACTCTATATCATACCCTACTTGGCTTATGCCCGACTGAAATTGATTTCCTGCGAAGAATAGAATCGCAAATGATATTGCTAGTTGAGGGAGCGTTGAAACAACGTGTTGAATAGCGTTCTTTTTAACTTTTTTTGACCTGCTGTCATCTTGTAAAGCAGTGTATTTAGAGCCTTTGTTATTGAATTGTCGTTTGTGCATAATGGACCAACAGTGTCTACGGGAGAAAAACGCGTGTTTGAGATTATGAATTCATCGGCTATTTAATCGTTTCATTTCATAAACGGCAAATGCAGAAGCATGAATGATGGTCCAGCGTAAAGATGTCTCTCTGATCCATCAAACCCTATGAAGCAAAGATAAATATGGTATTTTGGAATGATGATACTTGTGTGGATGCAGGGTACATGCTCATCGCCTGTCAGCCCCATGAAACAATCTCCTTGTGCACCAGTTCAAAAGCAATCCTCGTTTCCTAAAGTGAATTACTATCATTCAGAGCCGTGAAACAAATAAAAGTGATATATTATATCATGTAAACTCAAATTATATTTGTAAATGCCAAATTAAGGAATATTCAAATACATAAAACTGGCATTTATGCCAACATGTGAATTCATACTTTCGTTTGTATGTTTACTAAGCGAAAAGAGGCATTTTGTCAATAAAAGAGCTTTATTATTGATTTTCTATATTCTACTCCAAATTGCCTCCCTCCCTCCATTCCTTAAGAATCTGCCCTAAAAAAAACCCCAGTTCTTTCATTCTTTACTACCTTTTTTTTTACTTCTTCATTACACTAACCCACAATGACCGATTACCGCAATACTGTATCTCGCGATAGACTTGCAGAATTCCGAAGGGTTTGTGTCAACTAATCTTAGCACAAAACGCTTGCTGATCGGTCTACATAGAACTCGAATAACTTTGACGATAATGTGAATGCTAATCAGCACGGGTAAGTAATCATCAGATAATTAGGATGCACAAAACTGACGCAAAGCACAGTAATTACTCTTATCAACCTGCTGTACAACAATACCAACATCAGTACCAGCAATCAACGTTTGATCGCCGTGATTTACAACCTTATTACAATGGCCATGCAACTGCATATCAGGCACCCTCACAGCTAGCATCCACTTTTGCGTATAGCAATTACAACCGACATGAAAATATCATAGCACAGCCCATTCCAACTGATTTCAATGAGAAACAAAGCTCAATCGCATCCACAGAGGCCTTTTTTGTAAGGGTAAGTAGGCAAATCATGGCTGCAGTAAGAGTTCCCCGCATTGACACGTTCAAGTTTACAGGTGGAGAACATCAAATGGCTAGTGGGAAAGATTAATGAAAATGTAACTCAAGTTGAGTCATTGCAAACGGCTGCATTGTCGAGTATCAACGGTGAGAAGGCTAGTCAAGTCAACTTGCAATTGGAACAACTAGTCCATCAGACGAGTAAACTGAATAATGAGGCAAAAGAGCACATTCAAGGTAGCCATATACACGTTTCCCCCCCCCCCCCTTGAATTTAATTAACTTGATCGCTGACTCCATTTTCTTTGACCAACAGCTTTGGAATTGAGCAATGCTAAAATAGCCTTGAATGCTAGTGATGCTCAAATGAGGAGGACACAGGTAACATCTACATCAGCACATCGTTGCAACGTATTAATTTGACAGTCAGTTGCAAGCCTTGAAGAGGAAATTTATCGAAACGATTCAGCGTTATCAAGATATTGAACGCACATTTGAAAAGAGACAACGACAGCGCATTGAAAGACAAATCTTGATCGTAAAACCAGAAGCTACACCTCGAGAGATTGAGAATGCCATCGATTCCAATGATGCGCCTCATATATTTGCGCACTCTGTGAGTACATATTCCATGTTCTAATAGCTGCAAACTCATCTTGACTATAGTTGCTCAATTCTAGTAGACTGAGACACTCGGCACAAGTGTTGGATGAAGTCCAAACTCGTCATAGAGACATAAAGAAGATTGAAAAGACGATTCTGGTAACTCAATTCAAGGCAATGTAGATTGTTTCCATTATATTGACTATTGGACACAACAGGAACTGCATCAACTGTTTCTAGACATGCAAACAATGGTCGAAATGCAACAGGAAACTGTAAGCAGCATTGAAAAAACAGCAGAACATGCCGTTCATGACCTTGAGCAAGGTAATAAGCATGTAGCTGTAGCCGTAAAAACAGCTAAAATCACTCGCAAAGTAAGTACATCTTTTGAATTATGTTTATAACGATGCCTGACACGAGAATCACAGAGAAAATGGTGCTGTTTTGTTATTTTCATCATATTACTAGCGGTTGTCGGCATTCTTATTTGGTGGTTTGTGTTTCCTAAATCACATTCATCTTGAATTGCTTGACATTATGCGAGATGATTGTACTATTTGAATAAAGCCTACAAAGAGCAGCTAAATGCATTGGTTTGCTCAGTAATGTCGATAACATCCAAATGTGAGTGAACGTCTTTGCACAATCAGCAAGACATCTCCATCGAGACAACGCATAGCACCTGATTCCGGATAAAACTACTAGCCGAGAGTGGAAGACGGCTTTTAACACGATTTTTCATTAGCTTGGATACGTTTGCTGTTTCTCTTGTCAAAAAGCACCATCAGACAATCATGCGTTTTAAGGCGATACTCAATAACCCTGTTGGCCTCCACAGTGAGTTCAGTTTGTATTGTGGTCAATGGATTATGTCTAAAGTAGCACACTAGAGCTTGGACAGACAATGGAAAAGTTGGGTCCTGTTTGTATTGCCTCTTTTGCAACGGATAAGCTACGATTCATTACATATCAAGACACTGCTGTTGGACCGCAAGCGTGGACGTAAGTTTTATTTGTACAATGCGCTACACTCAAGAGATACTAACAATATGGTTTACAAGTGATGTAGTAGCTGTAAATATACAGCTCCCCATAGTAAAAGGTGCTGCGCTGACCCAGTTCTGATAGACGTCTTTGTTCTCGGATTATCGCATCGAAAGCCAGCACGGCAACGAGATCAACTTTTTCTTCAAGATTCCCGATCTTCTTCATATCACGAAAGATTTGCATGACATTACACGCATTCAAGTTGGATTGAAACGACGAGGAGAGCAGAGTATCATCTTGTTCAGATGGACTGGCGTGGTATGGTTGCATTAGAGATAGTCAATGCTGATCTTATGGCTGATGTTATCACGGACAGAACTTTGTGGGATCAAAATCTTTGGAGCAAAAGGAGCTGCCCATCGAATTGGTTCGAAGAGATAGATTGGAATTGATCAAGGAGCCTGTTACGATTCGCACACCCGAGGTAGATCGAGGTTGGCGATTACACAATTGAATCCTAATTGCAGTGAAATAGACCTACATCCTATTGCCCCCACTGGTATCACTGACGCCAGCAGCTGAGCAGTTCAGAAGGCTTAGTAAATACATCACCATTGCAGCCAATATGAACGGAGAACTCAAAATTGAAGTGGAATCTGCTTATGCAGTTTGTAGTGCCCATTTTGACAATCTGTGCAATCCCAGCTTGAGCAAGTATATACAACAACCGAACTTGAACAGGAAAGGCTTACAGCATAATTAGGTGGCCATATACCCACAGGAGATCTGACAGAATACTCGCATGTCCGTATCAAAAGTGAAGATTTTGTCAACTTCCTCAGTTGCACACATTTAGAGCCTGATGATGTGATTTGCAACATTGCGAGCGAGGCACAGATTGTCTTTCTTGTGTATTTAAATCTGGATACGTATCAAAATGAGGATGCACCTATTCGAACTATGCAAATGAATGCCAATCGATGCCAACTGACATGTCATTTACCTATTCATTTTGAGTAAATGGCAAAACACATGTTGATCTGAACGCGGACCATTAAATCAATGGAAAATTTCTTTGATTGGATCCTCCCCCCCCTTTAATTAGCTTTTCTTTTTCTTTTGCTTTCCATTCGATTATTATACCCCTCCATTCACCATGTGTAAGCATATTCTCAACGCTCAGGTACGCTATTGATTTCTGCAGAAATAAAGCATGTGTTGATCATGAACCATATACAAAAGGTCGCTATCCGTGCCCCCTGCTGTAAAAAGTGGTTTGATTGTGCTGAATGCCACGCAGCTGTATCAGACCACAATCTTAGAAAGACCAACGAAATGGTATTTGCATGTAAGAAATGCAAAAAGGTGTTCCGCAAAGACATGACGTAAGTTGCTAAAGGACATGGCTTTGGAGAGCTGTGGGCACTCATACATGGAGACACAGTGATTACGAGGAAGAGGATGAGTTTTGCCCTCACTGTGATAATCAATACGTGGTGGATGCGGTGATGCCCGAAGCATCCATTGGTATCGAAACTGAAGATATTCGTGTAGACAATAGGTAATATCAGGTATAAAGGAGACGAGGAACAAGACCATCTTACTAGTTTTCAAACAGAGTTGTCAAGGATGATCGTTTAAGGACCAAACAGGAACAAATTGACAGCATTTTCAAGATTGATGGATCGCATATGTTGGGATAAATGTTCTAGTAGATGAACACAAGAAAATATAAAGTTACATTTGAAGCTTGTGTGTGTGTGTGTGTGTCCAACAATGCTAAGGATGGGCCACGCGCAATCATTTCGGATGATTAGATACTATAAATGAAAGATTAAATGTATGCCTTTATTTCCTTCTCTTTTTTACTCCCTTCTTTCTATACAAAATGATTTGGCACCTCTATGGAGATAGCTCTAACGATGGCAAAGTTATCATGACAGATTCCTCTGGTCAAATGATACATCAATACAAATCATTCACCAGCAGTGACATTGATTCAAAAAAGACCACCTACACATCTCCTCATTCACAATCACTGTTTCTTAATTTTACAACAAATCCAGGCAAGGTCAAAGAAGTCAAAATAAAGCCTAAAGCTGCCTCCAGGAAGACTGCCACACCCTCTCCTTCATCCACATCAGCAGCACCGTCAGCAGCGACCAAAAAAGCATCCGTCAAAGTCAGTGGAGTCAATATTCTAAACAGGAAAAACTTAGATAGCAAAACAATCATTGACAGAATTCAAAAACGACGAGAAAGCCACAACAATTTAGAGAGACGTCGAAGAAGCAGTATCAACCATACAATCTCTGAATTATCTCGAGTGATTCCATCGCAAAGATCATCAGGGCAACCGCAAAAGCTGAACAAACACAGCATATTAAAATTGGCCCTTGATCATATATTGGTAAGTCTACTAATTTACTGGCAAATGTTGAGATCTATCAAATTAAGCATATATTTCCCTTTTTAGTATTTGCAAACTGAAAATGCCCTAATTAAGCAACAATTGCGTGATGCTTATAATGGTGTACCGGTAGAAAGATATCCCCAGTATGAATGTTATCATCCTCATCCTGGCCCTTACTACAGTAGTACCAGTAGTGCCAGTAGTGCCAGTAGTGCCAGTAGCATTTGAATAAATACATTTTATTGTTTGTCATCATTCTTTATGAGGAATCACAACACAAAGCTTCTTCTTGGAGCCTTTAGGGCCATTGCTTTTTGGTACCCAATCGTATTCAGGGGCAATAAAGAACTGGGCACTGGTAATCTGTTTTCTTCTTTCAAATCGTGTCATGGACGTTGAGGGCGATATGTCTCTGATACTGACATTACTGCCACGACGAGAGATATCATGTGGCAACAGTGAGGGTCTCATTAATCTGCTCTCTTGTCTTGGCTTCTGCTTTTCGTCAGTCGTTATAAAGAACGGCACATTGTCCATTTGCCATAGTGGTGTCGGTGGAATAGAGACGTCGTTGTAGCCAGCAGTGCTGTCATTTTCCTCCTTATCATTTTCTTCCTCCCCGTCCTCCTCATCATATTCGTAGCCATGATTTGAATTATGATCGGATGATGATACTGCTGACAATGATACACTCGGTGATACTAGCAACGAAGGTGTTTTAACGATAAATTCTTGAGGTATCTGCGGTGATTCGCCCAGTAAAACTTTGCGAAGCTTGTAGATGGCAGCATCAATGGCTAATTCGATTTTGAGACTATGATGAATCTTGGAGAGATCTACATTGAAGGTTACGTTAATTTTTCGCTAAAAAAAAAAGATTGTAGATACACTTACTATCCCATGTTCTCCTTTCTCCTCGTTGAATAAAGCTCACAGCCTCTTCCCTCGTCAGATTCGTCAAAATCTTTCCAACGTCTGTAAATGTCAAGTCAGGCGACAAAGTGATGTCTCCTACGTATCTTTGATTCAGGACACCCTGCAAACGTAAAACTGCATTGGATGATACGCCAATTTCCATCAACTGAGAACATCTATGCTGCAGTTCTTCTTTGATCAAGCGTAATACAAAGTTGATACTAGCTCTTAACCAGCTTGGTTTTCCCTTTCCTCTGTGTAAGAATGGAGCTACATGAGGATTGACTATGAGGATGTCGTATTAGCCACCATGAGAACTACACTTGATCTACAGTTGATTTTACTTTGAACGACAATGAAATGGTTGACGCTGAACATTTCAGAGATCTTTTTCAATGGCAAATCACTATTTCCGCCAATAAGTATATCAGAATTGAATAGCGTGTTGAACTTACTTGTCGATTGAGCCATCACGGTATTTATCATCTGTTGAACGAGAATTTTAGGCGGATTGCTAATGCCATTGTATTCGGCTGTGAGCTTACCAGTAGGTGTCCATTGCTTTAATCCGCCTTCTTTGTCTTTTACGTAGAGATATCCGTCTGGATACACCAGGGGCACAGCACATGATAAGATACTGTAATTAAGCCCATGTGGGTTGTTTAGTCCACTAAACAACGATGACCGTAACGAGACTATATACAAATCAGCAACACTTACACTGCCGACCAAACAACCTAAATACAAGAAATGTTAGGGTCCAAGCTCTGGTGTATTTTATCCCACCTCCCATCTTACCACATCGGGCGCAGTAATATGGTTCAGCAATCTAGGCATTTCGTAGACACTGGTCGAACTAACAGTTATGTTCAAAATAAGTTGCGATCGGTTATATGCTTCTGCAAACGTGATATCCCCGTATTGATTTCTCAATGCATCTTTGAGAATGACGGGATCATACAGGTTGCCGTTGAGTAGATATCGATTCAAGCGAAGCAGAAGCGTGTCTGGTGCCTCTGGTCGACTAAACACATCCTAGACGAGATGAATGAGAGTGAGCTCAACGTTTGGACGCTTTTACTTACCACTGGAATAGCATCATAATCATTCAGCATGGTTACTCTGTCTTGCTCATTCAGTGTACAGACGATAGATGCCATGACGCTACCAGTAGATGCTCCTGATAGGATCCGAGGCAGAAGCCGAGCATTGACCAGCGTCTTTAGCACACCGATATGAAAGTACCCTGTACAGTGGTAAGATTAATCTTTTGTAAACACACGCCCACACACACACACACACACACACACATGCAACTCTGATATACCTAAAGTACCACCACCACTCAATAAGAGAGCAGTTCGGCCATAGCTGTGTCTCAGATTCATAAAGTAATCGTGTCTCTGTTTGAAATCCATATCTACCGTTGGGGTAGTGGTATCTCCAATCCATTGAACTTGCTCTATAATGTGATCAATGTAATCCGAAATCAATGTCTTTGTGCCGATGTAGCAATGCCCGTATAGCTAGAGAGGAAACATATTAGCATGTGAAAACTCTGCTATCAAACGCACATACTGCACTGTTGCCCATATCACCCAAATTTCTGGATAGACTTAGTCTCAATGCAAATGTCATGGCTCTTCGGTCCTGTCTAGAAGAGCGGATGCGATCAATTTCATTAATACGGGATTGCAGTAGCTTGTAGTCGTAATCCTTTGAAACAGGCGAGTTTTTCCATTCATTGGCACCAGTCAGATTATCCAATGCTATGGCTGCCTGGCTCCATGCCTTGTATGATTTCGCACCGTCTAGTTGTTTTTGGAAATATTCAAGATAGGAATCCTTTTTGTGATAACTTGTTGAGCGGAAAGCGGTATTTTGAAAGAAAATCAAGCACTTGATCAAAGTATAAATGTTCTCGAGGAAGATCAGACACGGTTGCATGGATTTCAGTGTAACACTACGCAGCGTAGGTTTCACCCAAATGTTATCATTCACTGACATGTCTGTGGTGATGGTTGAATTCAGTAGTGTTTTCAGCATGTTTTGTATGGATAAGCTAGATGAAAAAAAAAGGAATTAAAAGGAGAGCACTAACCTCGATACCCAACTTGTACTTATAGGTGTATGGCATTCGTGTAGAGCATCGATCATAATCCGGTAAATATGTATATACCATGTGCTCGTTGATCTCGTTTGAATAAAATACAGGCACAAACGGGGCCCTCCTACAGCAACAAGAGCAGTGATTGAATACCGCGTTTTGTGCATGTGCTTCTTTTGAACAAAATGCTACATTGTACTTGTTGTATATTGATTACCTCGTGAAGCATGATGTAATACAGCTCTTCCAAGTGTTGTGCAAACCTTGTTTTTCCATCAGAAGAAACATTCGGTACAAAAAAGAAAAAAAAATGGTTTTTATTTCGTAAAGCCGTGCGATCTAATTCATGGAAACAAGTGAAGGGGGAGGGGGATATACATGTATTATACGAGGAAAGATTACTATTTACAAAAAGGTATACAATGACGATAATTATTGATCAATGTGGTTGATAACATCAGTGAAGCCTCTGACTTTTCTACATTCATTGCGCAAGTTGTCAGCAACAGAGGTTTCCCATTGATTGTTGGCTACAAACTGGCGAGAATAACGCAGACAGAGCTCTTCGCGAAAGTTGGCATAGACCTTGCGGTTGAACAGGCGCTGTGAATGATGGGTGAGAACAATGCAGCATGTTATCAGATTTGTCTCAACTTACCTCTCTTTTGCGGGTGGCCTCAGGGTAGTCATGAGATTGGTGAATAATGAAATCATTTGGCAGCACATAGTAATCGATGCCAGAGATGTAAATTTCATAGAGACAAGCAGCCTTGTTTGCACCGTAACCAATGAAACGCTCATCGCACCATGGAGATCCCTGTCTTTTGAAAATGACATAGGGCTCGTATGAAAAGTTGTAGTCTTCCACGAGATAAGGTTCGGTAGCAGTGTACCATTTAAAGTAATTAGTAGCAGAATGACCCTTCTCCCAGCTACGATGAAACATGTCGAGCTTTTCTTCTTCAAAGACCTCCATCAGCAAGTCATCTTTAGTTTTAGGGAAGTTTTCATAGTTAAATCCATCCGATTGGACAATGTATTCAAATGCGGGTATAACCAGAGCTGTATTGCCTTGTCGCAGCTTGTTCATGATAGCAGTGTTCTCCAGAATGTCTCTTCGGAAGTCGGTGCAGAGATAGAAATCGATATCCAACATCATGATATAATCTGTACGAGCATACAGCTTGGCTGTGTTTCGCCACATGTTGAATTGTCGATCAAACTTGTCAATGATCAGATGCACATCAACATGACGTTTCATATCTGGATTTCCATGGTAAGTTTGCTGCAGTTTGGCCAAGATGCTTTCCTTTTGTTCATCATCATTAATGTGAATCGCCGCTGAAATTGGACCTGATTCATGAATGTCAAAATGGAAATTTCTGTTAGCTTTTTTCTTGTCCTACTCAACATCGTCATTTCCTTTTAGGCTTCATGTATATACCTTGATATCGAGATGCCAATCTACTAAGAACAGGAAATCTGTCGCTAGTGACTATAGTGGAGATGGTGATATCTTCTCCTTCCGTTCTCTCTGAAGCCTTGTAATAGTAAGGTTGAACATTAGAGGGCCCCATTGCACCAGAGAATACTTTAGATTGAAAAATAGGATCAGAAGTCATATCAATGCTTGGTCCTATACAGTGTCGCTATGAGCCGAGTGTGCCTTTTTTTTTTTTTTTTTTCTTTCTTAATATGACCAAACGTACCTCTTTTTACACCGAAATCTGTTTGCGATGATTGCAATTGATCATAATAGATAATGCTCTCCAGTTCTTGTTGTGCATCCTTTTCAATAGAAACTTGATCTAAAGGAGCAACGAAGAGGGGTTTCTTCTCTTGCGGTAAGGGTTCAATGACACTGCGACGAGTTCTTGCATGTGAAGAACCAGTGATATTGTAGAATCTAGCTGTCGTGTATGTAATTGACACTACAGCATACGCCAGTAAGACGTATTTAAGGTATCTTCCAATGTGCTTCAAAAAGTAATCCAACATGGTGCAATTGTCAAAAGTGGAAAAAAGTTGAAGGAGAAAAAAGAAAGAAGGTTACCTGTTCATCTGTCATTGCCATTTATATTTAAACATGTCCGTTCTACGTGGTGCCCACATTTGAGCTTGAAACATGATCAAAATTAGTGTAGAATTTGGCCAATAAGTGTCAATGCACTTGTTGATTCCATCTATGAAGACTTTGAGGAAAGGGTATGTTTCAGTTGCTTTGTTATATTTTTACTTGCAAGATAAAGTGTAACGCGAATTTGCTACTATTTTAAAATGGAGCAATGATTGGAAACTCGAAAAAATTGTCTAAAAAGCAACTGTAATCTACATAGTTTCGGTATTGCAACAATGACTTGATCATGGAATTGAAAGTTAATTCTGTATAACGGACTGATCCATGACAACAATTGAAGTAGAAAAGGAAACTGTGCACCTCTTGGCGCTAAAATGAGCTACAAGTGATGATCTGGTCCCATCATTTTGACAGGTGTTGTTTCGAAGGCATCTAGTGTAACAAACCCAGTGTTTACTGTTGTTATTTTTGCGGTTGTTTTCGTTGCGATGTGAATCGAATTGCCTCGGTTACTGAATAGGTGAATGATAAACATCTTGTTCAGTGAAGTCCATTTTGTCACTTGTAGCTTTACTTGATACTTCGTTGTCAATTTTAGGTCAGCCTTTCCATGTGCACAATGTAAATGCCTCAATCAGATTGAAACAGCATAATATTCGGATTGAATTATATAATAATACCTCAATGCTACCCTTGTCAATCTAATTATGATGCTTTGTCCATGTTCCAATTGTGTAAAAATACGTTACAAGCAGAGAAACTCAAATCTATATAAAGCTCATACAATCAAGGACACAAATTTAGAAGATTATGCTTAAAAAGCGTCAATTTAAGAAGATGAATCGAGAAGATGTGAGTAACGGAGATAATTTTACACGTCGCATTAAGCTTCGCCTTTGGATGAGTAATTTGCAGCGACCGAGTCAACCGGACAGGATGAATCATGGCAAAAGCATATTAAAGTAAACAGGTAAAGCCATAGCTCTTTCTAATTCGCAATGCTCTATTCATGTGCTTTCAGCAGCATCAATCACCTTTAAGAAGAGCATGAGATTGCTTACACCAGCAGTCAAATAAACATTCAATCTCCTCTTTACAATCTGATCTGATTTGCTCATTTTCACACTTTTTTGAATTCGATTCGACCTATTTTGCAAGATTCGACTATGTAAAGTGTGCTGATCACCCCATACTTCCTAATGCATTTCTAGAGTACTTTTCAAGGCGCATCCAATGGTGCCAATTGAAAGAGATGTTTTGAACAAGCTCAATGAGCGATCTTAGAAAATATGAAACGGAATTTTTGGCCAAAATGTCGAAATTTTGCATATGAAAGTCTCATAAAAGTGATTTCAAAAGTTGCTTTGGATCGAGAGAAACATTTTGGTTCAATATATACCATAGTAAAAGTCTTCATTTTCAAGGCGAAAAACGCGATCGTTTGATTTTCGATGAAAATCACGAGGTATCCCTCATGCTTTTTGGTCGATTTTCGTCGATGTTTTTTTAGGGTCAAAAAAAATTGAGCAAAGGTGTCCGGAAGTTACTGCTAGGTAAAAGCAATTGTTTGGCGCTATTCTAGCGGTCTAAAACGGCTTCAAAGACCAGAAATTGCTGCTCAAATACACCTAAATTTAGCTACGCTTTGGTTTATAACTGAAGAGCAAGACATAATTTTTATATATTGTGTGGATGGGAATACATTGTATTCATCGATCTAGATATGGAGCATCGCTTGGAGTCTGAATCTTTGTGTATAGGTGGTTTTCTACTAGTCTAGACAGCTATGTATCACCCGAAATCGCCGTGCAAAAGCAAGTTAGTGCCCCTTATAAAGAGGTTATTACAGCGTACGCTCAAGAGTAATTCCGTATTCTTCGGCTTGTATATTGTCGACAGAAGGCTATGAGAAAGATGCTTTTGAATTTGGAGCATACAATGGCAATGGTCAGTGTTAAGTGTGTCGTTCTTGCGGAAACGCGGCATTTTATGGCGTTAATTTCATAAAGCTTATTCAACTAACATGGCTTGAGATGAATACAGCTGCTGCTGGTATCACAACGCCCATATTATAATGGGTAGGGTGTATATGATATTCGTGTTCTCTTCATCACTTTCTGGTCTGCAATAAGCTCATTTTGCTACCAGGTATCCAATATTGTACAGACATAACTCGACCGATATTCAAGCCATGTCGTAAAAAAAAAATGTACACAAAGCAATACAAGGTTCATCTCGTAACAGAATCTCGGGTATCCCGAGCACATAATCAATCACTACACATGTAACCCACCTTAAGATTTGACAATCTGTGGAACTGTGCGCACGGTGGGATGCTCTTAGCGATACGACACAGACCACGGAATTGTAGAGATGGTATACTTCCAGTGTATTCCAAGCAATTATAAATCATACAAGGCCAATAATATTAAGAGTCGTAACTTCTCTGATTCAGCATTCTATGTAATCTAAGTTTAAATTACACTCTTGCCAAGCAATATATCTACCAACCAATCTAAAGTGGTTTAAAACTGAAATATTCAAACCGCAAAAACACTGTCCTCCCTCCATCACCTCTCTTGTACTCCTCTTTTCCTTCTTTCATTTTCTAATACACTTCTTTAGCCAGCTGTACTATTCTCTACATTATAAAAAATGCCAGGTTATCAATCGTTTCCAGTCTTGAATCAACAGTTTATTGTTGACAAAAAGTTCCAATTTATTCGTGAAATGGGCCAAGGTGCTTACGGTGTCGTTTGGTAAATGAAGATTGAATCAGATGTTATATATGAACAAGGAAATAACCGGGAATATCGTACAGTGCTGCCAAAGATTGCGAGACAAATGAGCAAGTGGCTATCAAAAAGGTGAGTGGGTGGCAAAGTGGGGAATAAGGGGTTGCGTTGCTGAAGGACGCTCTGTAGGTTTGTCGTATTTTTGAAAAGACCATCTTGGCCAAGCGTGCTTTACGTGAAGTCAAGCTGCTGAAGCACTTTAATGGACATGAGAATGTAAGTAGACACGCTTTGTTGTGTAGAGCAAAGGCTCAAACTGCTTTTTTCCTCGACCCAGATTACATCCATCATTGACATGGACATTGTCAATCTGCAAGACTTTAATGAAATGTAAGGCAAGTTTGTTTAATCGTTGGATCCAAAACTAACAAAACTTTACAGCTACTTGGTTCAAGAGTTGATGGAAGCCGATCTCCACCAAATCATCCGTTCAGGCCAGCCTTTAACAGACGCTCATTTTCAATACTTTGTATACCAAATCTGTAGAGGTCTTAAATATATCCACAGCGCCAATGTAAGCAAAGCAAAAAGAAGGTTTTTGGTTTAAAAATAGAATTCCCTGTTCTCATATTGGCATATGTTAGGTTTTACATAGAGATCTAAAGCCTGGTAACCTGCTTGTAAATGCTGATTGTGAACTGAAGATCTGCGATTTCGGTTTGGCTCGTGGTTACTCTTCCTCTCCTGAAGGAAATGCTGGTTTCATGACTGAATATGTAAGTAGACAGACATTTCATTATGTGATTTGACGCTAAATGGGGCGTGTTAGGTCGCTACCCGATGGTACAGAGCTCCTGAAATTATGTTGAGCTTCCAAAAATATACCAAAGCGAGTAAGTAGCGTTTAGAAAGGAAGGTTTAGCCATTTGAACTAACATATATGCAGTTGATATGTGGTCTGTTGGTTGTATTTTTGCTGAAATGCTGGGTGGCAGACCTCTGTTCAAGGGAAGAGATTGTAAGTGTTGGCATCAGTGGAGAGCAGTGCAGAGAGAATACTGACATGCTTATATAGATGTCGATCAATTGAACCAAATTCTCGGTATTCTGGGTACACCTGATGAAGAGACCTTGTGTCGTGTTGGAAGTGAAAGAGTGAGTTTGTGAAATAGGACAGTGCCTAGTGTGCAGACAACTCATCAGGGCTATAATTTTAGGCACAAGTCTATATCCGTAGCTTAACAAGAATGCCCAAGATCCCCTTCCAAAACCTTTACCCCAGAGCAAGTCCTTTGGCCATTGATCTTCTCAACAAATTGCTTACATTTGACCCCGCAAAGAGAATTACTGTTGAAGAAGCTCTTGCTCATCCTTATCTCAGCGCCTACCATGATGAAGATGACGAGCCTTCTCATACGCAAAGCTTTGATTTCTCGTTTGAGGTTGTTGAGTCCATGGAGGACATGCGCAGTATGTATTTCGAATGCCTAATTACCACAATTATGTTAACATGTACCATGTAGAAATGATTGCACAGGAAGTTATGACATTTAAAGCACAGAAGCAAGGATTGCCACCATTACAAATGGGAGCAGCCAACCTCAAGCGAAAGGAGAGTTTGAGTGCAAACGACCGTGAAGCGCTTGAAAGAAGTAGAGATGTTGCAAAGGATCTTGACAACAACAGTAATAGAAATTCATCTTCTATAGCAGCCTCAGCCGCTGCTCCAGTCGCTCAAAACCGACAGGACAGCATGGATGTCGATGCACTTGAAAGAGAATTAGGTGGTGGGATCTAAGCAGATCTAATGCTTTTCCTTCAAAATTAAATAAATAAGTTCAAACAGATATGGCAGATGCTTGTGTTATGAATGATATAACGGCCCTACGATCCCCATATAGTAGTCATGTAATAGTGTCAGTCTTTGTACCCATTGGAGACGTCTAGTTTGATATGTTGTAAATGTAGATTTCGATCCTTTATTCAATAAATAAATATATATATATATATACAAGCACAGTGGTTTATTGGCCTTTCTTGTCTATTTGTTCCTTGGCCAATACTTGTTGTTCAGTAGGCAAATCATCACCTGTCTTGTTGTGGCCAAGGCGAGCAACTACGTTACGTGATACCTTTTCTTCAAGAGGCTTGAAGACCTTGTCTACAATGTGTTCAATGGGCTCATCAAAGATGTAGGGCAAGAAGGGCACAATACCGAGACCCAATAATGTAGGACCCCATGCTTTCACCTTGACATTCTTTACATTTTTGAATCCGTAGGCACTGTACTTGACGATGGAGTGGATAGTCATCATAGGGAAAGCCATGGAGGCCAATGATTGGAACACACCTCTCTTGACCATGGTAGTAGCAACCACTGCATTTTCCTATATGATACTCTATCAGCGACTCATGCGAGATTCACCCACAATGGAGATACTACTTACTTGACCAGCGTGATGAGATTTATAACCTTCATAGCTCACATCCAAACCCAAATAGAGCCAACTGATACCATAAGCAGCTGTAACAACAGCAGGAGGTACAATGGGTCTGAAGGCCTCACCCACATCCGAGGTATACGCTAAATAACGAGATGAAGCGGCAAGAGCTGTACGCAATCTACCAGCATAAGCTAGGTAACGAGCATTTCCTTCAAGAGAATCGAGCTTTCCCTCAACTACCTTTTCAGTCAAGGTTTCCTGGTGAGGCTGAATTTGTTGAGTGGTGGTGATAGCGCTGTTCTCGTTGGCAGACATGGAGTGATGAAAGAGAAAAGAGGGGGAAAAAGCATTCAGATTCAATTTTAGTGCAATTTCATGTGAAGCTGAAAAATTTGGTGATTGGCTTGACACGGAAATACCATTTTTTTACCTGGTCCCTCGTTTCCTATTTGATTTGATATCTGTGCGGCTCTTTACGGGCTAAATTTAGAGTCATAGATACTCTGGATAAATCGGGTTGTCATGTTGATTTCATCGTATTACACCATGCTGTAATCATTTCTTGCATCCCGTAGAATGCGAGCATGGCTATAAACAATGGGCACCCCTGCTTGTCATCAGTTTCAAGTATATCATAGACACATACCATGTGTAAAAAGTCTGCTGTAGGGCCAGTCAACCACCGTCATTATATGGTACAAATGTATTCTTTTTATTAGTGTTATTATATTTTTGAACGGTTAAAAGCATGCATGGGGTTTAGTTATACGCCTTAATCTTGAGATGCGAGAGAGACAAGTGTGGGCGCAGTGACAACCTTGGTTTGAGGTTCATGTAGCATGGTGTAGGCCAAAGTCCATTGAATTCTGTGTACAGCCCACAAACCCAACTGCCACCACCTTAAACTATCTTTTTCTAAGCTACGCAGCGCTCTGATGCCGTCCCAATAGCCAAGACCGTCTTTGTGTCCGTAGGTCTTGACCATCTTCGTCACCTCTTCCTTGGGTTGATGCAGCATGGGCGTCTTGTAGCTGAGAGCATAGGTCAAGTTGTCTGTATAAATTGGTAGTAAAATGAGATCAAAAGGTGACCTGTAGATGAACGGGAATCCCCAAGGAGACGTTAGTGGCGAGAGACGAATGTGCATCAACAAAGCGCCAGGAATGATAGAGAGCCATGAATAGCCGAGTCTATAAAGAGCAAACATGGTATGGAAGATGGTGATTCTACCAGTTTGACTACTATCGAATGTACCAAGACGGGCAGCCAGTGCGTCTTCATCTTGGCCATGCTCTCCAGTGACAATTTCTCTACTCTTTTCGTAGGTTTGCTTGTCTTTCTCTTCTTGCTCCTTTTGTTCTTTGGTGGGTTCAACCTCTTTCAATTCTGTTGTTCGATAAAATTTAGTCTGTGTCCATACTGTTGTCAGTGTAGACTGCCTACCTTCTTCCTTGATCAATTGCTCATTGTTGCCATGTTCAGCTTGAAGATTCTTTCTTTCTTCTCTCTTGGCAGTTTCCAGGTAGAGGGTTTCTTCATCATAGACGGGATGCTGATCGACGTGAGGAACAGCAGAAGGAGGAACTTCGTCCAAATTGGAGCTGGTGATGTCGGCAAAAGACTTTTTCAAGTTGGGATCTATACACCAACCGCATTAGTAGCTATTCCTACACTCTCTCTCTATGACAGTATTTTGCTTACCTTTGTTTTCCTTGGCTTCTTCCTCATGGAGTTGATGGAATCTTGAGATTTCAGAGTATACAGCCTTGTCTTCTACAGGAGCATTTTCCTCAGACATCAGGTTGGATTGCTCCAAAGTAGGGAAGTTTTCTTCAGTCATGGCCAAAGGCTCTTCCTTGGGTTGGTTATTGATGATGTGTTGTGCGCGCTCGCTTAAAGGTCTATCCTCGGGAGGAATTGGCTTTGCGGCTATCTTGGCAAAACTTTGAGCAGGAGGAACTGGAGGAACATGAACGGAAGGTTGTTTCAACATGTCCTTAACATCAGGTAAATCAGATAAAGGAGGCTGTTCTTCATCTTGAGGAACAGAGTTATCGTGCTCAGGAGTAGGGAAGTCCTTGTTAGAGGTGACAGCAGCAAAGGATCTATCTGGATCAGGTGGTTGTGTGGTGTCTAAGAATGATAGAGCTAGATGAGCACTCGAACAAGCTTGAGCCCTGTCCTTCCACCCGGTATCCTCTTACCTTCTACGTGTGTTTCGGTTGAGTTGCTGTTCAACAAGTCGCCTACGCCTCCAGATGCAGGCAGCGATTCAGTGTCCACCGTCTTGAGAGCCTCTTGTGGGGTAGGGAATTCCTCTTCTTGCTTCTTTTCATGACCCGCGATTTCAGCAAATGTCGCCTTATCCTTTGTAGCTTCCCACGCATTGGGTCTGTGATCTACCTCAGAAGTAGCCTTTTGCTTTGGTTCAAGAGATGTGTCCTCCTCAGAAGCAGCGGTAGACGCGTTGGTTGTATTGATGTCGTTGTGGGGTTGAGCTACCTCAGCCCAGGATGAGCCTAATGCCGATTTCTCGACACTGGGAGTAGCCACTGACTCGTCGAGTTTGGGAAAATCACTTTTATCCATTGGCTGCCATCACAAGCCTCATGTTAGTCCAACTTGTATGAAAGATGGCTCAAAAATACTTACAATGCTTGTTCTTTTTTTTAAAAAAAACTGTTGAAAAAAAAGAGAGAAAAAGCAAAAAGGAAATGAAGCCTCACAGACCTGTTTATTTATTGAAACCTGGGGAATTAAAAAGAACGAACGACAACATTATTACTCCATACCCACAATGATGTCATTGCATTTCAAACACCATTTTTTTCTATTCTTCTGCCATTTGTTTCAATTTCGAGCTCTTTTCTGCATTGATATCAGTTCGCCGTTCGTCTAAAAGATCTCTGCTATGTGGTTTATGAGTTCATCACCAAAAGCAACTGATAAGTAGCAGAACATCTACTGCTGCAAATGCATTTGCATTGATCTGTACCACAAATGCAAATCATTTTCTTTTTTTCAATACCCCCTCCGATGTAAGGTTGTACCAGAATAACGTCATTTTATCATTTGCACATGAAGATTGCGATAACAATGGTGAAATCCTTAATTTATTTATGCGGATTGACATGGCTTTTCATGCAAGGTGAGTCAAGCCACACTGTGCTTGTCTCTGACAATGGATACCGTATAATCTATTATATTTATGAAGCTGATCTAAGGTAGTGGGTATGGAAATTATTCTTCGCTTTACATTACACACATAGTTTTAAACGAGTAGTTGGTAGAAACCGAGAAAACAGCTTTTCCATCATAATGCTTTATTTGAGATACTTTGAATCAGAGGAGGCAGGTGTCGCACGATCAGTAGATTTGGTAGATCAACAATGTTATGTATCCAATGTTGAATATTTAACGTTGGATCTGGCACAATGAACGACCATATTCTTTCCAAGCCGAGAAAAAAAAAAAAAAAAAAAAAAACGTCTGTTACATAATCAAACAATATAGAAGCTCCAATAATCTGCCAACATCGCTACCATTTCAGATCATTCGCCTTTGAACCAAACAAACACCTTCACTACACCACAGTGGTTTCGCTATGAACTGTTTGATATCCGCCTTATTTATTGAAATGTGTGGAGAAATTAGGTATACATTATGACTTGTGCACGCAGCCATCACCATCTCATCATCTTAGTCAAAGAACTCCTCGACGACACCTGCTCTTGCTACTTGCAGTACGGGCGATGACTTTTCCTGCGTCGTGGCTTCCTTCAAGTCAGGCAACTGGCTCATTTTCAATAATTCCAAGAGACCCTGATTCTCCTTTTTTAGCTGTGATATTTGCTGTTCGTGCACATCTACCGATTCGTGTTTGTATACATCTCGTAATGATTTCGATAATTGTCGAAGTTGTGTTTGTAACATGGTATTTTCAATAAATAATGCAGCTGTCGTTCCCTTATCATAGCGGCATGTTAATCACTACCCCTTCCTCGACATCTCCTGAATATACAACGCTTACCTTTTCTGCGTTTAATAGCGCCTCGTATTCCCTTCGAAGTCTGATTTGCCCCTCTGTTGTCGCATTCTAACAGGGCGAGCTGGATTAGTACCCCTTCTCTCTTCTTCTGGTTCATCTCATTCAGGCTACTTTACAGCATGTGTTCGAAATTTGCTTGTGATCGACTCCAATCCTGTTTCGTACTCTTTCACAAGCCCTTGTAGCTCTTTTACTTCCTTTTCCAGCTGCTGATTTGCCTGTAATGTCGTTTGCTGGTCTAATAGTGCCTTTTCTAGTCGATTTTTGAGGTCTTCCATGACTTGATCTCGTTGCTCGGGTAGTATAAGATGAGGGATCAGAACTTTCTGGTCTAGAAAGACTTGTTAGTCATGTCCAGCCCCTCTCTCGCCTTACTATTCATTTACCATCAGTAGTTGACTTTGATGCTGCCTTTGTCTACATACAAATGAGTAACAGAGAAAACCAGATTACATGACCTGTGTACAGCACCTTCAAATCAGCCAGCTGCCCATTCAGCGTGTTCGCTAGATCTTGGTTGCTCTGTTGCTGTGATGCGAGCTCGTTGGTTAACTTGTATATCTTTTGTATGATTTCTTCTTCCATTGTGGGTAGTGTAAAAGTATTGAAAAAGGAGAAAACAGTGCTGTTGACTTCTTTCAATGACCGTAACTGTTTTAATTTGGAAAACAATGCAGGCTAGAAGCACTACTCTCTCTCACTCGGATGAATTAAAGCCGTTGAATCTCACTGCCTGGAAGTAGTATCTAGACATTCTGGTTTATGGATTCCATTGCGTATACACGATAAAAGAAAGGTCGATACTCTTTGAAAACACATGGAATAGAACTGGTTTGCATGGCAATCTTTAATCAACAGCAAGAGTAATGCATTCCATGTCGTCTTGTTCATGATCTATCATTGAATTTCGATTCTTAATCGCTGGCAATAAAACGGTCTGTAAAATTAGAAGCAAACCAACAAACTGTGATAGATATAAACAATAAATCTTTTGAATTGACTATATCCTTATCATTAAACCTGCTAGAAAACGTTGAAAGTAGCAACGTCAAGGCTGGAAGGGGAGCGTCAGATAAAACAAAGCTAACTGTACATTGATGCGAGTGTTTATGCTTCGGATGACTCTCTACCTTCGCTTCGCTTTGGTGAGAACCAACTTGCGCAGCGGCAGCTCGCGCTACCGATTGCCCTTGCGTATCTTGTCAAAATACTGCTACTTTCATTTTGACACTCCACTTACACATGAAAACCCTTCATATTATCTGTGGATCTGACTCTTATGTGATGCTCTACATCCATATACACGTAACTACTTCATATACGGGCAAGTAGCATACTGGTATTTCCATTTTTTAGTCCTTAGTGTCCCTGATACAGCAAAATCTGAGTGCATTTGAGCTGCGTCTTTTCGCGTTCAAGACCGTTTTAGGTGGTCAGAATAGTACCAAACAATTGTTCTCATCTGGCGGTTACTTTCTGACACTTTTGCTCAACTTTTTGAAGACCCAAAAAACATGGCCAAAAGTCGACCAAAAAGCATGAGGTACCCCTCATGGTTTTTATCAAAAATCAAACGATCGCATTTTTCACCTTGAAAATAAAAACTTTTACTATGGTATGTATTGAATCAAAATGTTTCTCTCGACCCAACGCAACCCCTAAAACCACTTTTATGAGGTGTTCATGTGCAAAATATGGCTATTTTCGCTAAAAACCTCATTTCAAATTTTATTAAACTTCTCAATAAGTTTATTCAAAATACCTATTACAATTAGTACCGTTGGAAGTGCCTTGAAAAGTACTTCAAGGATGTATTAGGAAGCGTAGGGTGATCATCACAACTTATATAGTCGAAGATCAAAAAACAGATTAAGGAAGTCGATAAAAGACAAAATCTGTCCAATCTTGACCAGAAATAAATAAACTGAGTTTGAATCGATTTTAACTAATGACACTGCTGCTAGCTGGCCCAAATTTCTTTCTGATAATGACAATGATGATGACAATGATGATTAAGACATTAAGCAATTGTCCTTTTAATTCCTTAATTCCCATTTGATTAGCATCGCAGCCATCGTTGTCATCATCATCGTCATTATCAGAAAGACATTTGGGCTAGCTAGCAGCAGTGTCATCCGCTAAAATCGATTCAAACTCAGTTTATTTATTTCTGGTCAAGATTGGACAGATTTTGTCTTTTATCGACTTCCTTAATCTGTTTTTTGATCTTCGACTATATAAGTTGTGATGATCACCCTACGCTTCCTAATACATCCTTGAAGTACTTTTCAAGGCACTTCCAACGGTACTAATTGTAATAGGTATTTTGAATAAACTTATTGAGAAGTTTAATAAAATTTGAAATGAGGTTTTTAGCGAAAATAGCCATATTTTGCACATGAACACCTCATAAAAGTGGTTTTAGGGGTTGCGTTGGGTCGAGAGAAACATTTTGATTCAATACATACCATAGTAAAAGTTTTTATTTTCAAGGTGAAAAATGCGATCGTTTGATTTTTGATAAAAACCATGAGGGGTACCTCATGCTTTTTGGTCGACTTTTGGCCATGTTTTTTGGGTCTTCAAAAAGTTGAGCAAAAGTGTCAGAAAGTAACCGCCAGATGAGAACAATTGTTTGGCGTCATTCCGGTGGCTCAGAAAGGTCTACATGTCAAGTTATGAAGGCTTGAAAACTGTCAAATTTGGTTGTATTTTTGCTGTATAGCTTTTATTTACACGGCATAAATCACATTTTTGGTGGCGGAATTCTTCTGGAAGGGCAGTTCTGCAGTCTTTGCAATTTCCAAATCGAATAGGAGGCATATTGATTTTGTAGAGCTAATTCACGCAAATTTTGATGTGTTATATTGTTGGTAAGCATATTATTAATTAATAATGAAAATGAGAAGCCAAATTTACTGCTTGATCATTATGACTTTGCACGTTTGCTTCGTTATGGTAAAACCCTCTTAAGGTCAATGTTACCAAATGTTGCCTTGAAACCACGAATCACTCAATCCACACCCCAATAGCAGGCAAGAAATCACTTGAATTAGATGCGTTATGTTCTCGGGAGAGGAGGTTTTAATCTCTGATTCCAGTATATATAATGATGGACTAGTTGTATTGTAAGATCATCCTATTTCAAATATTATTGCCAAATTCAGAAAGTAGAGATTTTGGTTAAATATATAGTTTGTGGTCTAAGAGAGAAGATGTAACGATAATGTAAGATTTATATTGCTAGTGATCTCGATCTACTAGTACAAAATATACTGAAAAGATATGTTCTTCAAAACACTGCTCTTCAAATCACCAGCCAAGTCTCTGATCATAGCATGATGAACGCCATTCACTTTTTTTGCCAGGAAAAGTGGCCTATATAAGAGTGTTAGTGGATTCTATTAGCAATGCTGGATAGGGAATGCTGGATAGGGAATGATGACATGGAAATGATTTCAGCCACTACGTACTTCCAAGCGAGGCACAACATACTGTTCATGGAACGCCTCTTTTTTATCATGCAAATGCGACATTCACCTCCTTTGGTTCCACTTGAGACATAGCAATGCTCTTGTTGGTGGCGTTGGCGAAGGTATGATTTGATGCTTGACTTTTCATCTTAAGAAGATAGAGATACTCCGATAGATCAAGATGAACACTTGTTCTAAGAGTGTAGGGTGACGATGGCATCATCTGCATCCACCATAGAAAGCGTCTCTACCCATGTGAAAAGCCAGCCTTATCAACTCTTTCAACAGAATCATTAAGAAGCTCTCAATGCTTTCGCGCACCATTGATCTTCAAAAAGCTATCCTTGTCCTGGTTCATTTGAGCATTTCTTGCCCTGTTGAAATGGTGTCGCCTTCCGGGCGTCCATGCTTGCCCTGTTGGATGGAAATGGGAATAAGAAGATTTTTGCCATCTACATTCTTTAAAACTTTGTAAGGCTTTTCGGCCTCGCCTTGTCATGGTGGCTTGCATTTGTCATGAACATGGCATTGCCGCCAGGTTAGCGGGAACATCCATCAAAAGTAACGGGACGAGCTCATCATTTTTGTAAGCAGTAGAATTTCCCGAAATTAGCTAAAACTATGAATTTCGCTGTACATCTACTATTTTCTTCTGTTTCTGTATCTACTTGGCGCAGTACTATGCGACATTGATACAGACGATAGCTTCAGAATGACAAAGACTCATTTCCATACATGTAAGAATGATAGACTACAAACGACTGACCCATCTCATTCAACAACCGATTCCTTTCATAGACAGGTTTGTTTTGTAATCTCCATTTTCTTTTTCTTTTCTCTCTCTCTCTCTTCTTTTTGTATAAAACGAGACCTAAACAACATGTATTGTATGCGTTATTTTGTGCCTTTGCTCCTACTACCGTTTCCCGATGCACCGCCCATTTTTGTCATTTTGTTCTTGGTATCCTTTTTTCTTCATCAGAAGCCATGGTAAGCGTCGAGATTTTCGTTAAAGAAACACCTATTCTAACATCAATTCAACATAGTATCTATTGTACGTTATTATTAATAGCATTGTTTTCATCCACTTGCTACTGGGGTCAAGGTAGATGTTGGATAGATTTGCAGCAAAACCGACTGTTTGATGTTCGACCTGACTCAAATGCAACATTTGGACAAGGAGATGGATGGTGGAACTGGAAGATTACGTTACCTATAGGACAACAACCGCAATAGTAATGATCCACCAAGCGCATTTTCATATACTTTAGAAGGACACCAAAAAAAACTAATTGTATCATATACATGACAGCTCTACGAAACAAAACAAGAAATAACACGCATTTTTTTTTACAATACCCAAATGTATTCTCTCGCTCGCTCGCTACGTCCAAGTCTCTCTCTCTATTTTATCTCTTAACGCACATACCGCATATATACATACACACACATTTATATATAAAATATCAATTCAACACCACATGCCCTCTGATCACGTTCTTGCACGTTTGATGATGATGATGGTAATGGTAATGGTAAATGATGAACGTGGCGAAATTAGAAAGAGAATGTCGGAAATCCTGTTTGTGTATATGTACATGTCAAATCTGTGGGCGATCCTTGTAGTGCTAAATCTAAGCTTGCATAGGTACATGCCTCTTTTCTTGTCTTTTACACTAGCCAAGCACTAAGCTGTGAACATGATGACAGATCCAGCATTGGATGAGAAAATAGCCACCATTTCACATGAATATAGAGCAAAATCTACACACGGCCATAGTCTATATAGATTTTGTATCACCTAACCATTGGTACACTAAATTATTGTACGAGTACACATTACAAATTCTTTCTCTTTCTCTCATCCTACATACAAAAAAAAAAAAAAGTACAATGAACAGTATTCGTGCCAAGCTACGCAAGTTACCGCCCAAAGCCGTCATCAAATTACTGCGAAAAGTGTTCTCATTGCCTGCGCCTGCAGCTAGGTTGATCTTGAACGACATAACCAGAGCCCGAAAATGCCATTTACCTTGGATACATCGAGTCAAGCTCAATCCTCATCAGCATCAAGACTGGTCTGGCTGCTGGATTGGGGAAAATGTCCAGAAACTGGACGAGCAAGCCTTGTTGAAACGGATCCACGAAGCAGACATCATCTTATTCTATGTACATGGTAAATGCTGGGTGTATTATTGTGTGGGGTAAATCATAAGCTTACTAGAGAAATTTCAAATTAGGCGGTGGATTTCGTATTGGTAGTTGCACCATGTACATGGACACCAATATCGCATGGATCCAAGTACTCAAGGAGAAATACAACCTCAATGCCATGATCATGGCGATCGACTACAAGTAAGTGCTTATAGAGTGGGGGGGGTGGGGAATCAGAAAATGATGCTCATTGTATTAATTTAGATTAGCACCTGAATACAAATATCCAAGTCCAGTTGAGGATGTAGTGCGTGCCTACGAACATCTCATACAGAAACTAGGGATCAACAGCGAAAAGGTCATTGTCATTGGCGATAGCGCGGGAGCCGCATTGTCTCTGGAAATGTTATTCATCACGCATGACCCAAGCATGTTTGAAATAGTGACAGAAGATGATGGCAACTCAACTGAGGCGGCGGTTTTGCAAGAACTGCCTAGACCGGCAGGCACCATTCTCATTTCTCCCTTGGTCACGGATGAAACAACGTCTGAATCATGGAAGCATAACCAGAAATACGACTACATTACACAATACACAGCAAAGGTCATCAAGAAGGACTATTTCGAGCCTGTAAAAAAGGGCCAGGAACCAGAGCAGCAGGTACTGGGTATTGCCAAGCTCAAATCAGGCTTTCAGGCATTCATGTCGCCCCAAGTGCTCATGTACATTGGCAATTTGGAAGTGTTGCGCGATGATGCCTTACAGCTGGCCATGAAGGCAGAGCAAGACGGTGTCGCCTGGCAGACGGTGATTGAGGATTGTGTGCATGATTGGTTTTGCGTGCGTGAAGTGGTCAAGGACAAGGAAGCATTGAGAAAGGCAGATGATATATTTGCTGATTTCTGCTATTCTGCTATTGGAGGATCTGTGCATCAAAACAGACCTTATGCCAGCAGACGAGAGTACACACCCACGCCCAGAGACAGTCTATTGGAAGCAGTAAAGGAAGAAGCATCTGACGAGGAGGAGGAGGACTATGACAGTGACTCTACCCCATCCACATCATCCGTCTATGACGACTTTCGACTATCCAAATTATCCATTTTCGAGCATAGCAACAGCAGCAGCCAAAGCGATGAAGTAACGACGCAACCGCCCACCAACGCATCGTCCAAACGCTCTTCAGATATTGTATTTGTTTAGTTTCTTTGAGTTCATCACAAACAATTAAAATAAATAGGGGGGGAGGTTATTACAATGTGACGTATTGGGGGATATCCCCCATTTAAATAACTGTTATCTAGTATGTTTGGTTAGTAAGAAGCATTTCTCTCTTTTGCTCCCTCCTTTTATGAAACTTTTGTTGTTCCTGATCACAGTGATAGTCCTGTGTGTCCATCAATCAGATCAAATCAATCTCAAATCCAATGAAAAAAGCTGCCAGTTGCTGGATGGATTTGGCATTCTGATTCAGTTCCTGCTCGCATTCACAGCACTGATAACATTGATACATAAACGGGCCAAAGAAACACCACAGCGGCCACTGCAAATATGGTAACCATACTGCGAAACCGTATATTGAGTTTCCACTGTATTAACCACCCCCCTCCCTCCCTCAACAAGGGCTCTCGATGTCAGCAAGCAATTTTTCGGCGCTGGCATGATCCACTTCATCAATCTAGGCATCAGCTACTATGCATCCGAGCCAACATCAGGGCCGACCACCAATCTGTGTGTCTGGTACTTTCTCAATGTGGGAATTGACACTACCTTTGGCGTGCTGTTGCTGTGGTGTTGGTTCACTCTCTTGATGAACGCCTGCGAGAAATGTCGTCTATTCCATGTTGGAGAGACGGGAGACTATGGACCTCCGCCATTGTCTCGCATGCTCTGGCCATGGATGCGTCAAATGTCGGTATTTCTGCTGGCCGAGATGCTCACCAAGGCTTGTTTATACGAGATTGTCATCAGCTCACCATGGCTATTTTGGTTAGGTGAGTTATGCATCAGTTGGACACAACACGACCCCAAGATCCAAGTGGTATTTGTCATGTTGATGTAAGTGCTTTTCTTGCTCTCTGCACTGCTTATTTACCTGATTTGCTAGATTTCCTCTGATCATGAATGCCATTCAGTTTTGGCTGACGGACACGATCCTCAAAGTACATCAGGATCTCAAAGAGACCAGCAATGACAAGCAGCCCTACATCTCCACACCCATGCTCGCTGTGCTGATTGAACAGACAGAGCGGACGCCTCTGCTGTTTCCGCCTTCCAAGCACCGCATGGCTTCTTGACTTTAATGTAGATATACCCTCGATTACATTTGTACATATTCCTCCATCTCGTTCCTCCCTTTCTTGTTTAATAAAGCACGGGGTTTGTTTATTGTGTGTCAGTTTTTATCAGTTTAAACTTTTTTTTTTTCTTCTTCTCTTTTCCTCTTTCTCTCCTTACCCATAGCAAGAGATGGAACCGTCATCATCTGCAGACAGGCCAAATCTACAAAAGACTCGCACAAATTCCTCGTCTTTTAGAGTGAGAAGACCGAGTCGTACAACATCTAAATACGGATCCATTGTAGAGGAAAGAAACTATCCAAATGTCAACAGTACCCAAGACGACAACGATGCGGACAATGACAGCGAGCAGGATATGGACCCTAATCACGACACGCGTCAAGGCAGCACGTATCATGCTAGCGATCGAATGTCATTCAGTAGTCTGGACCATGAAATCACACTCAAAGACAAGCAAGATGTAAGCGCCCTAGAGAACCATAGCCAACTCCCCTTTTACACACACTGACACTGATTTGCTAGGCCATGAATACGCAACATCCCTTTGGGTTGCCTCTCTGGAAACCAGCACTCTACAAAAAATCTCGTTCGGTAGTTCGTAAAGCAAACAATGCTTTGCATTCATCTCCGGCTTCATCGTCCGATTTCTTTCTCAATCCAGGTAACTTGCTTTGGGCTGCTCTGTTTGGCTGGTGGCTGGCTCTGGTCGTCCTGTTTGTATCACTTGTCATCTCACTCTGTGGTGGCCATGCTTATGGCGTCATGCTGAGAGAACTGAGCTCCTATTTACTATGGCCATTCGGCCGCTATGTCGAGCGATTGGTGGAAATCACACCTTCTGTCATGAGTGATCTGGCAAGAGAGCGGTCTTCGGGCCAGTCGTCGGTAGTGATTGATGACGATAATGAGATTGACGTGGACGATGAGGAGGGTCATCATCACCACCATCATAGACGCAAGAGATACAACTGGCTTCGTGCTGTACTTGAAACCATCAAATTGGGACCTGTGGCATGTCTGTATTATATCTTGTTTTTCAGTATTATTGGTAACGTATAGAGGCAACCGAGATACAGCACGACATACTCACTATGGAGCAGCGCCTCTTTTGCTGCTGGTCTCTAGCATCTGCTGGATGTGCGTTGTCACTGTGCCCATGGCAAAACTCAACTACATCTTGGTCCGTCATCTGCGTCGCCATCCATTGAGCCTACGATTCCATTCCAAACCATCCATTCTGACAGGAGCACATCAACAGCCGACCATCATCTTGCTGTGTACATATCAAGCATTTGGCTGGCAATACTACAAATACACTTACAATGGCATCAACATCATGTTTATCAACTTGATCCCCTTGGTATTCTTTGTCATTTTCGATGATTATGTGCTCAAATCCTACTTTCCAGATGCCTTCATCACATCGCCGCATGTCATTTTTAGTTTGTCGTTGGCCTCTGTGATTCCATTGTCCTATTTCATTGGTATGGGTGTTAGCAGTGTGTCCGCTCAAAGTAGCATGGGACTAGGTGCAGTCATCAATGCAACATTTGGTAGTATCATTGAAATTATCTTGTATGCAGCTGCCCTCATGGCTGGTAAGAGCTCGCTTGTGGAAGGTTCCCTGATCGGTAGTATATTGGCGGGCGTCTTGCTGATGCCAGGCTTCTCCATGATCAGTGGTGCTGTCAAGAGAAAAGAGCAGCGATTCAATGCAAAGAGTGCGGGTGTTACTAGTACCATGCTAATCATGGCCATCATCGGTGCCCTGTCTCCCACACTGTTTTATCAGTTCTTTGGATCCGTAAGTCAATCGCTTCACATTTGCTTCCTGTGTATTTATCTTACTGCATAGTTTGAATTGCGTTGCACAGGATGCCCTGAAGTTGCTGACCCAAATGGCTCTCTTGCTTGCTCACACTGCTACTATGATCAAATGAATCCATCTGAGGATCCCGTGTACCAAAACAGTGTCAAGCCCTTCATGTTGATTTGTGCCGCTATTCTACCATCTGCCTATGTCATTGGGCTTTTGTTCAGTTTGCATACGCATGCAGACATGGTGTGGAAGAACCCCACATCCACCACTACGAAGCATCCCATTGTAGAAGCACATACAGCAACTGTTGTTCATCCTCAGAGAGTATACCCTGTACATATCATCTCTCAACAAGAACAAAATCATCCCAGTGAGCAAACACCCATCAATGCCTACAGTATCCATGGTAACACACAACAACGCACACGAGACATCACGTTGACTGACATGTTTGTTTAGCTGTCGATCAATCTGCCACTTCATTCATTGCAAATCCAAGCACAACTACCAACGCAACTACAACCACGACGACGCTACCTCAACCCTTGGCGTTTGTGCATGCTAAAGAACCAGAAGAGGAGGAGGAGGAGGAAGCAGCAGCAGGTCATGATTCGCCCAACTGGGGTAAAGCCATGAGTTATTCAGTGCTGTTTGGCTGTACATTGCTGTACTCTATCATTGCAGAAATTCTAGTGCAGACAGTGGATTTGGTCATGGAGAATGTAGCCATTGACGAGAAATTCCTGGGTTTGACATTATTTGCTCTGGTGCCTAATATTACAGAATTTATGAATGCCATCTCATTTGCTCTCTATGGAAACATTGTACTAAGGTAATGTATCGTGGACATGGCCCCGCACAAACAATCCATCCTGTGCTGCCTCTCCTTATTTCTTTTTTTTTTTTATGGAAACTAACTTTCTTTGTGTAGTATGGAAATTGGCTCAGCTTATGCTTTGCAAGTCTGCTTATTACAGATTCCTGCCATGGTAGCATTTTCATTGTGGTACAACTGGGGTAAAGAAGAGATCAAAAAGTTTACATTCAAGTAAGTATAAAGTATCTAATGCATAGGTCACAGCAAGCTCATTATGTTTAAATAGCTTAATGTTCCCTCGTTGGGATGTCATTTCTGTCATATTCTCAGTCTTTTTGCTAACCTACACCTACCAGGAAGGCAAATCCAACTACTTTAAAGGTTCGATTCTTTGTCTGAGTTACGTTGTGTTGGTAGCAGGATTCTATTACATACCTTCCTTTAGTAATGCGTCTAATTTATACGTTGGTATTGAGCCAAGAGCATAGGAGTAATAAAGGGATGAAGAAGGTGATACGGAGCCCCTTGTTGTTTATTTTGCATTATTTGAAAAAAAAAGGGCCGTCAACTCGACATTTGCATATCTATTAGTGCATGGCATCTTTTAATAATTTGATGACGGATGAATCACTAATGTAAAGTAAAGCATAGAACTTGTGTAGTCTAATAAAAGCGCGCATTTGCTATATTTTAGCTAAATGAGTATTGGGATAAGAAATGATAGACTTTATAGACTAGTCTTGATGCATAACTCTGCGACAGCCAAGAAACAGATTCTAAAAGCATCTCTTACACGTCGAGCTTGATAGACTTTACTATGATATGCATTTTGTTTTTTTGTGGCAGATAAATTTAACATAACTATAGAAAGCTCATGCTGGATACAAAGCTTCTGTCAGCCCACTGCTGATACTCTCTCTTCATGTTGGGGTCTTGATGAAGCGCTGTCTTGTTGGCGGATAAACTGCACCTCTTTCGTTCCTTGTCGAGCAGGTTTCTCTTTTCATTTTGAGACAATTGGATGACGGAAATCTTGTCAGCAGGGATGCCTTTAACAACGCTCTCAAAAACAGCAACAGGCAGTATTTGCTCATCACAAAGGAAGATGCCGTATACATCGTTGAAAAGTGGGGTTTTCTCCAGTGAGACAGGTGCCACTCCCTGAGGACCAAAGTACGCTGAATGAACCAATTGCAAATGTGTGTCGTTGAACAGTTTCTTGTATTAATTTGCAAAAACATCGAGCTGAGGAACCTCAGTTTGCAAAGGAGGCGCTACGAATATCTACTGATACTCTAGCGAGAGCCAATCAGGAAGAATAGAGCCACATTGGAAGGCTCGACGCCCTTGGACGATGATAGTATTGCTGGTGCCCACTATAAAGGTATGGTCCTTGAACAGAATCATAAGCTTAATATAGCTGGAGCTCGTAGGCTGTTATGTAGTTGGTTGCATTATAGATAGTGCTTGAGACTCTTTGGACAAATGCAAGCTTCAGCTCATCTGAGAGATCTTTCTGATAATAGACGACAAAGAGACAGTGCTTGAGCTAAATATTTGGGCGCAATACAATGCTCGAAGTTTAGATTAATGCATACAATGTCTTTTACGCCTTTTTATCAGAACAAAAGCGTGCCTATTGGCAAGTAAATGTATGAAACACAGCCAAATTTAACAGTTTCCAAACCTTCATCTCTTGACATATAGACCTTTCTGAGCCGCCGGAATAACGCCAAACAATTGTACTCAAATAGCAGTAACTTCCTGACACCTTTGCTCGACTTTTTAAGACCCAAAAAAACAGGGCCAAAAATCGACCAAAAAGCATGAGGTATCCCTCATGCTTTTTTACGAAAATTAAACGATCGCATTTTTTCACCTTGAAAATAAAGCCTTTTACTATGGTATATATTGAATCAAAATGTTTCTATCGATCTAAAGCAACCTTTGAAACCACTTTTATGAGGTGTTCATGTGCAAAATATGGCTATTTTCGCTAAAAACCTCAATCCATATTTTACCAAATCTCTCGGTAACTTCACTCAAAACATGTGTTACAATTAGCACCATTGGAAGCGCCTTGAAAAGTACTCCAGAAATGCATTAGGAAGTATGGGATGATCAGCACATCTACATAGTCGAATCTCGCAAAATAGGTCGAACCGAATCCAAAAAGATCAAAAAATAAACAAATCAGAAGAGAAAGTAAAGCGGGAATTGAATTGGTTTTTGGATGGCAAGATCAATCCATGCTAATTGCGAAGGTAACGGTTGTTGATGGAGGCACATAATAAGAAAGGAATTGCGAGTTGGAAAAGATACTTCAGATTAGCATAAATACATGGTTTTGCTTCTGTTAAGAATCTTCGGGTCTATGGAATACAGTTGTTACAAATTGCTTATGCAGCGATGATAGTATTGTTGTTTATTATGAATGCAGCCAAATAAAGGAATCTGCCCAATTTTACTTTGTTGAGGCGTGATGGATACCGATGCCTTACGCTATATATTAAACCTAATACTAAATCAATCCCATACACACAATTAATTGGAGAGTAAAATTGTGGAAGATCCTCATTGAGCTATAGAGAGATCCGAAAGCTAATTCACAATCACGTAAATAAGGGCAACACTTTTTATACAACCGGAATTAATCCAAGATTTCTACATTGAATAAGAAAAAAAAAGGAGAGGATTGCAACCATCAGAAAATTCTAATCCAACATGTAGTACTCGAGAGCCCCTGCATCCATGTATAAATATATACTCTCTTGATTATAGCAAGCAAGTGCTCCTATAGCTTGATTGTAAGTCTTCTTTTTTACTTTTACGTAGCATTTATGGAGGCATACTTTCTGTCTCTTTCCCACTTTTTTTTTTGTATCTAGATGTTGTTGTGTACACACAGGCACACACACACACACCAAACCTCCCTTTTTTTGTATGTGTATCTAAATGATCCATGATCTGTAATTCTTTATTTCTTTCTTTTCTCTTTCTCTCTTCTTTTTTTTTTTTGCACGACACACACATATCAGCTCTTTCCCAACTGATCTCTCAAACGCTATATTACTATAAAAGGACGATACACATTGTGCGTACATTGATGAATTTCAACCGAGACTATTGCAACTAGAAAATAGAAACAACATTTAGCAATCAACGTATTTCAACCTTTTTTTTCTCTCGTTATTGAACTTTGAAGCATGTCAAGCACTGTCTCTAATATTGTGCAATTGGCAGAAATACAATCCAATGACACACATGTCACAGGTCAGGAAGCCATTGTGCGACTATTACAGTCTCGATTCAAAGCAGATCAGCCCTATACACAACTAGGAGATCATCGTTTAGTTGTCGTCAATCCATTCAAGCCATTGGATCTATTGAATGATGCCACATTACAAGCGTATGGCCAGCATGGATACAAAGACATTTCACCAGATCGATTTGCACCACCAGAGCCTCATGTGTATGATATGGCAACTCGAGTGTATCTACTGATGAGGCGTAGATCAGAGAACCAAGCAGTGATATTAAGGTACACTACCACTCGACAACCATTGCTCAATTACATACTAATCTTTCATCACCAGTGGAATGACTGGATCAGGGAAATCCACCACACACCACCACTTGATCAAAGAACTGCTTTATCTCTCGACACACACACGAAAAGAAGAAAAGACGCAAAATCAAATATTAGGAGTGCACACTATTTTCGAAGCATTCGGCAGTGCTGCATCCAATACGAATGAAACTGCATCTTACCTGGGCCAATTCCAAACCTTGCAATTCAATGAACGAGGGAGGATTGTTGGATGCAATACGTCCGTCTTCTTACTTGACAAGCATAGAATCTCTCGCAGCCATACACAACAGTACACTATATTCTACCAGCTATTAGCAGGCACTACACCCGATGAGAAGCAGGCACTGCACATGACACACACCAACTTTAACTATCTTAAGCAGCTAAACCAGCGCAACTCGCAGCGAGATCAGATAGGCTTCAATGACATTAAAGCAGCATTAAAAGTGTGCGGCTTCAAGACCAAGACAGTAGCACAAATGTGTCAGTTGCTGGCTGCTATACTTCATCTTGGCAATGTGCAGTTTGTGGATGGCAACAAGCACTTTGTAGGCGGTGATAGCTCATTTTCCTCTTTCGCAAGCCCTAACACGACTTCCTCCAACAGCACCAACACAGCAGCAGGTGGCCACGAATCATGCCGCATCAAAAACAAGGAGATCTTGGTATTGGTGGCGGCTGCTTTGGGTGTGGCCACTTCCAAACTAGAAACTACATTGACCCACAAGCTCAAGCTGATTGGCAACGAATTTTGTTCCGCCTTCTTGACGACAGATACAGCCTCACAACAGAGAGATGCGCTGGCCCATACGCTTTATTCTGTGCTGGTGCTGTGGATCATGAATGCCCTAAATCAGAAGTTTGACACAGCAGCTAACAATGCCAATGCTATGCTGCGCACTATCAGTATCCTAGACACTACCGGATTCCAACTGTCCACCAGCACAACACAACGAGGACGCACATTTCATGATTTATGTGTCAATTATACGGTAGAGCAATTGCACAAATACACGTTAGATCGCACCTTGTTTCCCGACTCGGCCACCAACGCAGCCTGTCAACAAGACGGTATTTGGCCCAATCGCATACCAATGCAAATCAGATCCGTGCCTTCGCCTCTAGCATTGTTTCATGGCACCAACAGAAACAGCTTTGCACTGATTCCTTTAATGAACAAAGAGTCAAAGCGCTTTCAGGCTTATGCGTTGGATGCTACGGACAGCAATTTACTCTCTGTGCTGTTTCAAAAGAAGAGATCCAGTCAAAATAACCCCAGTAATGATTACACCACGCTGCTGCATCCATCTACACCATCCTACAGCTTTGCCATTCGACATTTTGATGACTCAGTCAGTGTGGATTACTCAATTGATGGCTTCTTGGAAAGCAATCTGGATGCTATCTCGCCTGATTTCCTTCACTTGTTCAAGTACAATTGCACCAATGCCTTTGTGCATGGTCTGTTTGAGGCCAATTCTTTGGCTGGCTGGATCACAGACGTTCATCCCAGAGATGCGCGCACTGTGATTAAAGCGCAGTTGCCTGTATGGCCATCCTCATCAACAACCAGTGACAACAGCAACAAAAAGATCACCACGAGAGAGGAGATCAAAGCAGCAGCCAGCACCGTGGTAGATGATTCTCAAAAGATCGAGCTCGCAGATGTCAGTGAGGAGAAGCAGCAGCAGCAGCAGCAGCCCCCTAAACCCCGTGCACCCTCTCTCAAGCGAAAGAAATCTGTAGCAGCAACGCCGCCACCCGCCAGCAACATACAGTCTGTCTTTGATCAAGTGGTTCACAGTGTCGAGTCTCTGAAACAAATATTGGACACCATGTGTCTCTCTGAAATCATCCACATCCGTCCCAACGACCAGCAAAAGCCAGACGCATTCGATGCAGACTTTGTTCAACGGCAAATCCAGGCGCTTCGTATAGCAGAATTGGCTGTGCACGCTGTGCATGTTGATGTGCTGTATCCCTACACACAAAAGCAGTTCATGTCGAGATACAGACATTTGATGGACAGTTACTTGCAAGAAGAAGAGAACAGCAGTAGCAGCATGACAGATCTGGATGACACGATTGTCGATGACGATGGCATTGGCGATGATGATCATGAAGACCAAGACATTGAAAAGGAAGACAAGGTCGAAAAGCAAAAGCAATGCATCTCGCACTGGGTTCAAGTCATGAAATGGACACACCAGCAAATTAAATTTGGCAAAAACGACATTTGGCTGACGTTTGATCTCTGGAGAAACTTGGAGAACCAGGTACGCACCATGGAGAAAGAGGCTCGACTGCGTGAAAAGGAGAGGTTGGCTGCCATAGAAGCTGAGAAGGAAGCCATGCGACAAGCAGCCATTGAAGCAGCACTAGAGGCAGAAGAGTACGAAGCAGCACAGAAAGCAGCGGCAGAGGCAGAAGCAGAGGCAGAAGCAGCCGCGCAAGCAGCAGAGATTGCAGTCATTGCAGCAGACAGATGGTCCAGTGATAAGAATCAATTTGATGATGATTGTCGGTCAGATATGACAAACGAAGATGACCGTACAGAGATCGAAACACACTTCGATCAGCCTGGTAAACGAAGCGAATGGGGAGACGACGATGATGACACGAGAGGCATCGCTGAAGGGTAGGTTTAAAATGCTATTGTATGATAGCAGACAGCAGCAGAGGTTGATAGTGTAATTTTAGATATGGTCCCAACTTGGACATGAGTAAAATGATGGAAGACTACAGTGTTGAGCCAGAGGAACAAGTGGAGGAAGTAAACATTTCTAGCATTCGTCGATGGTGGGCTCGGTTTGTCTATTTCTCTACATGGTGGGTTCCCTCTTTCACGTTAAAATACATTGGCAAAATGTCTCGTCAAGACGTTCAGATGGCATGGCGTGAGAAGGTGACCTTGTGTCTACTGATCTTTGCCTTCTCTGGCAGCATCATTTTTTTCATCGTGGGCTTGAGCCAGATTATCTGTCCTGGAACCAAGGATCTCTACTCTGCAGAAGATGTCACCAACCATCAAACCATCAGTGATTACTGGGTGTCTGTTCGAGGCACTGTGTATGACATGACCAAGTTTGTAGCTACCGATCATGGCACTGCAGCCTACATGGCTGGCAAGTCTAACCTGGACCCTTTGGCCGGTCGAGACCTGTCGTATACGTTTCCTCCTCCTTTATCTGTTGCTTGTGCTGGCTTAGTCTCTGACCCCATTATCACTGTAACCCCAAATGAAACCGTCGTATTGGGTCCCTTTGTCCACTTTTCTGGTCCTCAGCAACCCGAGCGCTCCCTGGATAAACTACAAGATCCTTACTGGCTCAACAAATATTTTGGACCTACCATGAACATTTACAAGCGAGGCGATTTGGTAATTCCTATGAAGCAGATCAAAGACGACTACTCGAGCTGGGGCCGATTGATTGCCTCCATTGATGACAAGGTGTACGATTTGACAGATTACATGGCTTCTGCTCGGAGATATCCTAGTGCCAGTGCTGGTGTTCCCAATTACCATTATTTGGATCCATCCATTGAGACCTTGTTCAGCAAGTTTGGCGGAAAGGACGCCACTGCAGAATGGAACAGATACAGTGCTGCCATGGATGAACAAACAAAGATCAAAAACAAGGCGTGCCTGGACAATGTGTTCTATATTGGCCGTCTGGATTACCGTGAATCACTCAAGTGCACATTTGTCAACTACTTACTACTGAGCTTTGCAGTGGTCATGTCGGCGGTCATCCTGGTCAAGTTTCTGGCAGCATTGCAATTTGGAAGTGCCCCTACACCCGAGGATCACGACAAGTTTGTCATCTGTCAGGTGCCTTGCTATACAGAAGATGAGGAATCACTGCGCAAAACCATTGACTCGCTCACCGCCATGACCTATGACGATAAACACAAGCTGCTGTTCCTCATTGCAGATGGCATGATTATTGGAAGTGGTAACGACAAACCAACGCCTCGCATTTTGCTCGACATTTTGGGCCATGATGAAAACGATGATCCTGAGGCACTGATGTTCAAGTCAATCGGCGAGGGTTCCAAGCAACTGAATTATGGTAAAGTATATTCCGGTGTGTATCAGCATGAAGGTCATGTTGTTCCCTATGTGGTGGTGGTCAAAGTGGGTAAATCCAGCGAACGCGCCAAGCCTGGTAACCGTGGTAAGCGAGATTCACAGATCATTTGCATGAACTTTCTGAACAAGGTCCATTTTGACTCTGAAATGTCTCCTCTGGAGCTGGAAATCTTTTATCACATCAAGCACATCATTGGTATCGAGCCTAGGCTGTACGAGTATATCCTCATGGTGGATTCTGACACGGAAGTCTATCCAGATGCCCTGAATCGACTGGTATCGTGCATGCTGCATGACAGCCGCATCATTGGTTTGTGTGGTGAAACTGAATTGGGCAACGAGGATCGCTCTTGGACTACAATGATACAGGTCTATGAGTACTACATTTCGCACCATTTGGTCAAATCTTTCGAGTCACTGTTTGGGTCTGTCACTTGCTTGCCAGGATGCTTCTGTATGTACCGTATCCGCACAGCAAGCAAGCACCAACCGCTGATTGTATCGCCCAATGTCATTCATGCTTACTCGGATAACCAAGTCGATACACTGCACAAGAAGAACCTGCTGCACTTGGGCGAAGATCGATACTTGACCACATTGATGATGAAGAATTTTCCTCAATACAAGATGATGTTCACGCCGTATGCGAAATGCAGAACAGTTGCGCCAGACCAATGGCGCGTATTGCTGTCTCAAAGAAGACGATGGATCAACTCGACTATTCACAACCTGCTGGAACTCATTCTGCTCCAAGAGCTATGCGGCTTTTGCTGTCTTTCCATGCGATTTGTGGTATTAACCGACCTCATTGGCACCATCACGCTCCCTTCTTCTGTCATCTACCTCATCTATCTTATATACGAAGTCATCTCTGGGTCTGGACCTATACCCACAATTGCGCTTGGCATGCTGGCAGGTGCTTATGGTCTTCAATCCCTCATCTTCATCTTCAAAAGACAGTGGCAGCATATTGGCTGGATGGTCATCTACATGCTTGCTATTCCCATCTTTAGTTTCTTTATTCCTCTCTATGCATTCTGGCATTTCGATGACTTCTCATGGGGGAATACGCGTGTGGTAGTGGGCGACAAGAAGAAGCAGATTATTGTCACCGACGATGAAAAGTTTGATGAAAAGATGATACCACTCAAGAAATGGGCCGTGTACGAGCAAGAGATGTGGGAAACCAAGACATTGCGATCCGAAGTAACTCATTCCAAATGCTCTGTTTACTCTTGCGACGATGACGAAATGCCTAGCGTCTATAACAGATCATATAATGATGACCACAGCTTACAGAGCCATCCCAGCTTCATGACAAGCAGCAAATCAAACTCCAACCACACCATAAACAGTCGATATCAGCTGCTACCTCCACTTATATCTAGCTTCTCGGACAATAACTCACTTGGCCTCGACCTTTCATCGGTATTCAGGCCCAATGCATCACCATCAGCAGCAGCAGAGGATAGTAATGGTATGAGAAGAGAGGATATCAAAGTGGCCATGCTGCCAGAGGACAACGACATAGAGAAGGAGATCATCAGAATTTTGACTAGTTCTAATCTTATGACATTGACCAAGAAGCAAGGTATGTTGTTGATACGCTTTTAGATTATATCACAATGACTGACATTGGGTGTTTAGTGCGAGATCAACTATCCAAGATATTTGGAGTTGATTTAACCATCAAAAAAGGATTCATTAATGCAACCATTGAGCGCCTTTTAGAGCAAGACTTTTAGAATACATAAATACATATACATATCTCAACATAATGTAAATCATATAATAAATAACGCATTCTATTTTCGTGTAATTAGCTATTGTGAGAAAGCAGGCAGACTTGCCATCATTGTATCATGATATTGTCATATGTGGGCACAACAATGTAAGTAGTAGCCTTTTTGGTTCTTATTGTATGCTGTTTAGAAGCGTATTCCCTCGGCGACGTGTTGATGTTATCTTGGTCTGTGAAACGAGTGCTAATGATGTCGAATTGGAATTATGCCACCTTGGGTTCAAGAGAAGTGCAGTTAGCGATCCGGTATTGAAGCAGCAGCAAAATAAAAGCTTGAAGATCAACGCCGGTATCCCGAATGGCATCAATCTTTCGCTGGACAATATCCCAATTACTACCTACTCCATGGACTTTGCTGAAAGTGCTGTATACGCAGTACGGCTAATTCGCTTTCAATATTGTATGGCCGTATTCCCCATGGGCCGTTTTTCTTTGATGACTTCTCTACTGTAACTCAATAACTTCATCGCCTTCTCGCCAAGCAATGAATGTTTTGAGCAACGTTGCAATCAGCACATGGGCATTGCACCAGCCTCCTTTATACTTATCCATCTATCGCTCTCTTTCTGCTACACCTGCATCATCCATAAACATAGATCTTTCACTGATCCATTAATGAAATCAGGCGGCAAACTATCCCTCCTAGAAATATTGAATAAAACTGCGCCGAGATATTGTCACAAGCATCCTCTGCAAGGACTATATGTATGTAAAAGAAGGCTAGATCAATAAGCAAATATGTTCACATAGACTCCTAGTTTGTATAGAAATTCTTGAAAAAGGGCGAGTTCACAAGGCAATGTAGACACTGGATCATTGCCTGGAATAACGAGGGAAAGAATATACCATCCAATAGGAAATCACATAAAAAGGATTTGTTTCTACTGGTAGGTATAGTCTTTGCTGCTTTCTACACTTGCAGAATCGGGTTACATCCCGTAAATGATCCAGGGCTCGATGTGATGTTCTTTATACATGAAAAAGTAGATACTCTTTCAGCTTTAAGAAAGGTAAAGTATATATCCCCACAAAGCTAGGCAGTCGTTCCACAAGATGTGCGATCATTCAAATATTAGGAGCATCTAAAGTATGGGGTATTCGATCCTTGTTTGAAACGACCAACAAGGTGATGGAGTTTGTAAATTAGAGTTTCTTTGGAAACCGAATTAGCTTATCTAATTCATTTTCTTATAAGAAGACTAGGAATACTTTTATTATGCATAGAACGAAATTTGAATGAATGAAATTTGAATGAATGAACTGTTTTTACAAGAGACAAAGGCACTGCGGACGAATGAGGCATATATCTTTGTTTCAAATGAGTGGATGAGTCAATTTTGTCTATGGAATAACGGATGATGCTGGTTTCTATGTTTGATATTCACGGAAAACGAATTATGCCTAGTGTAACATAACGTATGGTAATACGATACTCTTCTAACGGATCGATCTTGTTGTAAACAGTGGTAAAAACTGGTAATTTACAGTTCGTAGTTATTTTGTCATTCCGTGGAAGCTTGAATATTACCTTTCAGAGGATTTTTATTGTGAAATCAAGAGAAAACAAAATGTTTCTATTGTAATTTTTGATTTGAGGCGGTTGCTGCGCCAAAAGACTGAAGCAGCTGCTAGATGTCTAGTATTTTTGACAGCGGCAAATGGCTGTATTCAGAGCAGAAAAGATGGTATATCTCATTTGTATGATACCTTGTGTTCTGTATGAATTGTAGACATACATGTAATGACATTGTTATACGGTCATTTCTCACATGGAAAGCGTAAGCGCTTCAACATGGGAAAAAATGGTCTGATTTGGTTCTCTTTTTCTTGTTATTCTTGTTTCAGAAATAGATTTACATAATCAATTCTTTAGAAAATGTAGGTTTTGATCCCTCCCTTCCAAGTTAACATGTACTAAACATGGTATTTTTCCATGGTATTGCTACTTTTTTTTTTTTTTTTAGTCATGAGTAATAACAAATACGATGCCATGTTGCACTTGGCTACTATAAATAAAATCATCATGGTTATTGGTACATAACAAGCAAGTTGGAGAAACATTGGGATTGGGCGGTATTTCATTCATCAAGAAGGGCTACTCTAAGGGTCTACCTATGGAATTGCTTGTAATTTACTCCAAAGAATGTGAGACAACTAGAAAATCTCTTGAAGGCGGATACCAAATTGTGCTTCTCCGGCAAGTTACTCCACTCGAGTTCCCATTTTGAGCATTCATTGTCGAATGATATAGCTGCTCTTAACGGGAATAAATGGTAAAAATACCAGCTCAAAATAAAACGGTATCCTAGGTCATATCAGGAATGGCAACAGTTGAACAGTACTGAGCATCTAGACACCATATTCACTGCAATCATGCATGGCCATTTAGTGAACCAAATTTCAACATTGCGGATAGAAAGAAACCGAATAGGCATTTCTGATTTGATCTGTTTTAAACGAAAGAATACAAAACGTGCACAGCTGAAACCCTCCAGCGGCAACATTGGCTGAAACAACAGGCATTCTTATATTGAATTTCATATGAATGAATATCAATCAAACGGGTCTGAAATGGATGTAACTCTTGACTTTATACAACATTTTGGATGTCAATCGAGTACATGTCTAGTAAGCAGCTTGTCCGAATGGCCAGGTGTCATTTTCTGTCCAGGGTAACCATTGAATAAAATGGAAAATTTCAAGAAACATACGACCTGGTAAAGTTTCTCTATTTCTTTCGGATCAGATAGAAATCAGATCTACGCATTCATGCATAAACAAACGAAAACCAAAAGAAAAGCAAGGCCCTTTGGTTACTTGGAAGCACACTGGTACAACTGCATCTCACACTCAATGGCACCTATAGATGTTGAACAATCTGGTGGCACATTTCAGCCAATATGTCTGTATAACTCCTTCATTGGATGCTAACCCACTCTTCTACTCATTTGCCTGAGTGTCAAATCCATGTACAACCCAAATGGCGTGACAATATCGAATGGTTCTTTGCTTCTAAAGCTCAGTTTCAACCAAAAGGTTATTTCCATTTTCGTTAAGTGGGGTAGGTTCATTGAAATGTATATAAAAGGAACCCGCAAAATCCAGTTTCCATTTCATTATTATTTTCTCCATCAAATAAATATATTAAAAATCAAAATGAATTCTCTTGATATGAAGCTACCGGGCTACATGGTCTACTGTGTAGTCATCGCTTGTCTTGGCTCCTTTAGTAACGGTTGGGTTATTGGTTCTGCCAATGTCCCTGGAGAAGTCACTCATGCCTGTGCTAATGGTGCTGCTCATGTTGCAAACAGTGCTTTCCCTGATTGTCTCCCTATGAACGACGCTCTCTGGGGCTTTGCTGTCGCCTCTTTCTGTGTTGGTGGTCTTTTCGGTGGTCTCTTTGGTGGTCATATTCAAACTAAATTCGGTCGTAAGAAGACTATCATTTTCAATAACATTGGTTGGATCATTGGTGCTATCTTGATCGGTGCCTCTGTCTCTCCTGCCATGTTCATCATTGGTCGTATCTTCTGTGGTCTGTCTTGTGGTCTTGGTTCTCTCTCTACTCCTACCTATGTTGGCGAAGTTTCTACTGTCAAGGGTCGTGGTACTATGGGTACTTGTAACCAATTTGCTATTGTCATTGGTATCTTGCTTGCTTCTGTTATCGGTCTTCCTCTTGCCTATGTTCCTCTCTGGAGAATCAACTATGCTATCGTTGCCATCCCTGCCATTGCTCAATTCTTCTTGATGGCTGGTTGTGTCGAATCGCCTCGTTACCTCATCTCTCAAAACCGTCTTGAAGAAGCTCGTGCCAACCTTCAAAAGCTTCGTCCTGGAGCTAATATTGAGCAAGAGTTCTTTGAACAAGTTGAAGGTATCCTTGGTTCCTCTGCTGCTCGTGCCATCACTGCCTCCAATGCGGCTGCCGATAAGCTTGAAATGAAGGAAAATGAAGAACAAAAGGAAAACTACGAAGAGGCCAAGCTTGAAGATGGTGTTGTCCCTGAAGAACGCAATGAAGCTGCTCGTGCTCCCATGAACATGATCCAAATCTTTGTTGATCCTCTCATCCGCAAGATTGCTATCACTGTCCTTCTTCTTCACGTTATCCAACAATTGATTGGTATGAACGCTGTCATGTATTACTCCACCACCATCTTCAACATGTCTTTTGATGCTAATATGTCCAAGTACATGGCTATTGTCACCACTGTTGTCAACTTTGTCTCTACCATTGCTTCATTGATTTTGATTGATCGTATGGGTCGTCGTCCTTTGCTTTTGATTGCTGAAGCTGGTGCTTGCATCTTCTCTGTTCTCTTGATCATTGGCTATGTTTACTCTATCGGTGCTCTCTTGATTGTCGCTGTCTTTGGTTATGTCATCTCCTTCGCTATCGGTGTTGGTCCCATTCCTTGGATGATTACCTCTGAAATGTCTCCTGTCTATGCTTCATCTGCCGTTGGTGCCATTGCCACTGCTGTCAACTGGGCTATGAACTTCTTGATTGGTCAATGTTTCCCTGTCATCTTTGCCAAAATCCAAGGTTACTCCTTTGCTATCTTTGCCGCTATTGCTGCCATGGCTTTTGTCTTTACCTGGTTCCGTGTTCCTGAGACCAAGAACCGCTCCATTGAAGCTATTGTCAAGTCTTTCGAGTCTTAAATTGCCTTTTTTTCACTTATTTTTTGTATTTTTATCTTGCTACATGTTACCTTTTTAATTCTTCGCACCCCATCCTTGTATATTAGTCAATTCTCTTTCATATAATTTCTCAATACGTTGATCGTCAAATAAAAATTTTAAATAATCATTCAAAACCTGTCTTTTGGGTAAAAAAAAAAAAAAAAAAAAAAAAAAACGTAAATGATGAAAAACGTGTAAATAAATCTTCAAATATGCATTATGCATCAAAGCATTGAAAAGGCTTGAGATGCATCAGTAATGCGATGATGTCAACTCACTTGCTAGTAAAATGATTTGGAATAGGCTTTATATCGTACAGTAGACAAATTATGAACAGCCATGATGATGATAGCATGTAATACTACCAGATTTTATATGTTTTTAAAAGCTTGATCTATGCATTCATCTCGATACTAGGCATCCACCATCAGCATTAGATCCGTGTCTGAATAGCCAACTGTCCAAATGTGCATACCAATGTCTAGGTACCACTTGACAGTTCTGAGAGGATAGAGGTGGCCTAACGTTTAAGTGCTGGGAATCAGCTATGACCTCAAAAATGCAACTGAACTCCCTGTTCGACGCAAGCATTCTAATTGCAGTTGCAAGGCGAACATTCTCACTAGGTGTCACCCAACTCTAACTGCTTGCCTAGTTGTTGGTGTCCTTTCATCAAAGCGGTCTACATATGTTTTACTAGCATCGCCAGTATGATGGAATGCTGAGGCGACCAAGAGGTTAATTCTGAATGGGCGGCTATTGATGCTGGTAAATACATTACCGTGAGTGTTATATGAGGGCTTGCTCTTGGATATTAACAATGATTTTTGCTTTGCTAGTCGTCAAACAGTCTGACTATGTATGTGAAGGGACCCAATACCTGTTGCAGCTGATCCTGCCAGTAAGCAAGCACTTGCTTCAATACACTGTTGCGCAAGAATATCCCTGAACGACTTGTAAATGTGAAAATGAATCTTCTGTGATGCTATACGTCTGTATCAATGGGAATAAGTCAAAGGTACAGGAGCAATCAGCTCCTCAATACTCAAATGCATGCAAAATACAACGAAAACCAAGTGCATTTAATTGGCAATTTCTCGCGTTAGAAGCCGTTTGAGAACGCCAGAATAACACCACACGATGACTCTCAACTAGCGCTAACCTCCTGACACCTTTGCTCAACTTTTTTGAGATCATCAAAAATCGACCAAAAAGCATGAGGTGCCCCTCATGGTTTTTTACGAAAATTAAACGATCGCGTTTTTCGCCTTGAATATGAAGAGTTTTACTATGGTATATATTGAACCAAAATGTTTCTCTCGACCCAAAGCAACTCCTGAAACCTCTTTTGTGAGACATTCATATGCAAAATCTCGACATTTTCCTCGAGAACCTCATTTCATATTTTTGATATTGCTCAATAACTTTGTTAAAAATACCTCTTTTAGTTGGCATCATTGGATGCGCCTTGAAAGGTATTCCAGAAATGCATTAGGAAGTATGGGACGATCAGCACACTTTACATAGTCGAATCTCGCAAAAATAGGTTGAACCGAATCCAAAAAGATCAAAAATGAGCAAATCAGAAGAGAATGTAAAACGGGAATTGAATTGGTTTTTGGCTGGCAAGATCAATGCCATGCTAAATTGCAATGATAGTCGATGCTGCTGGAGGCTTTCCAGAAGAGAATTGCGCATTGAAAAAAATATTATAGTTTATTTTGGCGGCTTTATTTTGCTTTTGTTAAAGTATCGTTATTCGATCGTTTCAAACTATATATCTCAATGTAATGTCAACTCCCTTTGCATGTGTCATTGTGATGCCAACCCTAGCTCTCGTAGGATAATTTGTGTCAACTGCTATCAGTCTCTCAAATGATTTTTTTTTGTCAGTTATAACAAAACCATGATGATAATACAGGTCCATTTTAGGGATTACAATGATAACATGACTGATGTGGATCCTTGTTAAATATTTGAATAAGGTTTATCAAATATAATTTTGGCTTATCGTTTACTTGAATCTACATGCATGAGACGTATCAATAACAACGTTCAAAAATGTATCTTCTATTTTGCGATAGCACAAAGAATTTAATCAGTTTTTCTTGTAGAAGAATCGATTTACCTATTGCAATACAAATCCCAAAATTGGAAGCCTCTTGACAGGTAAGCTCCGACAGCTACATCCAGTAAATGGTCTTTATCTGATAATCGTGCTATGCGCAAATACTCTATCAGATCTTAAATGTGATTTCTTGAATCTTTGGTTACTAGAGCTTTCCAGTACAACTATTCTGTGAATTCAATAAGAAATCAAAAGCAATTGAAAACTTACAGTATGCAAAGTTATTGATTATTTGAAACTGATTAACAAAAAGTCAATCTTTTGATCAACTTTTTACATGAGGTTTATTTTTATATGTAACAGATGTATGAAAATGCAATGTTTTAAATGATTGATTGATTTAAAGAGCACCATCAACCTTGGCAGCGTGGACAAGGAGATCGACAACACGGTTGGAGTAACCATATTCGTTATCGTACCAGGCAATGAGCTTGACGAAAGTAGGGGTCAATTGGATACCGGCAGCAGCGTCAAAGACGGAAGAGTTGGGCTCACCAACGAAGTCAGATGAGACGACAGCGTCAGTTGTGTAACCGAGGACACCCTTCATGGTGGTTTCGGAGGCCTTCTTGACAACTTCCTTGATTTCATCGTAAGAAGCACCCTTGGAGAGGTTGACGGTCAAATCAACAACGGAGACATCAGGGGTAGGGACACGGAAAGCCATACCGGTGAGCTTACCGTTAAGAGCGGGAATGACCTTACCGACAGCCTTGGCGGCACCAGTGGAAGAGGGAATGATGTTGGCAGCAGCGGCACGACCACCTCTCCAATCCTTGTGAGAAGGACCATCGACAGTCTTTTGAGTAGCGGTGGTGGCGTGGACAGTGGTCATCAAACCATCAGCGATACCGAAGTTATCGTTGATGACCTTGGCGAGAGGAGCCAAACAGTTGGTGGTACAAGAGGCGTTGGAGATAACCTTGTATTCAGACTTGTAAGCCTCGAGGTTGACGCCACAGACGAACATGGGGGCATCAGCAGAGGGAGCAGAGATGATGACCTTCTTGGCACCACCCTTAAGATGAGCAGAGGCAGCTTCAGTAGTGGTGAAGACACTATTACGTCAATGTTAGTTTAGATATCCCATGATAAACCCCATTCAATATATTTACCCAGTGGATTCGACAACGTAGTCAGCACCAGCGGAACCCCAAGGAATGGAGGTAGGATCACGCTCAGCAGAGACGGCGATAGCATGACCGTTGACAACGAGCTTGCCATCCTTGGCCTCGACGGAACCGTCGAAGCGACCGTGAACAGTGTCGTACTTCAACATGTAGACCATGTAGTCAAGAGGAATGAAGGGATCGTTGATGGCAACAACTTGGACGTCCTTGTTGGACTCAGTAGCACGAAGGACAATACGACCAATACGACCGAAACCGTTAATACCGACTTGAACAACCATTTTTAGAATTTATAAAATATATATAGAGATATAATATGAAGAGAAAAAAAAAGAAAACCTTAGCAAGACGAGAAATGCATTGGGTTTATATACCATTTGAAATGTCTCACACTTCATGGGTATTTTGAGGGAGAATTAATCTTGTTTGAATCGGATTCGGATCCATTGGAAAATAGAAGCATAAATTGTGACCTGATGTCGGATGAGTGATGATTGCGATGGACTCAGTCAGACATGATATTTTAAAGTGATAACATTGATAACGTGTCATCCATTGTCCGCTTGTCGAGCAATCAAATGTATCTCACGGATGTCCATGTAGATGTTGAACGATAGAAGATACCATTTCATTTCTTTCCTTGGTGAATAAAATGGGTCGATGGTGGAAATTGTCCGTTTGAACTATCCCTGAGCTACCTAGTGCAATGCTGAAAAATACCCACGAAGGCTGCTACACGTGGAAATTGGATATCAAGGGTTTCTAAACCATTTTAACGTTGCATTATTTGTCAAACGTCATTTTTTTGCAGTAAAGCATTTTTGACTAGTAGTATGGCTGCGCGTGGTTCAGACTAATGCTTGTACCACAGCATTTTTTTTTTTTTATGAAACAGATAATATCAGTGAGATTATAATCACATAAACAGCAGCCCCAATCTATCAAATGTGATGCTGTGTAGATCTTCGGGATTTCATCAGAGATTGCAGGATGAATTGTTCATCCAACACATCTGAAAGCTTTACATCATTGACCTTGGCTGCTCGAAATCCTGATGGGTATATGATGAGTAGAGATAAGAGATGATTGCATCATGATAGTATGTTGCGAGCGAGTATGAAGCAGTAATTTAGTCATTCAACTTTGGTATATTTGTGTGGCGTTTATTGAACACAGATGTCTCAAATCTCAAAGGATCTATTCCCAGTTTTACCCATAGAACATTCAGGTTTCGCAGTTATTGTTAGGAGAATGCGATGAATGTGATGGCATTTACGCGATATCCAAGCGATAGAGAGTGCGTTGACTCTAATGCAACTGCTGCATACATTGGCGCATTAAACGTTGCTCGCAAATGATAAAAAACACGCTTTTCAGTGACACTGGCAGAGATGAAAATTTATGGCATGTTTCATATCGTGTGTGGTACTCCTATTGAAATCTAAAAATTATCCTCCACTTTTGGAATCAAAACAATCGATGCAATCGCCCCTGATCAAATTGCTCTTATCCGATATCGAAAATACGTAATGGATTTTATAATGAAAATGTGAGTTGATTTGCTTTTCTTTCCACTACTATATACAAGTTTCACTTACAAGATGAAGTTGCACGCAGAATGAATGTAAACAGTCGAGGTATTGTATCAGTAGGTCATAGAGTGTGAAATTAGTATCAAAACGCGTGTGGAGAAAAGAGCTGAATACAACGTTTGCACAACACGGTAATAGCAAATGATACTGGATGAGGGGGGGGGGGAGTAGCCATATAATGCATCATGTCAGACCTAGTAGAGCAGCACAATATCAATTATTTTAGATGAGTAGATTCTGAAATGCAATACATCTTTCATGCGAACATGCTAACGTTGATAATGATGGTGATAAGGCTGTGTACTCGGTTTATAAGGGATGTGCTGGAAGCGGACAGTTGCTATTGCTTTTTATGGTACTTGTGAGCTATAGCGTCTAGAAAGCTTTAAGGATATAGGGGTTTTCAAACTTTTATCATAACGAGGTCAATGCGTATCGCGTTTGAAATGTTCAGGCGGATTACAGACATATGGGATGATTGTTCAAGCTGTACGACATACAGTATACTTTTGTAATACAAAAAAAAAAAAAAAAAAAAAAAAAAAAAAAAAAAACGTCATTTTGACAGAATCTCTACACTCTATCTTTACATACAAAGTCGCGAGCTCATGCAGACGACACCAAAGATCTGCTTACATTTACTTGTTTGCAAGGGGGAGCTGCGAGCTTTCCTAATTAGTAATTCATGTCAATTCCTGTTCCTGGTCATTGAAAAGGTTTCAAATGTAGTTTTTTTTTTTTTTTTTTCCAAGGGGAAACTCGAATTTCGGTGATTATTGTTGATTGTCCTCGATTAATCATATCAGATACCATACGTATGAAAATACCTTACGACATTTTTGAGTGTAGCAACTTGGGGCCAATTGACTACACATCATTACCGAGCACCAAGAATGCAAACTTAAACAATAAATATTATTTATTCATTCAGGAAAAGTGATATCGACGCTGTAATAGCAGTAAAAAAAAAAAGGGTCAATTGAAACTATTTGTTACTCTTCTTTTCGTTTGTATAATCATAGGGAAGCAACTTCTTGAAGCCAGCAATCAATTCATCTAACGTGCTGAACAGCTCATTGCTTTTCTCCAAGTACTGTGCATCCTTCTCATCCTCCTTTGAACCTTTACTACCATTGCTGCTAATAGCGGCCTCTTCATCGTATTCTTCGTATTCATCTGGATACTGACTGGCTTCACTCATGTTACTGTCGTCTTGGTTGTTGAGATGTACTTGAAAATGGTGCTCCAACTCATGAGGTTCAGAAAAGTGCTTCCAACAGGAGGGACAAGCAAGGCGCTCCACTTGACAATCGGCCTGGTCCTTGCTAAATTCATATGCAGGATCCCTGGGTCTATTTTGACCTGCTTTTCTAGCTGGCAATACCATCTGATGCTGGGTCTTCAAATGATTGATGAGGGATTTGGGCTGAGACATATCTGAGGCACACACAGGGCAATGATCGCGGAGGTAGGCAGTGATTCTTGGAGACATAGATGAGACTAAGACTCGATGGATAAAATCGAATAGAGAAATAGAGATTCAGAATGTGAGGTGGTTAATCGAGGTGTATTTATACTAAAAATGTTGCCAAAGCAAGAGTATTCTTGAATAAAGACGCATTATACACTCATAAAGTGCCACTTGTATTTGATTGTCTATGTATACATACGAATGACCTTGCAGCATTTCATTGAAATGATTGCCATCAAAACATTGGTTCAATCAAGCTTTCTTTGTTGGGCTCATGTATGGTTCTACATAGAGGGGATAATTTACATTGCATGTAATCGTGCGACTGATTTAGCAACTATTCGCACTTGTACATATCCATGATCTCCAATCTTGACCGTAAACTACCAACAGCAAATGTGTATCAAACTACAGGACAATTCTAATTGGATTGCCAGATACATTGGCTTTGATTGTTTCCATACAATTCAAGAACCTATAGCCTTGAAATGGATGAAAGTTGGAGTCTACATTGTACAAATTAGTCAATGTAGAGTCAGGGTAAATCCTCAAGAACAATGCTTTTGGAACTGCACTGTTGGATCAAACGTTTATTGGTAAAAAAAAAAAAAAAAAAAAAAAAAAAAAAAAAAAAAAAAGTATATCATAAAGTTATCCCTTTAGCTTCAAAATGTCTTTAAATAACTCGGTAACATCAGTTATCTGCTGAAATATAGATCGTACAGCTTCCTTCTCAAAAAACTTGCCATTGTAGACAAAATCAGGATCACTCTTGGCACCAGACCTGCGACGAGGAACAGTGACTCCAGGATCATGGTCATTCATATGCTTGTTGAGAAGCCCCAAATCATCTGTGTGGTACCAGCAGCTTGGACAAGCAAACTGCTGTTCATCGTACTCCTTGTTGCTATCAGTTTCATAAAAGTAATCTATGTTTCTTGGTCGATTGATGCCAACGGCTCGACTGGGGAATACATAACCATGGTGTTCTCGGATGTGTGCAATGCACTTGTTGGCCTTTTGGTAACCGGGTCGATGATCTTGGCAAATGTGGCAAGGATATACCAAGAAGAGAGTCTTGTTTTTACTGTTGGCCATAAAAAGACGATGATTGTTATGAATAGTTTGGAAAAAGAGAGATGCCATTACTGATTTTTAAGCTTTATTTATACTACTACTGAAGGCTCCCTCAGACAACATTTGCGTTGAGGTTGTTTTGTAACTACGGGAATGGCATGTGTCCTTTAGTTTTGTGGTCATCTGTGGCAACATGCTGCATATTTAGATCTTTGAACTTCCTAGGCCAGCAGGCACCATTGTACTCCCGTTTTTGTGATATCAAAACATTCTGAAGAAAAGAGATAATGAAAACCGAGGGCTCTCGAAACATGCACATGATCCACTAAATCAAATACGTGGCATACTGATTGATCTATCCATGGTGACCCCATTGTAAAAACTGGTGCAAACGGCGTCTTTGCAATTTACAAGGTGTTTTAAAGTGCTCATGATCATGGCTGATACAGAGGGGTTGAACTATTATGCACACTGTTTACGGCTTTTATTATGACAAACTGATCTAGCAAAACCACTGAATTTACTTTTGCTGTGTGGCTAAAAGTTCTTGCATACGTTGTTGTGTCTACTCATGAACTGAGAGTCAGTAAAGATGAATCATGTCCATATGAGCCTACATTACCTTGGATGTCAAATAATGAAAAACTGCCTCCTTTACCCAAGGTTGCTTATAGAAATCAGTTTGTCGCACATCCTCCAAATTGACCTTGGTTTCTCCCAAGATGGCCTACAACCATCCATCATCAAACAGTGCACAACCAACGACTAATGCATTATGAACATACCTCCAAATTTCTAGCTTGACTTGTAATCCATTTGTTTGTAAACTCGATTGGATCCATGGAGAACTGAGTCAAGAAATCCCGCTTCACTTTCGAATTGTTGATGCTTTGAACGCATTGCACAATCTTATCATCTAATGCCATCACTTCCTTTTGTGGTTGACTTGACGAAACGATATTCAGCATTTTCTGGCGCAGAATACTGTCCAGTTCCACATCCATATCATAGGCAGTGGGCCCTTGATTGAATTGCTTATCCACTCGAATCTTGTATTCAAGCACAATGGGGTCTGGTTGAGATAGATGGCGATTGATCAAGTCTGGTAAATCTGAAAAGTGCACTTGAGATGAGCCGAATAAATCTTTCAGTTTGTCGTCGCATTGAATCACTCGTTTGTCTTGTTTATCGTGTAATTGGCGAAGCTATTTTTTTTTTTTTTTTTTTTTTTTACCATCGCATTAGATCACTGTCAAAAGCCCTTCTCATCTATTTGCTTACCTTGACATAATTCCATAATTCATTGAGAATGTGTGGTTTAGCAGCCAAGGGAGGCGACACAATCTCTGCCAAGGCAGCGCTCAATTTGTATTTTTGAGGGTTGTAATCAGGTACAAGAATGATACGTGCATTTACATCCACATCTCCTTTGCGTTTCAGTTCGATGCCATCGGTATCCACAGCATTGGCTTGCTTATGCCACTATCACGATACACACGCTTGAATACCATGGTAATCGCTCCAACTGGTATAGTCTACATACCTCTGTGATGTTACCCTCTGGGAATGCTTCTGGATCACGGTCAAGTTCAACAATGATGGATTTGAAGAATGATGTAAACTTTTGAACTGGCTGTGCTTTTTTCGTTGGGATCAATGGCTAAATGAGCATTAGACATGAGTGTCAATAAAATACATGTAGCTGCTTACATCCAGCAATCTGCCCTCTATCCTCAGTGTCCAGGATGGTGCGTTGTCGTCATTCAGTTCAAAGCTTGTTGCTTCCTCTAGTTGTCCTGACTGATCAGCAGCTGTGTTGGATACAAAGATGCGAAGCGTACGACGCACTTTGGTAGGCTTCCCTAAAGCCTCTTGTATATCAAGTCGCTTTCTCATGATGGCTACATCCAAGTTCTTTTCAAATTCGCTCAATTCAGTATACAATTTCGACTCTGGCACGTATGCTTCAACCTATATATGCAGCAGTAGTGTGAGATGGCTGACTCGTATAGCATGTCAACAAGACATACCCTTGGTGGATTGTTGCGGTCTGTAGGCCTCTTTTTTCTACAAACATTGTTAGTTTCTTGTACATTGGCAATCTGGAGCAGCAGTACTTTATGTGCTTTGTGATAGAGTCTGCCTCAGCCAGTCTTCTTTTGATTTGTATCGTGGGTGTTATTGTGGATTGTTGCATATGGATGAGAAAGGTGAAAGAAAGGCAAAATCAAATGAGGAAAAAATTTATTTTTTAAAAAAAGGTCATTAAAGCAAAACAGGCGTAAAATAAACCGACTGGATATGCGACTAAAAATCTCTGCTCGTTCAAATGAAGCACACTGGAGAACATACCAGAGCTCGAATAGGTGCACCACAGGATGCTGATCACCGTAAGAGCAGTTCCAATAATGTTATCCAGCTTCAATACAACGCTAAATCCACTCAACATCACCATAGGCAACAAACAGTATCCCAACACACTTGCTGTTCTCGACCAATCAATGCCGTTTTCACTCATTAGATTCAGGATGAGGTAGATGCTAACAACGCCCATGACACCAACGCCATAAATATATCCAAAATGTGCTTTTCGTGACAGTAATAAGAATGTACCAAACAGAAAGATGAACAAAAGTGGACCTGCTAGATCAGTGTCGTCCATGATTGTATGAGGCACAGTGCGAAATGGATTTAACACGGCAAGACTCTATCTCTGTGGAATCAGTGATGAGTCCGAAAGCTCCCAATAACCAACGACTTACCTTTGTCTTGATGTGGCCAAAGTTGAGTCCAAGTTCTTCTAATAAGGGTGGTTCATCAGCAAACCCACCTGTTCCAAACGCGCTCCAGAAAGACCCAGAGGATCCAGTGGTATAATTGTAGTTGGGAGTATGCATATCGCCTGTGGGTGGACTACTGTAGTAATTGTTGGCATTGGTACTGTACTGGTCTCCATAATTTGATGAGTAAAATTGTAAGCCATCTCCTCCTCCACCACCACCACCAGCAGCGCCAGCAGGTGCAGTGGCAGAAGGCTGGCCATAGTATTGGTTTTGGCCTTGGTTGTTATCAAACAAGACTGAATGAACAGGTTGTCTCGAAGCCATATGTAATTAATTAATTGAATAGAGAAAAGAAGAGCGAAAAAAAGCTTGAACGTGGTCCTCTCAAATGAACGGCTTTCAAATCTCAGCCTGTGATGTGCAGCAGTGTTCTCTCGCTGCCAAGTTTGCATCATCCGCTTCTTTCTCTCTCTCTCTCTCTCTCTCTCTTCTTGATGCAATAGACAAGACATTAGGCACTATAACACCAATAAGCACTGTACATACAAAGTTGGATTTATTTAGAAAGGGATGATTTTTTTTTTTTTTTTTTTTTTTAGTAGAATGAAATGTTGGAATCGCCTTCAGCAGGAGCATCGAGGTCAACATATGATTTAACTTGACGAGGATCCTTGGGAAGCAGTGATTCCTCTAGATCCATCATGGCAGCATTAGCAGGAGCAGCTCTTGATCTTCTTGCAGCATTGACAGCATTAGCCCAACCAGCAGGATTCTCACTACCGCCAAAGCCAATACGAGGTATTTGATCCCAAGGCGTGCCAGGCACAGCAGCAGGCAAACCGCTCATGCGCATATTTTGATGTGGCATCATGAAGGGCTGTTGACCACCTGCGAATGGCATGTTCATGGGCACCATCTGTGTATTGGTGTGGTTCACTGTGCTAGGAATAATGTGATTTGGATCGCAAACATAATTGTTGTAGTATTCGACTTCTGATTTGATGCGTTCGATTTCCTCGGGATGTTTGGACAGAATATGTTTTTCCACATAGTCAAAGCCCTTGAACGCCTTGGAACATTCGCCGACTTGACATTTGTACTTGGATTCATGCTCCTTGAGGACATGTGATTTCACGTAATCGTCAATTTCGCTATTATACAGTGATGAGTGGCATTCCCCTAGGAATGTAGATCAGTCGCTTACGTTTGTAATACACGGCCACCCAAGCGCTTTAATTCGCGATCATCAGGTGTATGGATTTTGAGTGATATCTTTTGATCCAGATTCTTGGCCCATTGTGCGACTAGTATCAATGTGAGCATAGATCTCATTATGCGGATTGGCACTCGACAACTCACCTCCTCTCTCAGTTTTAGCGGCTTGCTTGGGATCTACAACTTCATCGGTAGCAGCGGCACTTGCGATGGTGCGGCAATGAGGATCACAGCACTTTCTCGACAATTCTTCAGCCGAGTCGCACTCCAGAGCACAGTAATAACAGTACATGTGAACACGTCTCAGATAAGCAATGATCATATCCAGCGACTTTTTCAGATTCCATCTATCCACAGACTCTTCTTCTTCTACTTTGCCATCTTCGCCTTCACCTGCTCCTTTGGACTCGTCTGGCTTGTGTTCGCTGATTACTTTTTGAGCACGCACTTCCACAGCCTTTAGGCCCTCTTGCGTATCTTCTCCTAGCAGGGATTCCAGAGCTAAAGCAACTTCCTTGGCTTGCTCCAAATCTTTTTGCAGTCGCTCGGTTGTGTTGGTGATGTCAGGTGCAATTCTTGGTGAACGTGTTTGAGTCGTGTTTTTACGGTTCATGGCCAGATGAAATACAAAATCATCCACCTTTTGGTTGTCCATGAGCTCGAACACTTTCTTCATGTCAGTGCCCTGCTTGAAATTGATCCAGCCAATGCGGTGAAACTTCTTGTTGGGTCCTGGTTCAGAAAGAGACAGGTAGTCGAATCCTTCAATCTTTTTGCACATCTGCAGAATGATACACATCAGCATGCGAAACACGAGAGCTGCCTGTCTGCTGCTTACCTCCATGATCTTTTCTCTGGCAATGGTGGGTGGTACGGTCTTGATGACCAGCCTTGTTTCGTACTCTGCATTAGCGTCATCTTCGTTGGATTCAGAGCCAACTGCTGCTTCAGCAGGCTCGTCCTCGTCGTTCTGTGTTGTGGTGGTGGTGGGCCCATCTTTGTCGTAATTCACCTTGTCATAGTCGCCACGCTCCAACTCTTCCAAAAATTCCTTCAAATAGCGACGTCTACGCACTTTGATATCGTCTAGTCGAGGAATGGAGATGGTTGGGTGATATTTGTCTTGGAACCACTCCTTGTCCTTGTTGGCGGCAAAGAATTGTGCGAGTAACCGGACGGCAAACTTCTCCTTGTACTGAGCAAACCGCTTTTGCATGTCTTCGTCGTCAATGCGCCGTGTGGATGTTCTTCTGGTGAATTCGAAAAAGTGCTTAAAGGGCACAAGGTAGTCTAGCTGTGCGGGATCCACTGGTGTGAATCTACAGTGCGTGTGTTAGTTGCCAGCAACCGTTTCTTTCCTTGGCATTCTACCTGTCGACATTGCCTGCCCAGCCCTGATTGACCATAGGCGCACTCATCATGTCTACCATCCAATGTGTGAGCACACACATATACACTCAATCATGTATCAACATTACATACCTATCATTGGATAGCCATTGCCAGCACCAGGCGCACCCACCGCAGGATTGTTGTTGGCAAAAGGCATAGGTCCAGGGATTTCAGGTTTGTTTCCATAGCGAGGACCAGGTACGTACCCATCGCGCTCATAGTTGGGGATGTAATGATCGGTTTCTGGATCGTTTCTGATATCTCTGTTGTTTCTATAGTTTCTCATGGGAGGAGGAGAGTATGAAGGTCTTCTTTTGTGTCGACGGTCTATTGTAATTTCATTTTTTTAAAAATAAAAGAATGAAAAGAACGATAATAATAATAATAATAGCAAGAATAAGATAAAGAAATAGGGAAAGATGGTTGTTATACCTTCAGGAGGAGTAGGGCTGCGTCGACCGCGCTTCTTTCGATCATAACGCTCGTATTCTTCACCATACCTCTCACGCTCTAAGCTTCGCTCATGTCGAAACTTATCACGCCCATGATTGCGAGAGGCATTTTCATCATCAGACCAGTCATTGAATCCCATGTTTCTTTAGCAAAGCGAACAAAGAAAATGGATAAAGTAGAGTAAAGTATGAAAAGAGAAAAAAAAAGGAGAACCTGATGGTTTCTTCAACTCTTATATATATATATATCGCCTTGATGACGACAACTACAAGAAGATCATACAGAGCTTCTCGGTTGTTTAAAGCTAATTTGGTGACCGTTTTGGTTTGATTCATGAAAATTTTGACATTTGCAATGAAAAGCTTTTTTTTTTTTTTCTCCCTTCTGCACACTTGACAAGAGTAAATCTCTCTCTCTCTCTAATACATTAACAATGGGAAAAGGTGGTTACGGTGAACAAAGAGGCGGTGGACGTGGTGGTTTCCGTGGAGGTACAGTATCCATCTCATGACAGTCTTCAACATCATTTTGGCTGGATGTCAAATGTCAACATGTATGGATCTCACTTACACACCTTCTTTTCATGATTTCACAGGTCGCGGTGGTGGACGTGGTGGTTTCAACAACTCATTCAATCAAGGACCACCTGCTGAAGTTGTCGGTAAGACTGTCGACCATGGATTTGATCCTGATTGCCCTGTGCTCACTCCATTTTGTAGTCGTCGGTGCTTTCCAAAGTGCATGTGAAGGTGAAATGGTCTGCAAATTGAACAACCCCAAGGTTCCCTTCTTCAATGCGCCCATCTACCTCGAAGATAAGACCATGATTGGCAAGATTGACGAAATCCTCGGCCCCTTGAACGAGATTTTCTTTACTGTCAAGATGCAAGATGGCCAAATTGCCAACAAATTCAAGAAGGATGACAAGGTCTACATTGGCCTCGATAAGCTCTTGCCAATGGACAGATTCTTACCCAAGCCCAAGGTTGCTGGCAAGGGTAACGTATAGACCTCACCTAAATGCATGAATGGAATGATATTGATTTGCCGTTCCTTATAGCTTCCAAGCCTACTGGTCTCCAAGGAAAGGTCGAAAAGAAGCAAAGCGCCGGATTCGGTGCCCGTGGCGGCCGTGGTGGTCGTGGCGGTGGTCGCGGCGGATTCGGTGGTGATCGCGGTGGCCGTGGTGGAGGCCGTGGTGGATTTGGAGGCTCTCGTGGTGGCCGTGGTGGATTTGGTGGCGATCGTGGTGGCCGTGGAGGCCGTGGAGGCTTCGGTGCACCTCGTGGTGGTCGTGGTGGATTTGGAGCATCTCGCGGCGGATTCAGTAGTGGAGGCGGTGGCAATCATGTCACCTTTTAAACAAACCAAATTGTACATATAAAGCCCTTTTTTTTTATGCAAATACGTTTTCTATAAATTACGGTAATTCAAATACACAGATTTGAGGAGACCCATACACGATGATTGGTTCCAGAGAGTATGAATAAATCATCATCATCATCATTTTTTGCAACCCATAAATACCTTGTTTTTTTCTTTTTTTCCTTGTATCTGTTTTTTTTTTCCACCTTTTATTTCACATCATTATGAGAATTTTATCCATCTATACACCCATACTAAAGACCTCTTGCTATACGAAGTCTGCCATAGTGTTCAGCATTTCTACCAAATCAAGCCGGTTCTACCACAGTGCTGATTACAGTGGAGGAGGGCTCATGGGAAGAGGCGATTTCCCAAATATGTCTATCCCACCTTCCTCTTCACATGCATCGTCATCATCGTCAAGAGGACCCGAAGATCCATTTGCTCATCTAGATCTTGGCCAAATCGCTGATCCACGCTCCGTAAGTGCTTGTGTTTATCCATGTGTATGTGTGTGTGTGTGTGTGTGCGTATTAAATTTGCATGCAAATTAGATTGTACAACATCTCAATGAGTATGTTATTGGTCAGGAAAGAGCAAAGAAAGTGCTTGCCGTAGCCATCTTCAACCACTACAACCGTGTAAGAGCCAATATGAAGCGCAGTTATTTGCAGCAACAGAAATTGCAGCATCAACAGCAACAGCAACAGCAGCAATTACAGCAACAGCAACAGCAGGCAGCCAATATCGATGGAGTCATTGCTGTGGATGAAAGACTTCATGCTGAGCACCACCACCAACCTACTACTCCACATCATGACGGTTACTACTCGAACCAAATACCCATTCAACCACATCCTGCTGAATTTCCTTCCACAGAACGAAGCATGTCATTTGGTACTTGAAACTCCAAGCTGCTTGATATTTGGCCTAACATGACTAATGATCAAACATCTAGGTGCACAAAGAAGAGCCTGGCTAAATCCCCCTACCGAGGCAACCAACGACAAGTCCGCTTTTCCCCATAATGATGCGAAAACAGCTTTAGCCGGCCTTGCAGACGACATAGCAGAGGAGGAAGAGGAGAGCACTGTTCATGACAAGAGTAATGTTTTATTGATCGGCCCCACTGGCTCAGGCAAAACACTGTTGGCAAGAACATTGGCTCAGGTATTACAAGTGCCATTTTCCATGTCGGATGCTACACCTTTCACACAGGCTGGGTATGTGGGAGAGGACGTCGAATTGGTCATCCAAAGATTACTCCAATCGTGTGATTTCGATGTGAAGAAGGCTGAAACTGGCATTGTATTCATTGACGAGATTGATAAAATCTCAAGAAGATCAGATAGTCATACAGCATCCAGAGATGTGTCTGGTGAAGGTGTACAGCAATCCTTGCTGCGAATGTTGGAAGGTACAGTCGTGAATGTTACTGACAAATCGGGTGCAGGCAACCACAAGCGAGGACCCAATGGTGGTGGATCCATGTCGCCCAACAAGGGAGAGACATACTCTGTTGATACGAGCAATATCTTGTTTATTCTGAGTGGTGCATTTATTGGACTAGACAAGATTATCGGCGATCGTATGTCTAAAGGAGTAAGTACTTTGGCATAAACGTTGATAGCAGCAGTAGATACTGACATGATATGTATAGTCCATTGGCTTTGCTGCCCAGCTGAAATCTGATGCTGATATTGAGAAGGAGAGCAAAGACTCTTTACATCAAGTGGAACCTACTGATCTTGTGAAATTTGGGTTGATTCCGGAATTCGTGGGCCGTGTTCCAGTAGTTGCCTCTGTCAATAACCTGCGTGTAGATGATCTTGTCCGTGTGCTCAAGGAACCAAAGAATTCTTTATTGAAACAATACGAAGGCCTATTCAAGCTGAACAATGTTGATTTGAGATTTAGTCAAAACGCATTAAGAGCTGTAGCTGCACAGGCCTTGGAGAAAAAGACGGGTGCTCGAGGACTGAGAAGAATCATGGTAAGTAGAGTGTGTAGAACCAGAGTATATGTATCATGCGCAATTAACAACAGTGATTAGGAAAACTTATTGTTGGAACCCATGTACGATGCACCAGCTTCTTGTATCAAGCAAGTCATTATTGATAGCAAAGTAGTCAACAACGAAAAGACACCCGTATACATCACATCTGGGAAATCACAATTGGCCGAGAAAATAATTGCTGAAGACGATGGTTTGGACTTGTCATCAACCGAAGACGATGTGCCTCAACAAATGACTCAAATATAACTGTAAAATCAAGCTGTAAATACCCCCCTTTTCTCCTCCTGTTTCTTTCCCTTTTCGCGTTACATTACCACTACATCAGTCGCTTTCTGTTTGCTTTTTTATTTTTATTTACGCCAAGTAATAAATTTCGAAAATCTGTAAAATGAAGCCTCCTCTCAAGATCATCTTCAAGTGATTATAACAATCAAAATTTGCTTGCTTAAACTGGACTCAATATGTTGGTGTCTAGGTAACTTTCCTCGGTCTGTGTGAGAAGTTATATCAGCATACTTTCTTAGGCAACCACGAATGTGTGAATGAGCTCTAATTTACTATATGCAGCCGACCAATTTTCCTCATGGAGAATTCATTCGTTTTGATGATATTTCTTAAAACTGCCAGAGATCTCTTTAGTGGTGGAGAATAGTGTGTTGTTTAAAAATCGGTTATTTTGCCTCAATAACTAGCTTGAATAGAATGAACAGCGACAGTTTGCAACACCATAATTGCAAGTGACAGATCGAACAGATGTTGGAAAACGGTGTATTAAAAAAAAACAGCTTGGTAGTAGCTTGCACCTACTGCGATACTTCCTTTCAAAAATCGGGTTTGACACTTAAATTGGAGTTCACTGTCGCAAAACAACATGCTTTCCCTTAATAACAACCGCACAACAGAAGCATCTATACGGTGCCCAAGTCTATAAAATAAATTCAGGGTGTGGTATGACTAGTAACAATGCACAAAAATACTTTATATGCGCTACTATAGCAAAAGTTAGCCTTGACCGATCGTTTTTTTGACAATTTGGCAGGGGAAGACCTTTTCGGCAGTGTAGCTCCGTGAAATTATATAAACCCGATCTTAATATTACGGTTTGTTGATGTCGATTCTTGTCTCACAGAATACGTAGGTATCATGAGTTTCTGTTCGCTCAACTATGATACAAGACTTCGTTGTTTAATCCCCCAATGATGCTGACACTGACTCAATCTGTCTCGTAGTATCAGCCATTTTTCCTTGATTATGATTGTCCAACATTATTGTGGATAGACTTTATGTCTAGATTTTTGGCTAGATATAGCATCTCTGTTGTGGACAACCATCAAGAGGGTCTTGCTGACTTGATAAGCATCTTGATCAATCCGAGCAAGTCGTTAGATTCAAATTTTCATAGTATCGCTGATGCTCAAGTTTTAAAATCACTGTAATCGAGCATCTCAAAAAGAAAGATCGGATGGTCAGAATTAGAATAAACGTGTAGATAACTTAGAGATTGAGCTCCGTGCAATGCAGAACATCAGGGACATTAGACAGAACTGCAATTTAATTACTTCTTTGGCAGCACGACATACTACGCCTTGTTTTTAGGCCAAATTCTGTCCAAACTTAGCCATTTGAAGCACGAATAACTCATGCTACAAAGCGTTGTGGACGCTTGGAATATGACCAAACATCTCTCCTTTGATACGCCTTACTTACTGATGCTTTATCTCAATTTTTTTTGGTCATTGCAAATTCATGAAAATCCTCATTTTTGCATGAGTATTAGCAAGGGAAGATTCTTGAAAATCAAACGATCGCGTTTTTCACCCCAAAAATGAAGACTTTTCCTGTGATACATATCAGACCAACTTGACCGTAAAGATGGAATGCAACATTGAATGCTCTTTCTATGAGGCTTGCATATGCTAGGTTTTGACATTTCTGCAGAAAACCTATTTTCATAATTTTGCTAATTGCTCGCTACTTTCAGTCTAAAAGCAGTACATAATTAGCATCACTCGATACGTCTTCATTGACTCTTTATAAATGCATTAGAAAGTAAAGCATAACAACGACAATTTTCATAGTCAGGTTTAGCAAAAACGTTTATAGAATGTGAGATCAAGTCAAATTTGAACACGAAAATACCCACTGCACAATTTCAAATTAAATTGCAGCAGTTACAACTACCACGGCAGAAGACTGAGGCCAAATCTACTGGCCGTGACGTCGGTTAGGGCGCCCTCTCATTTTTTCATACCACCGTTTTTTTTTACCCTTTTTGCAAAACGCATTTAATATCAAACTATATTGGTTTCGGAATCCTTTTGGTTGAAAATAATACTCTAGCTTCTGATGACATGGATTTGCACTGTTACAAGTACTTGATACTGCTTCTTTGAGGTGGAATACGGTAGGTATCATTCGATAACGAGCATTGACATACTTAAAATCAGCACTAATCGAATTTGTTTATTAGGTTTTGATTATTTTTTGTCTGTTTGACGTTGATGCTGCTGTCATTACTTCTCCGCTATTTCTACTGCTTGCTTCTTTGGTTTATCATGTCTGGTGGTTGCTTCTTTGGTTTTTATCTTTGGCGGTTACTTCTTTAATCTTTGTCTGGTCTCTGGTGTCGCCCGTTCTTCGTTTTTCTAGGTTGTTATTGCTGCTTCTGGTGTTGCTTCTGGTATTGCTGCAGGTGGTGTTGCTGCAGGTCTTGCTGCTGCTGCTAACCTGGTCTTTCCTGGTCTACTACTGTATTTGGTGCATGCTCGTTCTCTGGTCTGTCTCCGGTGATTGCCCATACTCTTCTTCTGGTATATCTGTGGCTGCGGTTAGTGGTAAGTATGTCCTTTCTTCTGGTCGCAATAATATAAAACTTCTTTGAACGCTTATATTATTGCTTCCTTTTTCGTGATAATGCATTCATGATGCTTGCGTTGTTGCGTTTTTTTTCTTCTTTTTCTTTTGTTGGTAGTGTTTCCTCTGTAGCTTTATATGAAACAACATTAGTCATTATGCTGTATCGCAAACTTATAATACCACTGTTGCTTCTGCAGTTGTGCGTATTTGTGTCATGTTGCTTTACATCCGACTATTACTACCATGCACGTTGCTCATGCATGCATTTTTCTTGCAACAACAACGAGCTTTTTTAAACATCTTTGATGTTGTAATTGTAATACTTTTCTTTGGCTCGCTTCGTGTGAGTGTCTCTTTTTTGCCTACATACTACTATACTCTTAGAGTATTATGTACTTTTCTTCTTACTTTTATTATTATTATGTTTCATTTGGAGCATACCTTTTTTACGTTGTGGTGGACGTGCCTATCGCTGAAGCTCAACAAGACTTTATCCGAGGCTAGGAGGTGGATAGGCTGCCTCCACTTGGTTATCGCTACTTACTTTAGTGATGATTGAGGGTCTCAATGCCTGAACTTAAAGCTAGGTGGTGTAAGTAAGGCATGCTCTAGCACCTGAGGGAGATTTGATGATAGCAGCGGCTATATTGCTATTATAGCGGCGCTTAAAATTTTGCCTCACATCAAAACAGGGGGAAACCCTCGCAAAATTTTTTTTAGGTCATCGGAGTTTTCAAGCAATCTGATTGGCTGAGAGTTTGAAAGAGAAATGGTCTACAACTAGTTGGTTTTCTGTTGATCTGCCGTTTAACATTATTTTGTTTTTTGTAATAATAAAAGCGTAATCAAATGGAAACAATTTAAATAATCTTGTGGAATTTGAGGCTTTACAGACTAAAATTCACGGAAAAAAAAGAATAAAAAAACAGTAATGTCAACTTGATAAAGGTATATTTTATTATCAAACTGACAGGTGTAAAGTAAACTGAAGTCTCTCTACTGGCCAGGTAGATGATCCTTCTTATATACTATAACAATGGATAAAAGTTCTATTAATTAGATTGACAAATAAGTCAACTCAGATCAACTAATGTCTAATCATGCTAAAAGACAACTCCAGCAAGCTAATCATGATTTAGCTCTGTCTGGGTGAATAATTAGACTCTCATCCGAAGTACCCTGATCTATCCTTTCTATAAGGATAATTAATATCGATCTAGTAGCATGTATCCGATAGGTACAGTCTTCTTAGTCTATATTAATAGTACATATCTGAGTGTATATCGCTAAGCATACATCTTTAGCATGTATCTGGATATATGGCATGTCTATAGCATATCGTATGCATGTCTATAGCATGTCTCATATATAGTACAAGTCTGTAGTACATAAAGTATCTGTAGCTAGTATCACGGATATAAGCATGTGTCTTATAGCGTGGATCATAAAGTGCACATCTGAAGCAACAAGCTCATATTGCATTAATCTTGGTGCCTATACAGATATGGTAAACATCCGTAGTCAATGTCGGAATACAAGTATAAGTCTATAGTGCCATCCATGTCCGTGGTGCCATCTATAGCCTATATCTTATATAGTATGAATCTTATAGTACTAGCGTATCTGAAGTCCATATCTTCTTATAGTATAAATCGATATCGTACATCTAATCCAGTGTACATACAGTTTATATCTAAATCTGGTAACTGGATGAACTGTCGGAATGCAGATCATAGTGGATGTATTCCACAAATCTTTTTTCAGGAGTAATATAAGGTACGATCATTGAATTTATCACCCCCTATTAAAAAATTTTATGTGAGTGATATTTTTTTAATTGTATTTCGTAAGGGAAATCATAATGTAATAATAATAGGCACTACAGCGTTACGGTACATCATTGTTTTCTAACATGAATGTTTCAATTTTTCCATCAAGATTTTCTATTTTATATATCATATCCAAGACTCTGCACGTGCAAACATGATATTTCACATTTCGAAATTTGGACTGTCCGGTACCAAGTTTTGAAAACTTGATGCTGGAGCCTTGAGACTAGTATATTCCTGATTTATCAAGGACCAAATGTGAATTAAATTAGCATAAAAAGTACCGTTTATTAAGATGGATATAACGTGGGTATGATGAATTCGTAATAATAAGTCGATGATAATAATCAGTTGTCAACTGTATCTAAAACGAAAGCAAAAAGCTTCTTTATTACAGGGCATCTAGCTTGCTTAAATATGGTAGATCCCTGGTCAATGACTACTACGTTGAGATGGTATATAAATAGCAGGCCACTGGGGCCTTATGGATTGTTGGTATAGCTTGTTGAGAGGCCACCTAAGTCGATATGTTTCATGTAGTGTAGGTGGATCTCGATATCTTGACATTGGGGAGATTGAATGTATTGTAGTTCCTGAGGCACATGTGCACACACAATTGACTGGACTTGTAAACATAGATGTGATGTAATACGATAAACATCACCTATGCTGCTACACTGTAAAAGGTGGCTTTAGGAGAAAGTGAATGTAGCCTAAGTGTTGCATACAAGCATGCAACAGGGTATTTATAATAATGAATTACGGGTGATGGGAACTAATGGGTAGGGCCCCATTAGATTTAGTCGTATGTGGGTAATAGATGCAGTTATGCTATATGATATGTTTCAATGGTAATTTTGCTATAAGGTATGTTTCATGGCTGTCACCTTGGGTATTTTTGGTACGATTATCCGTCAATTTATTTCCAAATGCAGATATTGTAATTCTGATAGATTAGTTCCTATATCGGTTTTTTGCCCTCTAAACGATGGTGCAATTGAAATTTGCGTAGGTAGCATGGTTGTTGAGAAAAGGGAGATTTTAGAAAATAGTTCATTTTGAATAGATGCTGCGGCAGTGAAAAGGGGGTTAAAAAAGCAGGTAGAATATTGTTAAAACCCTTCTTTATTTGCATCTCGGAGATGATCTACATCCTAAACAATATCTCTTATCTGGCAGCAGTTTAGTAGTTGCCATTGATTCCATTATTTTATATATTTTTGTTGGGTCATTTAGTTGTTGATCTGATGGATCAAAAACGGTATTTCAATATATGGTTATTGAATCATGCGTAAAGAGTAGCTCTTCATTTTTGAGCCTGTATCCCTTTTAGGTATATTCATGTTATAACACATTACAACACCCTTGACATTTACTTTAATATCTATCATCTTGTTATGTCAAAATAATACAATGTAAAATTGAATCTGCCAAAGAATTACACTTTTATTGAGAATGCATCCCAAGGATGCATTTATATACTTTTCATTATGCTAGGGTTTACAGCATGATGATGAACTATAATACAAATAGGTTTACTATCTACCCAACAATTGATTTGTAAATCATGATTAGCATGATTTACCCAAAGGACCTAAGAATAGCCTAAAACCTTTAGTGTGAGACCTTGCTATGACATTTGATATAACACAACTCTTATTTTTAGAGCATTTAACTTTTGCTATCATCATGCTAATACTATTATTATGCATGCTTATCTGCTGATGGTAGCATGGTTTGATTGAGATGACATTTATTTTGGGCTTTGTTTACGATGGAAATCTAGTCTAGTTCACTTCAGCTGTTAGTAAAAGTTTTTAAATTTACTATATGAATGTAGTATGTATGTGTAGTAGAAGTTGTAGAAGAAACTTTTTTTTGACTAGGACATGCTTGATGTGAGGTTATGGAAAGTGATGCCAATGAGTAATGACGGAAAATGTTCCAAATGACCGATTTTCAAAGGGGCATATCTCTAAATCTTACTAAGTGAATGAGAGCTTCTAATAGCTTTTGTTTCTTTTTCAATTCCCTATACAATGGTATGGTTATTATAGATAAATAAATAAAAAGTTGAATATCCCCTGCTTGTAGCTCATAAAATATAGGATTTTGAGCAAATTTATGAAGGGAACGCACATCTGGTACTTGAAACCCTTATATTATAATGGATATAATGTAGAGCTATTGAATGGTATTTGTTTTGTGAGAATCCGGTGAGTGTTTGTTGAGATATCGCCAAAAAAGGGTATCATGCAAAGTCATTGATTTTCCTTCAAAATCTGCCTGTGACAGCAAGCAAAAAATCTAGTAACCTTTTTTTGGTCAGGACAATATTGTCAATATTTTATGATAGAGTCAGGCCAGAGCTTCAAGTAATAGCTCATTCGATAGGAAATTTTTTAGTCTACAATGTTTAGTAATGCTTAAAAAATGTTTTCATGACAGCTGCGCACTTTAATTCTTTAAAAACTTACTATGGACTGATGAAGGCAGTTATTACTGTTGAAAAGATTGCTGGATTTTTAGATTTTTAAACCTTTTTCTCAGTTTTCTCGCAGTAGATGACTTCTGGTCGCGCAATTGCATTTTGTCTTTATAAATAACTAAAATATTACGTAATAAAATAGTATTGTTATAGTCCAGTGAGTAACGCGTTCAAGTGAAAGTTATAAGGCCACAAGTTCGGCTCCTGCTGCGCTCATTTTTTTTTGTCTTTCCCATCCTTAACGTATGATGTTTTCGTGTGGAAGGTTATAGCCATTGATTTTACAAGTAGAAATGTATATGAGATGAAAAAGTTTTTGTTTCTTTTTTGTTTGGCAAACTGTGATAGTTGCCTGTATGTGTACTACAGTCTCCGTGTTCCTTTTTGTTGTATCTGCGAGAGATGTTAGTTTGAACGAACTGTACACCAGATTGAAGAAGCTCAAAACCAAAGTTATACTCTTCTTAATTGTTACTGATAATCATTATTGTAAACGTTATCTGTAAAGAGGTTATTTATTCATACTATATCAATTACTAACTAATTTATCAAAGTGTGTTACAATTTCTATTCAAGAAAATAAAACATAACCATTGACTGTAGTAGTGCCTGACCTAAAGGCCACATACTCCAGAACGGCAGGTTTCAATGCAATCATCGCTGCTAGTGCAGCAATAGCCTGAGTCGCCGTTGCCTTGCTTTTTGCCCGATACGCCAGCTGTACATTTTGTAGATGTAGATGTGGGAGCTTTGGTAGTAGTGGTCTTGGTTGTCGCTTTAGATGTCGTTTTGGTGGTGGTCGTTGTCGTTTTGGTGGTGGTCGTTGTCGTTTTGGTGGTGGTTGTTGTCGTTTTAGTGGTGGTAGGCTTGGTTGTTGTTGCTTTAGTGGTTGAAGAACTAGTGCTAGTAGCGGTAGGTGTTGTCTTGGTAGTAGTTGAGCCGTCAGCGCCATACGTAGGATACTCGAAATCTTCCCAATAAATGTCTTTGGTAATACCGTTACAGGACAATGCAGGAATGACATTGAAGGTCTTTGTTAATTTGGGCAACCAGAACATGGACATGTTGACAGTGGCGTGATTGAGCTCATGTTCCAATACAATATGACCGGATGTATCCTTTCCACTCTTATACGTATTTATCCAATTAGAGAAATAGCCATCCACGACAGCAGGAGAGAGTGAGCCGGAACCCAAGGCTGGAAGATTCCAATCTTCAGAATCTCGGTCCCAAAGCACAGTACGCATGCCCATTTGCCATGCGATTGCACGTACACGATCATCAACATCACCTTGAGGAGGACGGAAGCATCTTGAAGTGACGCCTGTAGCGGCCTTGATAGCTTTCAATGTCCAATACAGCTCAGCTACAATCTGAATATTGGTTTGAGTTGTCAAGGGTGGATGCGACCATGTGTGGACACAGAGCTGATGGCCATCATTCAAACCTCGCTGAGCTGCAGCAGGATAGGTTGCAACATTTGAGCCAATGTACTATAAGCATATTAGAGCATGTACAGGAGACAACATGATAGTTGACACTTACAAATAAAGTAGAATGAAGGTTGTTCTCAGCCAAAAAGTTGTAAAGAGCTGGCTCAGCATACTTGTTTTCAACAGCAGCATTGGAGTCAGTGTATCTATTAAATGGACCATCATCATAGTTTAAACCCCAATCGCCTCTACAGAATGAATGAGTACAATGCGACATGTCATAAATCAAATGACCTTACTTGTTGGGACATGTATAAATGTCTGGAGGTAGCAGGTTTGTCTTGGGAACTACACAGTTTGTGCTGGACCACCAACAGTAAGGGTCGCTGGCACCATCAGAGCTCGAGACCCAGCTTCCATCCGATTTTTGCTTTCTAACAGGTGCTTTTGGGATTTTGCTGAGATCGAGCTTGTTATACACAGCCTGTACTTCTGGATGATTTGTATCTGGCTTTGACCATGGCTCGGGGAACCCGCTCAATGGAGTGGTAGACAGGGTAGATGAAGTGTCATAAGGACCCGGATTATAAGATGTAACTACGCCGGTTGGTTTAGCCATGGGAGGGAAAGATGGGGAGAATTGAGGAGCATAATTGTAGCGTTTATTGATTGTTGCGCCGTAAACTTGGGCAACAGCCGCAAACAGAACGATGGAATTGGTAATAATCATACTATACTAAATCAATAAAGAATGAATACACCTTTGATAAACAGACAAAAGATTTAAGAGGAAAAAGGAAAGAGATAAAGAAGATGGACGATAATGAAAGGGGAGGAGAGGGATAGATAGATGAGGATCAGATCAATACATACAAGTATTTATACATATACACATACAGTATCTTGAGTTACCTAAAATGTCGCAGGGACATCACTTTTCTGTTCCTTATTAGATTGAAAGAGTCGGGAACGAGTATCAAAAAAGGCTGATCGACGATCGACCTTGTGTGTTCATGTACCAGTGAAAGCACTGATATTATTTATAAATTTAAGGTTCGCTACATGATATCCTGCCTCAGGCGATATGTGCTGTACAGAGGGATGAGCACTCCTTAATTGTCTGTTTTACACAAAAGAGAAGAATTGAAAACGTTTTTTCAATGTACGTGTACCCGGAATGATCCCAAAATGACATTTTTTCTTATGGTATATGTTGTGTCTCTTGTACAACGCAAGAGGGCATTACACAGGAGATTCCCTAACCACCAATGACAACGTAGAGGAGGAAACTCTCAATGTATATTAAAAATGCGAGGTTGAGAGACAACAGCAGTGTGATTTTCAGATTTTTCAATTGTACCAAAGAAAAAGAAGCATGCAAAAAAGAGACTTGACTGATATTCAATGATGAGCTGGTTAGCATGATGCTCACACAAGTTTTTGTAATTAGTTGCTATAGCGTCTTTAGGAGAGATGCCAGTGATTTGCAAATTACGATAAAATTTCCTATTTTTAACATCTCTTAATAGGCTCAATTCAAGTAAATCGTGGTTGCCAGTAGCTGAACAGTGTAACAATCCTGTATCCAATCCCTATAGTCTTGGCGTCAGATTTTCGTTTTAAAGCAAGTTCCAGGTTGGCGAGTCTGTAGGCACACTCGAGCCATGCTTGTAGCAGAGAATCGTTTACGGTTTATTGCGTACTAACACAGTTTCTCATCGCTCAGTAGAAAGAATACAATATGCTAATTTTTTTCATTGAGGAAGGTGTAATCGTCACAAGACTCGTGCTTTTGTTGGATAGGATAGCCAGCAATAAGGGCAATAGCATGTCTTTTATGATTTATAGCAACAGAAAGTGCTCTTGCAAGTGATCCAATTGCACCTTTTGAATGGCACATCCTACATTAGATTGCGGAACTGAAAATTTTTCGTGAAAAGCCAAATCTTTCATGTATGAAATACGCAGCTCTTCTTTCTCTCTGTTCAACTCATCACGAAATCAACGCCCTCATGGATTCAGACGACGCCGAAGAAGTCAACATCAACACCGAAAACAAGTACGTCAAAGATGCCAAAGTAGGTGAAGGTACCTATGCCGTGGTCTACAGTGGTAAGCATATTGACATAGTGCATTAGAGGAGAAAAAGCTTGTCCTAACGTTTTGCTCTAGGTACCTCTGTACAAACTGGACGCAAGGTCGCCATCAAAAAGATCAAAATGGGCCAATTCAAGGATGGACTGGATCTCACAGCGATAAGAGAAGTAAAATACCTTCAAGAACTACGCCATCCTAATGTAATTGAGGTATGAACATAACAGCATCAGCAAGTGAGATAAAATCAGCACTGATACAGGAGCTTCGCAGCTGATAGATGTCTTTTCACACAAAACCAACTTGAATCTAGTATTGGAGTACCTGGATTCAGATCTAGAACAAGTGATCAAAGACAAGAGCATTTTATTTATGCCAGCAGACATCAAATCCTGGATGCTGATGATGTTGAGAGGGTTAGATCATTGCCATAGACACTTTGTATTACACAGGGTAAGCAAGGGCTCTAAGCCTATATCCAGCAACATGGCGCACTGAGCATTTGTCACTAGGATATGAAGCCCAACAATTTATTGCTTACCAGTGGAGGTGTGCTCAAGATTGCAGATTTTGGTTTAGCAAGAGATTGGGGAGATCCAGGAAAGCAAATGACATCTCAAGTAGTTACTAGGTAAACTTTTTGATTGTTGTAAGCATAAATGCCTGTAACTAAAATCCTAAAAACTAGATGGTATCGATCCCCTGAATTACTATTTGGAGCAAAAGAGTACTCATATGCAGTGGACATTTGGGCTGTTGGATGTATATTTGCAGAACTCATGTTGAGAACACCTTACGTAGCAGGCGACACAGACATAGATCAACTCACCAAAATATTTCATGCATTGGGTACGCCGAGTGATGCTGACTGGCCGGGTATGAGCTCTTTACCAGATTATATTCAATTCAAATCATTTCCCAAAGTACCACTGCGACAATATTTCACTGCTGCAGGCACAGATGCACTCAGTTTACTGGAGCAAATGTTGGTGTTTGATCCCAACAAGCGATGGACAGCGGAGGAATGCCTTAGCCATTCCTACTTTAGAAACACACCATTGGCTACTGAACCGTCAAAGCTACCACAGCCCAAGAGAGCAGAAGTAGAGATATCCTCATCGTTGAAACGCAAAGCGACAGATCATTTGGATAGAAAGGTACCAAGAAAGCTGAACTTTGCTGTCTGAATGCCTCCGTCGCACCGAGCCATAGAGTCACAAGAAAACACCACTTGAAATGAGAGAGCACCAAAGGAGCGAAAAAAGAAATACAAATCAATCAAATCTTTTTTCCCTTTCTTATTTCTTGTCAAAAAAAAAATAAAATAAAAAATAAAATAAAAAATAAACCCTTTTTTTTTTGTTTTCGCCTCTTCCACTCTTCATAAAAGATACAAAATGAGTCGTCAAGATCCTGCTGGTAGATACAACAATGCTGCTACTGGATACAACAACACTGGCAGTACAAATAGTGCCAATTGTAAGTTGAATCAACATGTGCCCTTAAGCGATTTCTAACCTGTTGAGAACACAGCTCAAACCGAGCAATTAAAATCATTGAGATGTGTCTTTTGCGATATGGTAAGTCGATGGCCATTTGATGGTGAAATTTTTTGTCTAATGCAATCTTCAGGACAAGCCCCTTGATGCCTTTTCCGCCACACAAATCCAAAAGGCTACCTACAACCGTAAGTATAAACCATCGCTTGGTCAAATGCACAGCCAGTGCTGACATCTCGCTTCTACAGCTTATGCCCCTCCCTCTTTCAACGCCAAAAAGAAGACCATCAGCTGCAAAAAGTGCACTCCTGCCCAAACTACTCAGCTGACTTGCATGATCTGCTCCAAGACCTTGCCACTGGACAAGTTTGCAAAGGTAAGAAAGAGAGAATGAAGGGCAAATGGAGAGGAATTGGAGCATTGACTGTTTTGTGCATGTTAGTCTCAACGTAGAAACGCTGAAAAGGCTCGCTGTATCAAATGCATCAAGAAGCGTGAAGAAGAGGACGTTTGGGCATCTGACCCTGATACCGATAGTGAAGATGATTACTATTAAAGATTTATTTCTTTTTGTTCATGTAGAATAAAGGGGGTAAAGAGGAAATATATGAGAGATTATTGAATAGCTATTAAAGATACATGTTTATGTTTATATGGCGTGTTTTTTTTTTTACAAGGTATATTTATATATTATTTGCCACCTAACCAGCTTGAAGAGAAATTGGTAGTTGAGTTATCTCTATCGGAAGGTATAGGTCGAATGGCTGCTGGTCCAATGCCTTCGTAATCAATGTGCATTCTGTGTAAGCTGCGTTTGCTACGGATAGGTATAGCAGGTGTAGGTCGAGTTGTATTGTTGCTGACGGATGTGGACATGACGGGAGGGAGATAGGGTATTTGACGTCTTTTTGTTGGATGAACAACATTGCGGGCATATTTCGTGTGTGGAGTGGGGTCTTCATGGTGTAAAGCAGAGGCTGTAGTGGCTATCATAAGTTTTCGTAGTGTATTGAATCTACCCTCGTCCACGTCGTCGTCTGCGTTTTCGGAAGGGCTTAGTATTAGAGTGGATGAATTTGTGGTTGTTTTAGTGAGTGTGGATCCTCTGTCATAGTAATGATGATCTGTAGTCGATGCTGTCGAAGCTGTAGTAATGGAGGAAGGAGTCGTGGTATTGCTACTCGTGTTACAAACTTCGGGCTGTTTGTTGTTATTTGAAAACATATTAGCAAGCCAAGATAACGGCCTTGTATTGCTGTTGGCATCGGCAGTGGATGTAGATTTAGACGACTTTAGTTTCAATGTAGATTCTCGCTTGAGCTGCCTCTTTTTGATAATCTCTTCTTCTACCCGTAATCCGCTTTCCTCTACTTTTTTGACGTATTCCACTTGTAATTCGTTCATTGTGTTTCTTAAAATGCCTAATTCCTTGAGCATGTCTTTTAGCAAATCCACCAAGGGAAAGAATGCTAGTGTGTCTGTATCCGCTGTATTGACCCACAGAAATCGAGTGTCTAAAATATCCACATCCATCAATATGTTGTCAATAATCGAGTTGCTCATGTTGCTTAATTCTGTGATTTCAAATGCTCGTTTCAAGCGTCGATTCAACGCTCGGATGTCTGAACCCCTTAATCGATCCAGGACTTGTGTTACATGCTCCTGTAACAGTATGAAGGGTGATTTTGTCAAACCAGGGGCTGAAGTAGTAACTGTTCCATCCTTGATTGTGATGACTGAAGATGTGGATGGGGTAGGTACAAGTTCTCGCTGGTTTGGCTGTTGCTGTTGCTGTTGCTGTGAAGGTGGAGGCGGCATATTGTCCATGTCGTCCAATGTATTGTGCTGTTGCCGCATGAGTTCATGTCTTGTCCCTAAATCACGATTCAAACATACCTCGCTGTAATCCAGCATGATCTCATGACTGCTGCAATTGCTGGCAGTGCTCTTACTACTGGAACTATCCATATCATCTGTGATCTGAATTCTTTCTCCTCTACTGTTCTTGACATAGTAATGATAGTGATGATGAACCACTGCATTCTTGCTATTGGGCGAAACCACAGGTGATGAAGCTAATGAAGACGTAGGCATCGATGAAGACACCGAAGGCAGTGGCGGCTGCATCGTTGTCTTTGATCTGATAGGGAGTCCAACCTTCTTCTTGGCGGAAGAGGTGGTAGTTGCTTCGTCCTTGACAGAGGTGGCTCTTTTTAGCTTTTTTGATCTCTTGATGCTAGCCTTGATATCATCTTGCAGTCGCTTGCCATCTTGCTCCGTCGTGCTGCTAGCTGAATCTTCTAATTTTTGATTCAATGCAATGACTTCTCCTCTTGATTCTGACAGCTGTTCTTTGCAGTTGATGAGATCAGATTTTAACTTTGTATTTGCTGACGATAGTTCTTTAATTAAACTAATGAGATCATTATTGTTGTTGCTGTTGCTGTAAGATGACACAGACTAACATGAAATAAGAAATCATGTGAATACACACACTGTTGAACAAATGATGCGCTTGTGTAAAACTTGCCTTGATTGTATCAGATTCAGTACGTGGTGCTTGGGATAATATCATGGCGTTTTCTTGTACTTGGCGAGAGAGTTGTTCATGGTTGCTGTAAAGAGATTCTTTTTCTGATGGTCAGCCTTGCAATTCAAGCACTCTGTCATGAATGCTTACCATATCTGATCTTGAGCTTCTTGATTTTGGATTCCAACACCAGCTCATTCTTTCGACAAATCGCCAACTCCTGATTTGTGTCTTCCAGCTGTATCGCATTCTATCAGTAACATGGACGTATTAGACCCGCCCACACGCTCTCACCTTGGATGTGAGTGTTGCCTCATTGGATTCAGCATGTCTTGCCATAAATTTGTACAATCTCAACTTTTGCAGTTCTGACTCCTTGATTTTCAGATCCATCTCCAGTTGACTGCACTTTTCATTTGTCATTTCGAGATCTGCTACTGTTTCATCCAGAATCTATTTAATGCGTCAACCTTTGCGACCCCATAATAAACGGCATTTAGCCCACCTTTTGTCTCTTTTGATACTCCCAGAGCCACTTGTTCTTTTCCTTTGCAATGTCGTCTTTCTGATTCTCTACTTCGTCTAGCGACTGTTCTAATCCAGCAATTCTTTCGTGGCACTCGTTCAGCTAGAAGAAAATGATACAACAGTGTTTGTTACACATGTGAAAAAAAAAGAGGGCACAAATATCCATGCAAAAAATGCTCACCTGTTTCTCCAATTGTGCTCTTTGTTGGCTTGATTCAGCTACATATGTTTCGTGTTTGTGGAGAAGTCCTTGGCCGATTTCTACAATGTATCTGAGTCAATAGAAGAGATCAAAATCAAACGAATCAAGGCTACCTGCAGCGAGTCTTGTGTCAGATTCAAGTTTCTTCATTGTTCGGTTATAATACTCGAGATGCTCGCAGTTTTGTCTTGAACAGCATCTGCACACTTCAAACAGGCTACTAGCAACCGAAGAAGGGGTGCCCAGCACTAGCTGTTGGCTGTTGGTCCAATCTTCGTCCAAGATTGACGTGGATCGAAATTCCATGTTGATGGTCGTAGGTGTTGTCGTTGTCGGTAGAGGTGTAGTCGCTGATTTCATAATGTATGGTTTTCCACTGCTGGTCATTCAAATGGAAGGGAGGAAAATAAAAAGGAAATTTAATGGTTGAAAGAGAAGAAGAAAGAGAGAGAGAGAGAGAGAGAGAGAGAGAGAGAGAGAGAGAGAGAGAGAGAGAGAGAGAGAGAGAGAGAGAGAGAGAGAGAGAGAGAGAGAGAGAGACAGAGATAATTGTGCGAGAGAATAATTTATAGGCAAAAAATAAGGGTCCACGCACACGACCACAAAAAAATTGGGCACAAACAGAGAGAAACAATATAGGCACGAACAATAGAAAGGTAAACAAGTTTCAGCGTCAATTGTCGTTCAAATGTGCATTGTTGATCAAGGAAAAGAGAGAGAAGGAGAAGCAATTTTATTAAGGAATTCATAAATAAGAAATAAAGCGGCCCACATTTTAAATGTCCAAATAAATCAGATGAATCGAGTTACACTGTCGAGATGTCTCTTCCCCAAATAGCGCAACGAGTCCAATCTAAACTGAGGTTCATTCGAGTGCGCATGCTCACTTGCTCGCTCCAATACACACTGCGCCATAAATACAGTGCCCATAAACCACCGATCATTTGATATCCCCACTTGAAATCTCCTACGGCTGTGTTTCCCAAATAAGCCAGCGTACCAAGATGGTTGTATCGGAATGGGCCCACTGCCTGCTTTGTGCTGGATTCGTCCTTCTTTTCGTAGAGTGTGTTTAGGTATTTGGCAAGATATTGGCCTTGCTGACTTGCAACTTGGGCAGTCTATGTGGGCAATAGAGCCGGAGATGGGTGAGCTTCTTGTATATTGGATCCAGTTTATTACTTACAGCTGGCAAATTGGTTAATTCGCTGTCGACATCCTGTAACATGGCCTTCATTTCGTCAATGTCCAGTGTTCCGCTGTGGTCCTTGTCGTATTTTCTAAACTTTTGCTCTAGATTCACCAAATGCTCTTCGGTCAATGGGAATCGCTCCTTCATGACATTGCAGATGGCTGAAAATTCCTGTAACGAGAGAGATCCGTCCTTGTCTGAATCGGCTTCTTGGAAAAACTCCATAATGTGTTCCAACAGATTAGGGTTTTCAATCGAGGCACAGTCGCCTAGTGCGTAGATGGAGTCATCTTCCAGCCCTCTTAAATGAAGGTAATTGTCGGTAGTGAGCACACGTTTATGTGCTTGTTCCGGCAATTTCTGAGTCAAGTGCTGAGCAAAAGGTGTCATGGCTACACACGCCCATCATAAAATTAAACACTCTACCCCGCTTATATGATATCACCTTACTTACCAATACCAGTTGACCACAGGCACAGTCCGTAAGGCAGCTTTCGAATGACAGGTTCGGCATTGGGATCACTGGTTTTGAGCTTGTAAACCACCTCCTTGTCTTCAATACGAGCCACACGGGCATTAGTAATGACATTCACATGTTCACGATCAAATCTCTTTTCAGCGTATTCACTGATCTTGCTATCGAATGTGTTGAGGATATGATCTCTTGATTGAATAATGTGAATTGAAATGTCTTCACGCACCAATTTGGGAAACTATAGGCATGAATTTAGATGGTGTTCAATTCTTCCTCTTATATACAGTTATCGCTGCTTACCCATTTCACTAAATCCTCGTTGATCCAGTCAGACATTTCAGCAGCGAACTCAACACCGGTAGGTCCTCCACCACACACAACGAATGAAAGAAGTCGTTTACGCTCTTCAGGTGATGTTGTAGGCAAACAGGCCTTTTCGACATTTTCAGTAACCAGATGGCGGATACGGATAGCGTCTTGAATTGTCTTTAGTCTCACTGTATTGTCAATGCCTTCGACACCATGTGTCATGCTGGTGGCTCCAACTGCCACAATCAATTTGTCGTAGGGCACATAAAAGTTCTCGTCGCCGTTGCATCCTTGCACCTCCACCAACTTGTTCTCGAGATCGATATCAGTAGCACGTCCTTCTACGAAATGCGCCTTAATTCTAGCTGTAATTTTGCGTACAGGCTCAATCAGAGATCTAGAGTCATGCATTTAGCATTGTGTTACACTCTTGCAAAGATACACTCACCTTAATTCCAATGTTCCCACTGTTGCGCTTGGTAACAGAGGTGTGAATAAAAAGTAGTTATTATCGCTGACCACGGTGACATTGTATTTATCCTTGTCCAAGTTCTTGATGACTGAGATAGCGCCCCATCCAGATCCAAGAATAACCACTCGCTCTTTCGTGTTTTCATGCTTGGTGTTATCATCAATATAGTATTTTGAGATGGGGAGTCCCTTGGCACCGCCTCGTTCTGGATGAAGAGCCAAGTAGGGCACATGTTCTGATTCACCAAAGGCGCCGACGACTCGGTCTTGGTCTTGGGATAGATAATAAGCAAAACTGCCAACTGCACCCACTGTACCTCCAACGAGGAACAAACGCTTCAGCTTGGGGCCAATCCATGCATTCGGTACCTTTGGTGATGAAGAAGAGGAAGAACCGAGAAAGGCTCTTTGAACCAAACGCACGTTGGTTTTCCTGGGTAAGCTCTTTGATGTAGCTAATAATGAACGCGAAAACATAATGATGCCAAAAAGTGAAAAGAAGGAAATTGCGTACCTCTGCTCCTCTACTGTTTATATCTCTTTGCATTACCTGTTTCATAATTACATCATATCCGCCAATCGAATTGCTATTACTGTACAACCCCAGGGCCACATCTAAGTGTTTAAGCTTTCCCTGATAAACTCGAGAAACAAGGCCAAATACATTCGAAAAAAAAACGTATCGTTGTATCAATGAGCATAGAGACGCTCTTTTTTTGCGATTTTACATCTCTATTTATCATGGCATGCCATGCATTTAAAAGTCGATTTCAACAGTGCTTTGAGCATGATAACAAACTCACTGATATTCCGAGAAACCCAATCATTTCCCAGTTGAATTCACCGTCATCGGCCCGTCAATTCATTATTCATTCTGACAACAATAACCACCACACAGTGCTTAGAAAGTGCAATAGTTTACCCACCCGAAATCCAGAAGAAAAGAACGCAGTTATTGTAGTGGTTGCAGCGTCCATCTCTGTTACTACTTCTCCTCGTTTGCTACAACCGACGGCAAAAACAACTGCCTGTTCTCTAAAGAGAAGAAACCACATTCGAAGGAATAAAAGGAAAATATATAGACAGAAATCATGCAGTTCGTCCAGCAACTCACCTTCATCGTCATTATTACAATCACATTCTGTTACTGCTGCTACTACTGCTACTAGTGTTGTGGAAGCTAAATAAGCATCCTGTCATCATCTTCCTCACATTCCGCAAGCGATAATATCACTATATTTATCCATTTAATTTCAAATGGAGCCTTTATTTAACAATAAACACTAAATAGAGGAAGCATATTATGGTTCCTATTTTCTTGGTGCTAGCGTATTGTAGATAAGAAATCCCATCAGCCTATTTCTTGGGTGGCAAAGGATAAGGGCTTGGGAGAGCGGGCTTGTCAGGTCTTATCTTGGGCATGTTATTAGTGAGAAAGTTTAGCAAGAGATAGATGTAAATGTAAATGTAGATTCAATTGTTGATTTGAAAAAGAAAAGAGTCTTGTTGTTTATATACTTTTCGTTTCTATTTCGACTAGACAAAGAGTAACCCAAATCAACTTGTATTCAGCATGTTTTAATCAGGTATTAAAGCGTAGAAGATACTTATCAAAGGTCTAATTTGATCGTTTATCAAATGTGTTGGATGGCATCACGCAAATCCAAATAATGAGGGACGTGATATAAGTTCTCATAACTGTACTGTACACATAATGAGCCTCCATTAACATGATACTTACTGTGATGCCATGACTATCTTAGGACAATTGAACACCACTATGGTACATGTTTACCACAATTGATCCACTTTATAGACACAATCACACTTCAATGACCATGGCCCTTATGGTAAAGCATATTGCTCTTGAGACCATTGACATCAAACCAGGGTCACAGCATGATACTATCATCATGACCTGAGCGCAATATATTTTACATCTATTACAATAAGGGTTTCTCTGACTAATCTTACAAAGAACTTCTTCTCTGAATTTCATTAACAAGGTTTCATAGTCGAAATACCATTCGAAACGTTGATTAGGCTGGCAAGTTTCCATTTCACATTAACATTCCCATTTAGATGAGCAATTTGTAACCATTAAATCTAATAGTAAAAAAAAATGGCTAGCAAAAGTAAAACGAAGTATCCAGGCTAATCTATAGTATTCTTCAATTCGCAATACTCTTCTTATTAGCTTCGAAAACATCAATTACCTTGAGCGAAATACAGTTGTGCCAGCAGCAGCCAAAATGCTTAAATCTCCGCTATCCATTTTTTTCTCTCGAAATGGAAAATTTTGATCGATTTTCGACTTCCTTGAACTATTTTTCCCGCTGGTGGATCAATTTTGTCTGCACGATGGCCAATCTCTTAGAAACGCTCAGGCTTCCGCCAAAACATTTCGTCTGTCTGTACTGTCGTCGGTGGAACAGCCCTTGGTCTTGCAAAATGTCTCTGCTGCTAATTGGAAATTCTTTTGGTCCCTGTCTCTTACCTACATTCAACGTAATGTGATATACCGATTCATCGCAGGCTGTATCCCTTCTAGAAGCAGATTACACTACATGATGCCTGCATTTTTCGAGTCCCACAATTGTCCTGTCTGCTTGTCTCCCAATGAAACTGCCAGCCACCTGCTCTTTGACTGTCCATCCAAAGAAAAGGTATGGCAAGGCGTCATTTTTGAGTTCCTATGGCCCACCACGTCCATCACTGACATCAAAGAGGCTCTTCTGTCCCTGGACTTTTCAGATATCTGGTACTCCCAAGTCAAAGGCATCCATCCATACAGAATCCTACTCATCACCCTGTCTCAAATATGGCTAGCCCATATGCGCTTTGTTTTTGACGGCACTATCTTTGTCCCTGAGGCGATTCTGGTACATATCCACTCCACTGTCCGACAGACAGTGGATGAAGATCAAATCCATTCCCTCTTGTAATTTAGATAGTTAGATAGTTCCTTTTGTTAGTTTAGTTTAGTTTCCATTTATATTTATATTTTTTTCATTTCTCAATTGCACCCGCCTCTTCACTCTGACCTATTACTCTTAGTGTACGCGGCTCAATCAATAAACACAATTTAAAAAAAAAAAAAAAAAAAAAAAAAGAACTATTTTTCGGGTTTCAATTATGTAAGTTGTGATGATCATCCCATCCTTCCTTAAGCTTTTTTGGAGCACTTTTTGAGGCGGTTCTAATGATGCCAATTATGGGAGGTGTTTTGAATTAAAGCATTGAGCAAATTTTTAAAAAGTGAAATGTGGTTTTTGCCCAAAATGTCGAGATTTTGCTTATCAAAGTCTTACAAACAAAGTTCCACGGATTCCTTTGGATCAAGAGAAACATTTTCAGTTAGTATGTACTATAGTAAAAGTCTTTATTTTTGAGGTCAAAAGCGCGATCGTTTGATTTTCGATGAAAACCATGAGGTATCCCTCATGGTTTTCAGCTCTTACACACTACTGTACTCAAAAAGAGTTGCATGTGTCACTACAAAAATGAGCATTATTTGTACTCATTCAGAGTTATATATTTTTCCATTAACACTTGGGGGATTTTTGTACCAATCACAGATGATATCGAAATTACATGTAATATCAAAATCCAATGCTGTTGGGCTTAATAGGCCCTGCTGCCTATACCGAGCTGCCTATACATGGCTGCCTATACATGGCTGCCTATTCCTAGCTGCCTATACCTAGCTGCCTATTCCTAGCTGCCTATACCTAGCTGCCTAAACCTAGCTGCCTATACCTAGCTGCCTAAACCTAGCTGCCTATACCTAGCTGCCTATACCTAGCTGCCTATACATGGCTGCCTATAATGCGTTCTGCCCTCTACTATACCTTGCTGCCAATTGTTTATTGATCGCAATCATTGGGGAATACCTTCTAAATATCATTTGATCCCAGTAGGCTATCATGCCTTCCACAACTCACTTGTACCCCCACGCTACTAGTTGCGCTTGGTTTAGCTTTCTCTTTCGACTGATGCAGAAGCTTCTTCCCTTAACTATATTGCCCTGCCTGCCTATCTAATCCTAGCTTCATTCTCTACGCTGCATTATTTTTGTAACAATAGTTTCAAGCATGCTATTGGCAGTTTTTATCAGTAGTTTCTTTTGCGAAAGCATTTGATGCGCAACCTCCTCAAAACATTGCAAATAATTTTGATGAGCACGCATCAAATACAAATTTCTGATTGCAGTCAACGCAAAGCACTTTCATCTGCTGGTATGTAATTCAGCAAATTGGTGTTTAGAAAAGAGCACAAACATCTTCCCCAACTGTGTAACTGTGTAGGTTGTGGAACAATCGAGTCGACTCACCAAATACTCTTTATAAGGAAGCCAGCATCACTTTTCTATTTTCGTCCGCTATTCATCAAATGTTGAAAAACGACGCAGCTTATAAAATTGCTAAGAGAGCCAAGAAAGCCACTGAAGAAGAGGCAAACAAGGAATCAAACAAAAAGGTTATCAAGAAAATGCCAACGAATGCAGAGGAGATAGCCTTGAAGAAAAAAAACAAAAAGCACGCAAACAACGTAGCCGCTCTATAACAAAGTCTCAGATGATGAAGAAGAGCGCAAAGACTGCACATGCGAAAGCCATCAAGTACATCAATGAGCTGGAGAAACGGAATAGGCAAGCTGTAACCCAGCCTAATGCTTCGCTGAACGACAACACTAAACAACTTGTCCATGCAAACGGAGCATTTCATTTTGACGATGACAGCATCGACCATGGCTTCGACTACATAGAGCCTTCTAACCAGCGTTATGGTTTCACAACCATTTTCAGACAAAAAAAACAAAGGAGAATTAGAAAAGACTTTTGGGCTCAAGAAAGTGTCTCGCTCAAGAAGTGGTATCTTGAATCTCACGAGATTCATGGCCATGCTGACCCTACCCTCAAAGTCCCAAATCAATTGAAAAGCACATATCAATGCGACTGCAGCAATAAGAAAACATTGGAGGTATATTGTTATATGCTACACAGTAAGTAAATTTAGTGAAACTCCAAATATTACACAAGCTAAACTGACACTTGATTTGCAGACCATCAAAAAATCAAAGTTGATTATTGTATGCATCAACCAATCCTAAAGAAATTGGTATTGATGCAAATGTTGCCAAGCAGCACAATTCAACCAAAAGCTGCGGTCCATTTCGCCGTCTTTGAAAAACTGATGAGCTTGAAGCTACATGGAAGCATTACAAATTATGCATTCGTGAAGACGCAGAATGTTGATAATCTCTTGTTGAGTAACTATGGTGAAAACGACGTAAGTTAAATGCTGCAGACCATTGTGCTGTTTATCTCAATATCTCGCCGTTCTCTTTTCTCTTTAGTTTAAAAATTTGAATAACGGCTTGTTCAACACACTACAAGTAATATATCGAAATTTGAAGAGCCATGCCTTGGATGATTTACGACTGGTCAACCACTCTTTGTACTGTCATGCGTGTTT